TTAACTTAAACCGCGGAGGTGGATATATTAAAAAGAAAAACACTGAAATAGAAATAAACGTGTAAAAGATTGATAGACAAGTAAACATCACTTATACAAAAACAAAGGAAAGTAAATAACAGATTTTTTATTCGGATAAATATTTAGGACATAGTTATCAGCGGGCACACTTTTTAGAGTGTGTACCGGACCTGAAACAGGAAACTCAAACTTCGAACCAGACTGAACTGGAAAAACTATACATTTGTAACCCTGGCGTGTAGATAAGAAATCTCAAATACCCCAACCATTATAAAACTGTTCAGCTTATTAAGTAGATTTGACCATTGATTAAGATTTTCGAAGTTCTAAATTAAGTGTTTATTCCATAACTTTGAACTGTAGTCAATTGGTTGAAAATGTTAGTGTAGAAGTGTAGAATTGTATACAATTACAACTACAAGTTATTGATAACTTGTAACTGTTCATGACAAAGTGGATAAAAACAAACAGAAGCAACTGTATTCCACTCAGTCTATCCATAAATCAACTTTTAAGCGGATTCAAATAACCAATCAAAGTGCAAAACGCTGTAGTTACACTATCCGTAGTTAGCCAAAATTAGTCGACGCCGACAACATCCGCTTGTCACTGTCCTCAACTAAGGTCAAAACTCCCTTGACAAATTAAAAGCTACCTTTTCTATTTCGGCGAATATCGTTCTACATGTTCAGTAAATCATCAATAATAACAGTTTTTAAACGCTCAGATCAATTCCAAGTATTTGCCTTACAGCAATTACAAATGTCTTTATAATATCTGAAAAATTAAATGGTCGTCCATCTTAATTTTCATAGCTGATTGTTTGAGCCTTTCAGGATTGACTTGTCGGTGAATTTTTTTAAACACATATTTTATATATTTGCATAAGCCATGTTACTGATTTGTGATGAAGTTGTGACGAATCGGGCAAAGTCATAAATTTTTGTGACACGTCAATATGTCTGAAACAAGTCACGAGTGTCTTGGGCAAGTTCAAGTTGTTAACACAGTATCAAATCTGATCGACTCTAATTTAAATGTCATTTGCTGAAAGCATAAATAATATTGCAAAGACATGACCACCTGCAAGTCACGCAGCATGAGCTCAAAGAGTTTTCACATAAATCGAGGTGCACTTTGCTAGTGTTCATTCGAAACTCAAGAAGCCATGAATCCATTTTAGAGTCGTGTAATAGATGTATAAAGTGATTGAATAATAATCTATAGATATTGAGAGATAAAAGGAGTATTTACTTAACCATCAAGAGATAATATTACCCAACGTCTGGCACAAGCGATAACAATCAAATTGAACTGATATGATTTGTACATATTACAATACCCTCTCAAGACCCTAATATTATTATCGTCTCACTTTTTAACTCTTGTTGATCACTCCAGTTAATTAACTTAAACCGCGGAGGTGGATATATTAAAAAGAAAAACACTGAAATAGAAATAAACGTGTAAAAGATTGATAGACAAGTAAACATCACTTATACAAAAACAAAGGAAAGTAAAGAACAGATTTTTTATTCGGATAAATATTTAGGACATAGTTATCAGCGGGCACACTTTTTAGAGTGTGTAACGGACCTGAAACAGGAAACTCAAACTTCGAACCAGACTGAACTGGAAAAACTATACATTTGTAACCCTGGCGTGTAGATAAGAAATCTCAAATACCCCAACCATTATAAAACTGTTCAGCTTATTAAGTAGTCCTGACCATTGATTAAGATTTTCGAAGTTCTAAATTAAGTGTTTATTCCATAACTTTGAACTGTAGTCAATTGGTTGAAAATGTTAGTGTAGAAGTGTAGAATTGTATACAATTACAACTACAAGTTATTGATAACTTGTAACTGTTCATGACAAAGTGGATAAAAACAAACAGAAGCAACTGTATTTCACTCAGTCTATCCATAAATCAACTTTTAAGCGGATTCAAATAACCAATCAAAGTGCAAAACGCTGTAGTTACACTATCTATAGTTAGCCAAAATTAGTCGACGCCGACAACATCCGCTTGTCACTGTCCTCAACTAAGGTCAAAACTCCATTGACAAATTAAAAGCTACCTTTTCTATTTCGGCGAATATCGTTCTACATGTTCAGTGAATCATCAATAATAACAGTTTTTAAACGCTCAGATCAATGCCAAGTATTTGCCTTACAGCAATTACAAATGTCTTTATAATATCTGAAAAATTAAATGGTCGTCCATCTTAATTTTCATAGCTGATTGTTTGAGCATTTCAGGATTGACTTGTCGGTGAATTTTTTTAAACACATATTTTATATATTTGCATAAGCCATGTTACTGATTTGTGATGAAGTTGTGACGAATCGGACAAAGTCATAAATTTTTGTGACACGTCAATATGTCTGAAACAAGTCACGAGTGTCTTGGGCAAGTTCAAGTTGTTAACACAGTATCAAATCTGATCGACTCTAATTTAAATGTCATTTGCTGAAAGCATAAATAATATTGCAAAGACATGACCACCTGCAAGTCACGCAGCATGAGCTCAAAGAGTTTTCACATAAATCGAGGTGCCCTGATTGATATCAAGTTCGTTTGATGAAGATGAGCTCAGAATATTCTCGTGTATCAAATCTGATCGACTCTAATTTAAATGTCATTTGCTGAAAGCATAAATAATATTGCAAAGACATGACCACCTGCAAGTCACGCAGCATGAGCTCAAAGAGTTTTCACATAAATCGAGGTGCCCTGATTGATATCAAGTTCGTTTGATGAAGATGAGCTCAGAATATTCTCGTGATATACCCCTATTGAGAAATTCTTGTAGAGATAAATGTGTAACAAACCACTCCTTAGCTAGTGAATGCAGCAACCAATTTATTATTATGGTGTTGGTGCATAATTTTCAGCACTTCAATTTTTATAAATCTCAGCAATTTTACGAATCTGCATCTTATAATAGTAGGAGTCTAAATTTGACCGTGGACCGGCATTGGGAATGGTACAAAACGACCTATTTTGCATAAATTTAGTTCCCCCAATTTGAATCCCAGGCCGCGATGCCATATTGGATATGAGACTGTAACAGAGCATAATATACCATATACGTAGAGTTGACATTGATGTGTAGGGACGAAGCTTATACAACATTCCTGCCAACTTAGATAATTTAATTCCTCTATCTCGTATAACCTTTTTATATTACATTTAGACCAATTGTGAAATTTCTTGAAATATGTGGCGACAGGCACTTTTAGATTCTGTTTGATTATGTTTATAATCTTTTTTTTACAATTGAACCAATATTAAGTTCAACTACAAAAGTTCAATTCCAAATTATTATTTGTCGTCAACTTTACACTCGTTTTACGCCGTAAAACTTGGTATCAAATCTTTCGAAACTCGGTATATAACTATTTGTCTGTTATTGTCTGAGTATCTACGATGATAAATATTACCATTATATCACCTTTACGCCATTATACTGCAGTTAACATTTTTTAATACATTAATATACATAGGTATTTGTTCAGAGAATAAATTTGCAATTAATTAATAATACAATTTGCGTATATTACATATATGTATCTTTTATATTAGTATATAAAATATTTACTTATTATGTATTATGTTTAGGTAATAAATAACTAATATAATAAAATGTCGCACCGTTTCAGGTACGAGTAAAATCATGTAGAACACTACACAGCACGAAGAGTTGAGTCCAATTGCCCAAAAAGAAATTGTTAATCCTAAACATAAAAAAATGAAAATGCTTACAAAATTTGAAACAATACGAAGAGCTAAGGAATACTAGCGAATTTTTATTGTGGTGGCTGAATGTAAAGCACATCATTCAAGCAAAATATAATATTCCAACTACAAGTTTTCATTATTCAAATTATAGGTTGTAAAATCCGGAAACCTTTTTGATGCAAATTTTTATTGAAATAATATCTGTTATATTCGAAGCATTTTAAACAGTATATCCATTCAGGTTCGTGCATGAGTGAAGTGTGTGAGTGATATATCTTTTTATCAGCTCAGTAATGAGGATTTCAGAATGATTGCAACGTCTTATATCAATTGAGTATTTAATAAATATAGAGTTATAGGCGACCGATTTTTTTTGAGGTTTTCCAAATAAAAAAGATTATCCAATTTTCTTGATATGAGTAACTTTTTTGGAAAATGTTACTGAGTACTGCAGTTCGTTAAGTTCATTTTCGAATAATTTTTGATCTTGAGGATATCTTGTTGCGTTTCCATGACAAATGTAAACACCGTCTTCCTTCAAAACTTCCATTGAAAGGTCAAAAAGTTGTCTAAGCAAAATCCATTTTCTACCTTCATTTTTCAAGCTTACTGGAATTGAAGTTATGTCATTTATAATAACATCAACTATTAACCCATTTTTTACGGCTCTTTTGAGATATTCTTGTGCATCTTCAATAATAATTTGATAATTGTTTCCGGTCATATAATCATGAATATCACCCCAGATTGGTCGAAAGTATAGTTTTGTAACATCAATTATTCGCTGATCATAATCTAGGTATCATAGAAGCTCTAAGATCTTTGATTCTGCGTACAATACATCCATCGCCTCCTCCAAGAATAAGTATAGTTTTATTTGTATACTCCACTCTTTCAAATCCAGATAGAGCGTACGAAAATCGTTGCTCAGTAGTCGTTTTCGCCAATATTTGTACCATTATCACAATACAGGCAATTTCCAAATGCAACTGAGTGTAAAATCGGTATATGTTGTTTTGATGTAACTTCATCAAACACTAATTTTTCAAAATCTTTTTCAACGATGATTCCTTCACATACATCGTAACATGAAAATTCTCTACCTCTTTTCAAGGGAGGAAGACTGTCATACCGAAGTGTTTTTGGAATTTCAGTGAACTCTAATTTTCTAATGTCTTCATCTACCTTGTTAACAAGAGTTTTGAATTCAGGATTATCTATGTTTGTAATGTTTATATCCGATGTGAAAAAGCCTTCTTCGGCTTCGTGAAATGAAACTTTTAATTTATTGCTTTTCACGTGAAGGGCTGTGATCTTCTCTCCACTCTGAAACACAAGCTTTCAGTTTATGTCCAACTTCTTTATAAGTTTCCTTTCATTTCATTCATAAATACTCTTTTATTTTGGTAACATTCATTCTAAATTCAAGTAGCCATGAATTCATTTTAGATGGGTCTCGAAAGATTATGGCTATGTAACAGAAAGTTATTTGGAATTGACCAAAATGTTTATTTTGTGTTTTTTTTCTTGTGATGAAAATAGTGTGATTTAATATTATATTGCCCAATTTTGCAATCCAAGCAGCAACAAAACGTATATATTTTTATAAATTCAAATAAATTATACTAAGAATACAAATGAAAATAATATTTTCACTCCATCCAAAATAAAAGAAAATATATTCAAATCAACCACGGTGGAAAGCTAGCAAAATCAACAAACTTGAACAAACGCTGCTCGATATTTGATCCACACGCTTCTGAACTGCGGTATAACCTTCGTGCAAGATATTACGAATGATAAACGTGATTTTCTATTGTGTTCCAATTGAAGATGGGTAAATTAGCCTTTGCTTTCAAAACCAGTAACAAAGAGCAATTATCAAATTCAGGCCCGAAACTGATTCAAATATGATTGATGAAGCGTGGGGTAGGGGTGGGCAACATACGGGCCGAGTCCGGCCCGCGTCGAGATTTTGACCGGTCCGCTGACTGTACATCAGTACATTATGATATTACATTATTACACTTTCAGTATATTATGATAAATTCATTATGTGTTTTTTGGTCTCTGTTTTTAGTAAAGTTTAAACTTTACTTTAAACGCGATTCATAAATTTTCTTTCTTGCATTAGCGAATAAATATGTGATTAAGATTTTGAATACTGTTCATGTAATAATCCGGCCCACCGGGGACTTAATTTTCCCACATCTGGCCCGCCGACTAGAGAAGTTGCCCATCCCTGGGCCGTGGGGTGTACTAGCCTCTCATCTTTAGACAGAAAATGCAAAAAATTGCATCATTCAAAATTCAAAGCACTTCTGGTATATACAAGGACAAATTGATTTATCATGAACAAATCCGTGAATATATATTAATAAATAGATATGGACACGCCGTCGGCATATCGCGTAACTAAAATTGATAGTTAATAAATATTGGAGTGAATATTTTGTTTCAAAATGCTGGAAATGTGCTTCTGTTGTTTTAGCATTAAAACTGTTGCGATAGCACATATGGGTAAGTATCGCACCACTATACGCCACTGTTGTACACTTTAATGTCAATATGAAAACGTGCCTATCCTATTCCTATTGATCAACAGTATGAAATACATTGTGCATATGCTCCTCATACCTAACTCTTGATAACAAGTTTGTGGACCATTCTGAGCAGTATCATCATCAGATACAATTGAACGTCCAACATAAATGTGTTATTTTTTTCTGGCCAGCCGCCTGAAAAAGTTATATATATATATCATTAGTATAAAATCTGAACGTGAGCCTGTATCACCCGTGGCATGGTTCACAACTGTATAATTAATCCAAACATGTTATTTAATCAGTATTTCTCTCAATGTATATGTTGTTCATTGTAAGGCTACGTGGATACGAAAGTACATTAATTGAACCCGCAACGAACCAGGAAATTTTAGCCAAAATTAGACTGAACTCGAATTACTAATTATTCATTTGAGGGTTGAATTATATATGGCCAAGTCAGACCTCAAAACATTGTTTGGGTGTTGTTTGAAGATTCCATCTTGTACACAAAAATGAAAAAGCAACCGAGATATGAAATGTGAAATTCATCACGTTCTACATTTATAGCATATTATTTTATGAGGGTTCTTGACACAGATTTTTTTATGAATATAAACAATTCTAAGTACACTCACCACTGGGCTAGATTAGAACGACTAGAACACTAGACCAATCCAGTTTCGTTCTGTTCTACGCCACATTATCGAGAGAACATTCCAATTGGCGAATTGGGTAGGATGGCTATCTAAAAAATCTCTATAATACCACAGTTTAGTGTAGCGAGTTCAGTAATAGTGGCAAATCTAACAGACATTTGATTTTTTTAGAAAATGTTAATGTAGAATTGCCTTGGACTGAACTAGGGGGAATCCTAGGGTGCCGCGGAACCCCGGTTGAAAACCAATGAACTAGAAGTATAGAAAACAAGGCTCAAGTCCCCCATAGTGACGTTTGCTTCATCAATCGCTGTTATAAGTAGATATAACTTATTTACAACTCGGCTAACCATTTGGAAAATCATCCAACAATCTACCAAAAAGATTACGATTTCCAATGGCCACATTATTATACCTCCTTCCCAAATCCACCTACAGACAGAAGTGCTGGAAATCATCAATACTTAAATATTGCTGAAAACACACCAAGTCATAACCGGAAATACGTGTGTACTACTAGATTTAGATAATACCTGGTAAAATATTATGATCTAGAGAGCAAATTGAATGTGGATTTATGTTACTTTGTTTGTTTTATGATTCAGGAAAAACAGGTGTCATTTCGTAACAGCTAATCATCATGTAGGCTACATCATTATATCATCATTAGTATATAGATCATATACTAATCATAAAAATTATTCATGTACCGAGCACGATGAAAAATTTTGAACGGCGATAGACAAGTTTCATTCTGAACAATTGTAGGTATTCCTTCCACAGAAGTTGAATACCTACACTTATTTGTATAAGCAGACGACTCAAGCAGGGTAATACCTTCATATATCCTGTATAGCGAACTACATAATGTCTCATAGTAGCATAATTTGACTGTATTTCACAAGTTCTATAATCCAGTTCTAACATGATGAAACCTTCAAACTTTATATTTTGTTTATTTTCAAGAAATATATAGTTTTTATTCAATGCAATTAATCAAGAATATATCAACCCCGTATATTTTCGTCAGCTACATGTAATACATAATTGTATTTTTCCTAAATAATAAAAGTATAAAATATATATATATATATATATATTCAGATGTAGAAATTCAATTTTAGTATAGCTATCACTATTTCGTGTATGATTACAAATATTTAAAAATCAAAAGCATACATGTATATGGAGTCTAGGGTACTAGATTGTGGTTTCCTGAGTATCTGCTTTATTGCGATAAAATATAGATAGAAATAGAGAATATAATATAACGTGTTTATCATATTCATAGCATCTTCCTCTGCAGAGAACACTTGATCATATATTAAAATCAAAATACAGAGTAACAGATTCAATGCTATGGTTATTAGAAGATGTGAGACTTTACATTTTATTAATCGAGTTTGTCTGGGTATCTGATTGTGAGTGCTCATTTTTTAATTGTTTCCAGATAAGATATACTAGCCAATTTTCTTGATATGATGGTATTGTAGCTATTTCTTTGGTGAAATGAACTGAGTAATCAAGTTTGTGTATTTCATTTTCGAATGATTCTTGGGCTTGGAGATGACTGGGTGACACTCCGTGAGTTATATACACACCGTCATCCTTTAAAACTCCCATAGAAAGATTTAAAAGTTTTCTCACAAAGTCCCACTCTCTTCCATCAATTTTTGAAACAACCGGAATGCATGTTATGTCATTTATGACAATGTCAACTTTCAACCTATTTTTCACAGCTTTTTCAAGATATTCTCCTGCATCTCCAATGATAATTCGATAATTTTTTCCCGTCATAGAATTGAGAACATCGCCGCAAATTGTTGGTAAATATATCTTTGTAACGTCGATTGCCCTTTGATCATAATCAATGACAGTTATCATGGACGGACCGAGATCCTTGATTCTGCGCAGAACGCATGCATCGCCTCCTCCAAGAATAAGCACAGTTTTATCGACGTAATCGACCTTCCCAAATCCGGACATTGCATGAGAAAATCCTTCATAGTCAGACTCAGCAAGATTCAAATCGCCGTTACAATAAAAAACATTTCCAAATGCGACGGAGTGTAGAATTCTAATGTTCTGTCTTGACGTAACTTCATCGAGAACTACTTTATCAAAATCTTTTTCGCCGATCATTCCATCGGAGACATCGTAACAAGAAAACTCTCGGCCTCGTTTCAAAGCAGGAAGACTTTCATACCGAGGTGTTTTAGGTATTTCTGCAAAGTCTAATTTTCTAATATTTTCATCTAACTGATTCACACGATCTTTAAAATAGGAATTCCTTCTTGTTGTAGCGTGAATGTCCAATGTAAACAGACCGCCATCAGTTTGTTGCAACAAGACTTTTAATCCATTGCTGTTCATATAAAGTGCAGTAATCGAATCTTTTCTATTTTCAAACATAAGATTGCAGTTCATGTCCAATGTCTTGATAAGTTTGCTCATTTGATCCATAAATTTTTTTGTTTCCTCATTCACTTTGTTAGTGTTCATTCGAAACTCAAGAAGCCATGAATCCATTTTAGACTCGTGTAATGGGTGCAAAGAGCAATTGAATAATAGTCTAAAGATATTGAGAGATATAGGGAGTAGTTACTTAGAAATTAAGAGATAATATTATATAATGTCTGACATAAGCGATAACTGAATGAAATAAAAACAAACAGAAGCAACTGTACTACACCCAGTCTATCCATCAATTAGCTTTTAAGCGGATTCACTTACAATCAAACTGCAAAGCGCTGTGGTTACACTATATATAGTTGGCCAAAATTAGTCGACGCTGAGAGAATCTACTTCCCACTGTACTAACTAAGGTCTAAACTCTCATGCCAAAAAAGAAGCTTCCTTTCCTATCTTGGCGAATATCATTCTACGTGTTCAGTGAATCATCAATCATCTCAATTTTCATAGCTGTGATTGTTTGAGCATTTCAAGATTGACTTGTTGGTGAATTTTTTTTTAAACACATGTTTTATATATCCGCATGTAATCGATGTGTGATCTTGGGCGGTTTCATGTTGTTAACACAGTATCAAATCTGATCGACTCTAATTAAAATGTCATTTGGCGGAAGCAGAAATTAAATTGTTAACACGTGACCACGTACAAGTCACGCTGCATGAGCTCAAAGAGTTTTCACGTGAAAAAAGGTGTCTTGATCGATATCAATGTTCGTGTGATGTGGATGAGCTTAGAGTTCTATCGTTTTATGATGCGCCTTGATTAATATCAAATTCGTGTGATAAAGATATGTTATAAGGTTCTTGGTTTGCCTAATTGACGTTATATGAAAAAACGACCTTCACGTTATCAAAAACGACCGTGTTCTCATTCCCAGCAAACTAAGCTTAACAAATAAACTTTGAATCATTAGCTTCTATTTAAAGTTGTCATGAAATCCATTATATGATCAAAAATTTTCGAGAGTGGATTGCCGTTGGGGCAATACAACAATTAAAAACATTTCTGAATTGTACCGTCGAAGATCTTTGCCGATGGCGGAGAAGAATAATTCCATTGTAATACAAACGAGTAGGAAGTAGAGTTGAGGGCTAAATATATTTAGCTTTTGATAGGAATGAATAAATGTAATGTGAAATTTTTAATTTAACCATGCTAGATGAAGCAAAATAAAACATTTTCTCATGCAAAGCGAAATTGTAATAATTTTGAAAAACGAGCAAAATAGCTCAAATGTAAATGAAAGACCTGTAATTCGGTTGCCAAAGTTAAAAAAAAAAAAAAAAAACAGGTCGTCGTATAATTGAGTTACGGTTCTGGATGAACTCCTCGGCCTGAATACATAATTTGCTATATAATGCTTTCTAATTTTGCATTATTTTTTGCTGAATTATGAGGGCACCTCTTACATTTACTTCCCAACAACGAATGTTGTATAAGTAAAGTATGTATTCACGCGATAGATATCTAGGTGCATAATGAGAGACCGCAATTTCATAAAATTCATCAATTCTTTTAATATAATTATTTTGTCAATAAACCTTTATAGTTCAGTTTCAATGTTAAAATATCGTAAGTTGATAATTATTTCAAAGTCGAGGTAGATCAATGCTTTACAATATATAAAATAATATTTCGAAAAAGAGGCAATAAGGGGAAGCTTTGCCAATTCTGTGTTTTGGAAGTAGTGGAGCATTTGCTAATAAAATTTAGAAGCACTGGTCATTGTGTAATGATGTACAAAAGCCTTGTAAACATGCTAACAAATATTAACCCTTTTATCACAAATTAGAAATGGAAAATCTATATAATTTGGAGCGTTGAAATCAGATTGACCCCGAACAAGAATAGTGCTCTGAAACAAAGATATTTTGGCTCTGGGACTGGACATGTTCCATTAATTTTGTGATTATATATCTTACAGAGCTCCATAATAAAATATCGAATATAACTGAAATAGGTAATATCAACAAGTCAAAAGATTGTTTAATCAATAACACACATGCTGAGACTAATTTACTCAAGTTCAAATAGAAAATCCAATTCAGTACCCTCCATCTTCTCTTCGTAAAGATGATCAAAGACAATATTCTGGTTTAAAGTAAAATAATTTTTCCAATCCCCGACTTGTCCCTTTCTCATAAATTTAAACTGGGAAAAATTCATACCAAGGCGACGCCCTACTTTCGCGAGGGCAGGATTTATGTTTTTGCTCATTGTATCAAACGAACACTCTTGAATTATGTCCTGCACTTGCTGATTAGTCAATTCTTTATCCAAAAACTTGGAAATTGCTTTCACTTCAGATTTCAAATCTTTTTTCAGTGATTCATACGTGACAAAATATATTCGTTCTTTATCTTTCTGAAATTCCTGAAGAAGAAGTTTTCACAATGTCAACTAGATATACCCATTTCTTGTTTTACACTGAAAACTACTAACTACTTTAACAATATTTAATATTGCTATTCCAGTGACAAAAAATGAAATCTTTTTGGGTGAACGGGGCGGTCCTTGACTATTTTAATCTTGAATATGTAAAGTTTGAAAAAAATCAAGAAGGAATTAGGATTGATAACATAATTGTAAAGTGTTTAATCGTATGGGCTTTAATATTTGGTCCCCTCGAATATTACCGTCGCAATTTTTACAGTAAACCTTTAGTTAGTTTCGATTATAAATTTGATTGTAACTTCTATGTGTTGTAACATGTCTCACGTCGATAAATATTTGTATTTCTTTTGGCGTCGGTGGCTTAGTGTGGATTTTCTGTCTATAAGCGATTTTATTCCAGTATTATAAATTATATTTTAACGTGGGTAGATTTCAGAATCTGTTACACACGATGGTTTTTGCAAGCTATTCATAAATACCTACTTTCCAGTATTTCAAATTATGGTCGAACCAACTTCCAGCTTCAATGTTTCCTGAAGAAAATTTGGATAGAAATTCGCTCCATGTTCCGGGGTTTTCGAATATTTTATTCCCCATTTTGTGGAAGAAATAATAGGAAACACACAAATCCTTCGGATTTCTTGCAACATAGATAATCTTGCCCTTTCTGTTTGTCCTCACTTCCTCCGGCAGCAGATCGAACGGATAATGAGTTTTAATTATTCTTGATTAAATGAAAGAGCGTCAGATATTAGATAATTTATAATTTAATAATTATTTGATATCTTGCGAAATCCAATGCTTCAGTAAATGTTTAGATACTTCTTTCTACTGGTTAATAGATACTTGGAACGTTTTATATATTAGAGAAACATAGGGTAAATGTACAATTTGCTATACTATTGTTATCTAGCTTTAAATAAATAAAAAGAGATGTTGGGTGACAATAGAATAGGTTTATTTCGTCATGCAAGGAATCACAAATAATTAAGTCAGACAAAAACAAAATATTATACATAGATAGATATAGATATACATATAGAATACCAAAGCGAAGGACCAGAATTAGGTCATCAAAAGTCTGCGACGTCAAAATTTAAAACGAGTCAAAAATAAAAAACGATATAGCGATCAGAGACCGCCGACTTATCAGTCTAGCGGCGTGTATCCTTCGCTCTGACTCAACAGCGACACCGCGTGTCCCATCACTAACTCAATAATAACTCGCTAATTATACGACATGATTCATCTAAATTCATTCATCAATAGGCTTCCGATCCGAGATATGATGAATGCACATGCAAAATTTGGAGAAGATTCAACCTCGCTTTCGTGAGATATCGCGTAACATACGAAAGTGTAAAAGACAAACAAACAAATACCTATCAACATACTTACCGATCAAGATCGCTAAGTAATAGAGGTAAAGAAATATGGGCCCAAAGAGGAACTTGAGGTATAGTAAATTTAACAACAACGTATGATTTGAAAAAGCTCAATTGTACGAGTGCTAAGGCATAATTTCATGTAGAACCAGCCATATGAATTTTTTGGGGTGACGAATAAGGGAGAAGTTTGGTCCATGGTCGAATTTTCGCGCAGATATCGAAGTCGACTCCAGCAACCTATCTTTTTGGTTTCAGTTGGTTAGCTGCAGTGGTCAGTCAACAATGAACAAGAAAATAATTGTTTAGGTTGCTTAGAGACAACACGCATTGATAATTGGATTTCTAGTGATAGAAAGTTTATAAATGAGTGAGTAGGAGGAATGTACCATGTTATTTCACTCAAAAACTAATAGCTTCTGTTGTATTGCAGGTTGTGAAGACCATCAGTAACTACCGGTACCGTAGTTTTTGATCAAATATTTTTTACATGTGATTTTGAAAGTGGTGTCGCCTTGTGACTTCATTTAATGTGGAGTGCCGTATCTTATTTTGACTTTTAGCGATTTAAATTTAACATTTTTCTCTAACGTTAGAATTGATTTATGGCTGGAAAGAAAATCTGTGTCATCGGCAAATACTTTTGTTAATAGGTTAGAGCATTGAGTGAAGTCATTTAATATATATTAGGAATATATTGGACTAAACATAAGCCCTGTACGACGCTGCAAACTATTGATAAAGTTTATGATGTTATTTTGTTGATTTTTACAAATCGCACTCGGTTTGTTAAGTAGCTTTTCAAAAGTGATGAAAACAGAAATAAATCGGCAATTTTAATGTCTAAAATTGGTTGACAATAACTTGACATATAACGTGCTATTTTCTTCGACTATTGTAGATAACAAACCCTATAGTCCACTTAGTGTTACAAATGACCTGAGGGTATTATGACCTGGCTGCTCATCACTGGCACATTTTTTTTAAATATTGATGTTCTTTATAATTAACTAGTTTCTGATTGTCGAATATATCAGTTATTGAAATGTTTAACTGCGTAAAAGCGTTTTTTTTCCCATTTTACACACAATCTCAGCGATTTCTTTCTTTTACTTGATTATTTAAAAGTTTTGTATTTCTCCGTATGGAAGTATTTGTATGTTCTCATCGTAACAAAGTTGGAACAACAACAATTGAATCACTAAAATGCATCTATTCGAATTTCTGAAACAATTACCTCTGCTTATTTATCGGCCAATTTTCAACGGACTGTATTCCACGAAGGACCGGTGGTGCATCAACTGCTTCTAAGAATGGACTTCTTTCAGGTATCGACGTCTTCCTAGATGTTTCAATGTCGGCGTCGTTACAGATAAGCCATACAAGTTGTTGCATCCAGGTTGTACCTATACGGTAACAACAACTTTTAGGATTTCCAAATTAATAAAAAAAATATATGAAACCTTCAACTTCTCATTGTCAAATATCATTTTCCTGTACTGCTTGTGAAGTAATTCAAATTGTGAATAACTCTAGATTGAAAGGGCTTGTTGCGATGTTATGCCAATTTAGTTCAGTGTAAATGTACATTTCCGATTACAAACAAATGAAAAATATTTTAATTTTGATACATTCTAAATTCTGAATAAAAAAAAAAAAATTCATTGGAATTCAACTTCATATCCGTAGCCAACGAATATTTATTGCTCACCTGCTTTTGGGTATGTGGCGATAAAAACATCATCATCTCGTGCTTTCAACTTCAGCACTTCCTCCAATGTAGATACAAACATGGGATTTCCAACAAACAGGGTGTGGCCATTCGATGCCTTAACTCCTCTACATTTTGTTGACTTAGGGAACAAAGTAATAAGCCGAGTGGTGTTCATTTTGTGCATAATCTTTGAGCCTGTACAAAACAGGAAGATTTGAATAGAGCATATGTAAAACAGAATGAAACAAAGCGAACAACATATTTACATTTCCATGTGTGGAATGCACACTTACCGAGAGACAATAAATCGCATTTTCGCATTGATTTTAATGCATTGTATAATATTACTACAGCAACTAAGACAAGAGATGTGACAATCAATCCAAGCATGGTTTTGATTTTCAATACAGAAATAGATACAGCAGTCAAAGCTACATGAAATAAATGTATAAATAAGGATTTATAATCTGGTAAAAAAAGACGCAAAACATTTTTAAGATGAAATAAAATGTAATTCTAAGTAAATTTTGCAGGCAATACTCTTCATTTTAAAGTGTTACAATTAAACTTTAAATTTTAATCATAATCCATGACATCATTTCAATATTTTAATCGTAAATATTTCAATCTGTAAATCAAAATTTAGGTACGCTTCCTGTGTAAGTAGTTCAAGCCTTTATATTAAACAGAAGATCCAGAAAGTTTGGTCCGCGTTATCAAAAACTCATAATAACTTTCTCGACAAATAATTTGGGGCGTGCAAAATAAATAAATCTTATCATTTTTTAGCCCCTCCTATCATCATGTCTTACTGAAGTTCACAGTTGCTATCGATTTGGTTCATAGTAACGCTGAAGTTTCAGTTGAAAAACAATATGAGAACTAAATTCAAAAGAAGAAATCAAAATAATATATATTCTCAAATATTTCAAAGACTGCTCGAAAATTTTAGTGTAAAATTTTCCAACATGACAACATTTAAAATATATTGTAACAAAAATTTCAATGTGAATTGTTTTTTAAAATTGTAAACAGATATATATATATATATATATACATTTTTCGGCATCACGTTCATATGATTGCCTCAGGGTATTCGTAACAAAAATCAAACAATTAATCTGAATGACGTTGTCCTGCACACACTATCTATTCTGCCTATATCTGCTCTACTACATAAATCCATTTAACTGGTTTAAAACACTGTATATCTTATACGAAAAAAGAACATGACTGCGCCACACCAGGCTTTTACGTTTTTTCAAACATTTGTGGGGTCTATTTTACACTTTTAACATTTGCCGCACCGTGAACTGTAAGTTCGCAGTGACATATACTCGGAACAAATTCGAAAGTTATCTATGCTGAACAAGCTTTCAAGAATTTTCAACAAATTACTCTTTGAAACCTACAACATGCTAGCTAGACTGAAGACTTCACAGAATTTAAAATCATGGTCGAAAGTCAGTTAAATCGAGTATCTTGTTTCGCGCTTTCTTTAGGTTTGACGCGCTTTTTGCGTACGTGTTTAGCGTGACGTTGAGTTTTGGGAAGCGCTAAGTCGTCATGTGATTGTAAATGTTCTCAATTATATAATTCGAACTGAATAAAGATCTCACTGTTGGCTAGCTTGATTTAAAGTAAACTGAAAATTTATTTGTCGTTCCTATTAGTATCGGAATAGAGAAAATGTCTTAATTGGTGGTATGCGTGGTTGGTGGTTTGTACGTGTGTCATAGTTCCGCCGTAGGTAAAAATATTTTACGATAAACTTAGTTTGTAGCGGTTTTATCACCAGTGGCCGATTAATAGCGTATGCAAGAATGAATTTCATTTTGATTAATGTGACTAACACATTCTTCATGAATTGTACGATCAGCTGTTGTGAGATATTGTGAGTTGTGACATCCGGACTGTAGCCGGAGATAAAACTTTATATACAACGAACTCTGCTGGTATCGTTACCGACACATAACATGTAGGGGCGACCACTAAATGATGCCAAACCCGGATCCATTTATTAAAACTATATTTCTTTGAAGTACATATTTATATTTTATTTATAAAACGTTTTACAAATTTACTGTTCGCGGGAGAACACGTCCTAATTTCGCTATCCAACCTGTCTAAGGCTGCTTAACCTGGCTTGCGATTCTTCTACTATGTAACAGAATAAAACGTGAGTAAAATTACTTTTCACTAAACTTAGATTTGATTAGTTTGTTCTAACACTTGCCATAATGTAATATTATAATAAATAAATTAATATAATTTTATAAAAATTTTGAGTAAACGTACTTGAGCGGAACGAACCCCACTGACTCCCCCAGAGGTAAGCACAAAATATTTATGATGCCAAATATATATATATGTTACACAATCGAATTGATCCAGATAGCAGATAATATTCTAAATACGAGTGTACGATTGAAATCTAAATTGATACTAACTACGTAAATACAATAACCTACTTCGCAACTCTCGTCCGATTGCGGGAAATGCGTCATCATTATCTTTGACATATACGCGACGCTTAGCATGGAAGCTCGCCACGATTATCTACCAAAAGGAAACAAAGTTTCAATTCATTCAACATGCTATTAATGATTAGGGGTTAAAATCACATTGAAATCCATAGTAATCATAATATCAGCATTGTCGTGGACTTGAAATTTTGTCGTTTTCAAGAGGTAATGTAACAACACGAAATAGCTCGTCGGCGAGTTATGAATGCGCAATAGGAGAATTGAGAGCATTTTTAAAATCGCCGAAAACTTCAGAAACTAAGCTTCGCTTTGTTCGGTTTGGGCAAAAAGTATAAAACAGATTGCCTGGAGAAATGGACATCAGTTGAAATTGCAGAAGATGTGTGAGAAATTTGAAACAAAATATTGAAGTATATAAGCTTTCTAACGGTTTCACCCAACATTAAGTATATATTGAAAACGCCACTATAGAGTTAATTATAAACAATGGTAATTAGAACTTAACAATACGATTCATAGTGCCAGGGCGTGCCACATTGTTCAATGAAGTCTTGCTAAAAAATTCTATCTATGTTTTATCTAATAACCTTAGTAATGTATTCAACACTGTTATCTCGATTCCAACTCCAGCAAGCTTCTAACAATCTCTGATAGTAAACATGTACAGCAGATTTATTTATACATTCCTCAAACACAACAACCAAATATTTTATATTCAAGTCTATTTATTCCAATTCGAAAATAAAATCCAAATCAGCATTTTCCATTTTGTCTTCGTACAATTTATCGAAGGCTTCATTTTGATTTAGAGTGAAATGATTTTTCCAATCGCCAACTTGCCCTTTTCTCATAAATTTCGATTTTTGAAAATCCCACCCATACTTTTTTGCGTGACTGTAATTGACTGTCTTATTTTTACTCATGCTGCTGAAACTGCAATGAGCGGTTATAGAGTCAACTTGATCTTGTGTCAAATCCTTCCCTAAAAATTCAGCAATTGAGATAACTTCTTGTTTCAAATCTTTCTGCAGATTTTCATATGTTGTAAAATAAATTCTTTTATCCTCTTTAGCCTTCTGCAAGAAATATTAAATTGTTTTAGAATCACTGGTAAAGCAAATTTTCTCGTGAAAAACATGACGTCTTAAATCAGAGGCATTTGATTAGTGTATCGGGCAGTAAACTGGACATCCTTTATTGAATAGCCGCAAGACTATTTCACAAGTCAGCAGGTTATAATATCGTGATAGAAGATAAAAGTCGATTATTTCATATGTAGATTAGCTTATATCCACACAATTTGCAATTCCATGATGTCGTTTTAGGAATGCAATTCAACGGGTCACACACAGTTAGACATAATATATATACTGCAATGTTTTATGCACTTACCTCCCAATATGTCAACGCATGAGTGACACAACTGCCCCAACCAACGTTCCCGGTACAAAAATTTGTCACAAATTCACTCCAACTGCCAGGATCCTCCATTCCCAGGTTCATTTGGTGGAAGAAATAAAAGGAAACACACAAGTCTTTCGGATTTCTTGCAACGTAGATTATTTTACATTCTTGACCTGATTCAGAAAAAATCTCCTGGGGTAGAAGTTCATAAGGGAGATGAGTCTTGATAATCCTAAAATATATGGAATATAAAAACTAACTACAATTAAAAATCAATTTCATTTAATATTCGTTATGTTGCTCAATATTGCCTCTAATCAACGAGCTTAGTAATTCTTGAGGCAACGGCGTGAAGCAATAAGTTCGAACTTTTGCCGCAAAATTGCCTCAGTGATATCATTCGGATGAAATAAGTCTGTCTGTGAGTCTACAAACCTTACCTACGACTATTAATCGGCCAAGATTCAATTGACTGTAATCCCTTATTCTCGGTGCCAATATCAATTGTTTCAATGAAAGGACTCCTCGCCGTCAGCGGAGAAGTTTTTGCAGTTTCAGTGTCAGCGTTATTGCAAATGAGCCACGTTATCTCTTGGACCCAAGTCGTCCCTAAAACAATATGAGTCAGGGCTTGCTTGTTGCTATTGGAATTACAAAAGATAAATATACTAGATAATTATATTTACGGTAGTTAACTGATTGGTGCATGCAGTGCTGGCATTTATTCGCCACAATCTTTTTGATGGGAGTAGTCGACCATGTCTTCTGCTGTGGTTACAACACGAGTCAAATTTTTAGAATGGGCTATTAGCCCAGATCTATTGTTATTGTCACACCTGGTCAATTCAAAATTGAGTCTTTAACAAATTGAAGAAATCAGCATAATATAAATTTGTAATAGCTTTGCTTTGAGAAACGCAGATTACAAACCAGCTTTGGGGTAAGTGGCAATGAAAACATCATCTTTTCTGACTTTCAGCTTGAGAGCTGGTTCCAATATGATACCGTACATGGCGCTTGGAGCCATGAACCTCACGCCGTTAGGAGCCACGAGTTCCGTAGATTTTGGTCTCATTTTTTTGTTCAGTCCGGTTTTTACGAGAAAGGTCATCAATCCAGATCTTGACATGAAATTCATAACTGAAATTTCAAGAAAAATAATCTGACACTCCAAAAAGATTTGTTTATCCAAGGTTATTATTATTTCTTCCAATCACTTTACTGGGAAGTATGGACTTGTACCAATTTGTGAATATTCTAACTTAGAAGTTCGCAAACTGGGGTACATGTACCCCCAGGGGTACATTTCGTTATTCCAAGGGTCTTATTCGATTAAGCATTGAAATATTCTTTCCATAACATCCAATATGTCTTAAAATATTTTTAATATCTGAGAATAATAATTTAAAAACCTGAGTTTGTGAACTTCGGGGCAAGTCACATTCTCACTTCAGTAAAAGCAATATCTTCAACAACAATAAATATCAAGTCCACATTCGCAGTTCACGTGACTTATTTTTTCTAATCACACACACAAATCAAAACAACTGATTGATTGCTATACGAGAACAGTTCGATAGAAGCTAGCAATTTGCTCTAACACTATTTTCATTTCTGTGTCAAAATATTGGGGGTACACGAGCCGACGAAGTGATCTATAAACTGTGCAAATGGTATCTATGAACAGAAAGTTTGGAAAACCCTGTTATAACTAACTAATTCTATGTCAATATGAGTATTATATACCTTAATCTTAATTTAAACATGTTTTATATATGCTATGTTTTGGGTATTGGCGGTTACAGCTACCTTTTCACAAATTACAGAACTAAATCACAAGTTTCATTATTGAAGACGGTCCATATTGAGTCAAGCTTTATTATATAATATTTCAGTAACATTTTACACTACATTTACTTACCATAATATACAACATCGACAGGCCTGATTGACCTCAGGTAAAGTACCGATAATAAAATTGCAACCGCAGTGAATAAAATAATGTAGAACAGCATAATAACTACACTGAAATAAACTATAAAGTAAAATAAATATAAGGACGAATATTCAGTCTCGAGTATTTAACGTCAGTAACATTGCCGATTGCTATTAAGCAAAACTGCATATCTCATGTCCAAAACAAAAAGACATATACCGTTCATATGCTAACGTTTACTCTGTTGCTCTCGGCATATTACGTCATTATGCGTGACTAGTGCAATAGATTTGTGATAGAACATTTTTAAAGAATTGTATTTGTACTAAAACTGTGCTACTCAAAATATAATATAATTGAGAATTCGAAAATGATATACGATTTGTTTACGGGCTATTTATATTTGTTCGAAATAATGCACTTTGTACACATACTATATCACAAACTAAAAACACCAAACCAAAAGTACAAATGGTTCACGTTTCAATATACATAGCCTTTAATGAAACCAGCATAATATATGCATATATAACAAATTCTGTGAGCAAACAGAAAACAGCTAAGCTTATTTGCCGGATTCTGTAATCATGGACCGTGACCATATTTGGTGATTGCCCTGGGGCGGCCAACTTCTATATTATGACGATCAATGTTGTAAACAAGTGTATGACAAGGCATTTTCTCACATGTGATGTCTTCCTCGAAATTTCCACGTTTGGAAACAAAATTCAGAATTGCGCGATATTATATACCCGCGGTCATAACTTTTGTTTAATTAACTAAATAGTTTGAAGACCGTAAAAGCATTGTGGACAAAAATGTTATCTGAACAAGAGAGCTATGCTCAAATATATGGACACGTAGCGCTACCTAGTGGCAAATTCGGATGACGTCATAGCACACAAAAAAACGAATCCCATGCAGCTCACCGGAATATTTGAAATAAATAAAAGTAATAGCCTTCTTCATGTAAACTTCATAGTTTAAATGCAAGGAAATGTCCCGTCCATTACCTAATACAAACCTATCTATCAAAATACATGTGGGAACAGATAGGGTTCTTGTGTTAAAAAAGTATTTAAGTAAAGACTGCCAGTTGTTACAACATGGCTAGGATGTCGGGTAAATGTCATCTACGACTGAAAAACATGGTCTAAATATAAAGCAATCAAGATGTTTATCAATATTCAGGTTAAATATGCAACATTACTCTTCTCAAAAACCCCGTGCTTTTAATCGAGTTCAAAAAGAAGTTTTAATCCAGTATTCTTCAATTTTTCTTCATACAATTCATCAAAAGCAATGTTTTGATTTAACGTAAAATAATTTTTCCAGTCTCCCACTTCTCCTTTCCTCATGAATTTGTAATTATCAAAATCCCATCCATATTTTGCCGTGTGAGTATAATTTGTTGTAATGTTGTTTCTCATATTGCTGAAATAACAGTGGGTTGTTATCGAATCAATTTGTTCATCCGTCAAATCTACAGAGAGAAACTTTGATAACGAAACTACTTCCCCTCTTAAATCCTTTTTCATTTTTTCGTAAGTTGTAAAATGAATACGTTTATCTTCTTGTGATTCCTGGAAACATAAAAAGAGTCTTAGCATAAAAACAAAATGTAAATCTCTTAATCTCTTCTAAATTTAGCCATAAGCAATGGGGGGATGTGATCTCCGATACAAAACTTCAAACTTATGTCCCATGTCTCCAGTGCCAGAAAGACAAATCTTTTTCTATTGATAGAAATCTTTCTTTTCGTTTTTATCTTTATGAAAGATACAATCAGCTTCCATGAGTGCTAGGAAATAGGTTTTAAGAGTTTTTTAAACTATGAGGGATTGGCACCCTCCATACGAATTCCCACCCCTTCTTCGATATTAGGATCTCTATTTAGGTGCCCTGAGTCTGGAACACGAAGTATAGTACCAACGGTTTCAATGTAGTAAAAACACGTTCAAATTATTAGACCTAATTTTAAAAATGAATAATCTCCTCATTGGTTCAAGGAACATACCTTCCAAAATTTTAAGGTGTGCGAAAACCAACTTCCCCAGGATACCCCTCCGGAACAGAATTTATCCAGAAAGTTATTCCAAGTTCCTGAGGATTCCATTGTTACATTCAAATGGTGAAAGAAATAATAAGAGACACACAGATCATTTGGATTCCTTGCAACGTATATAATTTTACAGTTTTTGCCAGACTCCTTGGAAAGTTCCTCGGGTAATAGCTCGTACGGAAGATGCGTTTTTATTATCCTTCAGTAGGAGATATAATGATAATTCATGTTATGATCTATAGTTGAAACTTTTTTAAATATGAATTCAACTATATTTATAACAAAGAGGTATCCCCGATAACATTCAAAATCTGTAAATTGGTAGCATACGAGAACTCGAAATCTTAAGAATAATTTTAACTTTATAGCTAATATTTTGAAAGAAATACAAGATTACGAATTGCATCATTACCTTTCGAATCTCAACTCAAAAGCGTTTTATGATATTGTCCAACAGCTCAGTACGTTTAAAATAGACTGTGCGAATTTCATGGTTTTGCATAATCCAATACGACATAAAATATATATAACAATTTAACCCGTAGGCCTACAACTAAAAAATACTTCATTTACTATTTGTTAAGTTGCTCAACATTGCCTTTAATCAACGGAATATTTGATTCAAGAAGTAACATAATAAAGCAATAGTTTCTACTTTTTGTGGCATTATGTCTATACCTAACCTACACCAATATTTACATTTATTTCGAACGTTTTCCGCTAAAATGGGCCCACGATATCACTTGGATGAATTGAGCCCTTTTGCGAGTCTACAAACCTTACCTACGACTATTAATCGGCCAAGATTCGATTGACTGTAATCCCTTAATCTCGGTGCTAATATCAATTGTTTCAATGAAGGGACTCCTCGCCGTCAGCGGAGAAGTTTTTGCAGCTTCAGTGTCAGCGTTATTGCATATAAGCCATGTTATCTCTTGGACCCAAGTCGTACCTAAAACAATATTGGAATTTCGGACCTCTTGAACTACGCGCACCAAGATGGCGCACAACCTGGACTCAAGTTGTGTACCAGGTTAGGGTTTAGGTTATGCGACATCTTGGTGCGCATACTTAGGAGTACCGAAATTTCAAATTTAGCTAACTGATCGATGCAAACAGTGCTGGTATGTTATTCGCCACAATCTGTTCGATGGTGTTAGCACCTATGGCCCCTGCCGCGGTTATAACAAGAGTCATTTTTTTAGGACGGGCTATTTGCAAAAATCTCTTGTTACTTTCACAGATAGTCAATTAAAAATTGAGTTTTCAACAAATTGAAGAAATTGGTATAAATTGAATTTGTAGGAACTTTGCATTGTCCGAATCCATGAAGCATGTCATTTAATTTATAAGTAAATACTCTGTAAATCTATTTGCTTCTATTATTTATATTTGTTTGGTTGTTAAACATTAAATGAGAAAAATTAAGCGTTACATATCCCAGGGTATGTGAAAGTCCTAATTGCACCCTGACCAGCATTATCAATTTTAATAAAACTTTATTGTTTTGCAAAATGCATATAGACTTTCTACAAACAGAAGAGTTGCATTGAGTCAATTTTAATGGCATATGGTATGTTGGACTAAACATAATGCATACAAACCAGCCTTGGGGTACGTGGCAATGAAAACATCATCTTTTCTGACTTTCAACTTAAGAGTTGGTTCCAATATGATACCGTGGATAGCGCTTGGAGCCATAAACCTCACGCCGTTTGGTGCAACGAGTTCCGTAGATTTTGGTCTCATTTTTTTGTTCAGTCCAGTTTTTACGAGGAAGCCTATCAGTCCAGATCTTGATATGAAGATCATAACTGCAAATTCATGAAAAATAATTGTAACACTCAAAATATATTTTTTTTATTTTCAAGGTGGTTATTATTTCTTCTAATCACGTTACTGGGAAGTATATGCTTTGTATAGACTCCTAATGCATCAATTGAGCATATTCTAGTCCGGTTGTTCTCCAACTCGGGTACATGTAGGCTACCTCCAATGGTACATTTTGTCTTTTCAAGTGGTACATTAGATTAAGTATAGGGATATTCTTTCAGCTTTAACTACAACTACAGTAACTATCAAGGCTACATTTGCAGTTCACATGACTTATTTTGTTCAATGACAGCGCACAAGACAAAATTGCTTGCTTCAAGAACCGTAGTTACGAAGGTGAGTAATCAAATACGTCTTCCCCGCATAAAGCAACATTCACGTCTCTTAGCCACTGTGAGAATAAAGTCTACAGAGCACGAGTTTACTCATTGTTTCCAACAAATGTGAAAATTGTATCCCTTTTTTGAGGGATGGATTGTTAACATTGATTCTTGCTCACCTTATTGGTACTTCGATACTCGGAATATGCTAAGCAAGAGTATTCGAGAAAAAGACCTAACAGTGTTTGTGTACAGAAATAAATTCAAAGCATTTCTGGCGAAACTTCAGCTGTGAGGGGGGTTTGCTCTAGTGGCAAATCCATGTTTAATACTGTAACCGGGTTTTGGTGTCAAAATTTTGGGGGTACACGAGCAGACAAACGATCTATAAATTTTTCAAAGGGTACCCATGAACTTGAAGTTTGGAATACCCTGTTCTAACGAGTATACTCCTACCTCAGATGATAGTAAAATACTATATATACGTCCAAAAATAGGACATTTGAATGAAAAATCGGATGTGTTTGGCGAATTCTCTTTGTATACGAGTACTATTAATCTTAATTTTAATGTTTGTTTGATATAAAACCAATGCTGTGTTCTGAGTTCGGGCGGTTACAGCTACTGAGATTGCATACCATCGCAGAATCTATCACAATTCTCATTATTGAAGATTGGGACCTCCAATAGTATGCGCACCAAGATGGCGCACAGCCTGAACATAGTAGGTGTGTACCGGTTAGAATTCAGGTTGTGCGACATCTTGGTGCGAATACTTCTGGAGCACCGAAGATGGTCCATATTGGGCCATGCTGTAATATAGAGTCATAGACTATTTAAAGAATATGTTACACTACATTTACTTACCATAATATACAACATCGACTGGTCTCATTGACCTTAGGTACAGTACCGATATTAGAATTGCAACCGCAGTGAATAAAATAATGTAGAACAGCATATTAATTACATTGAAATAAGCTGTAAAGTAAAACAAATGCAGAACGAATATTCAGTCTCGAATATTTAACGTCAGCATAACGGTTAATTCTCAAGTTCAAAACAACAAACGGAAGCGTTTATTTGCAATCGTTTACTCTAGTGCTCTTGTCGTATTTTCTTAAGTGTCTCACGTCATTATGCGTTGTTTGCGCAATAGATTTGCGATCGAACCAAAACCGTGCATAATATAGTCGCCAAGTTGAAAATGATATCAGATTCGTTAAAATGCTACTGCTGTATCTTCGAAATTATGCACTTTGTATATCTATTACATATATCACAAACTAAAACACAACTGGCTCATATTTTTAATATACCTCGCCTGTAACAAAACAAACTCTGTATGCAAACAGAAAACAGCTTTGTTCATTTGCCGCATTCTGTATTCATGGACCGTGACCATATTTGATGACTGCTTCCCTACGGCAACCGACTTCCATTTTACGACGATCAGTATTGTAAACAATTGCCTGGTAAGGCATTTTCTCACATGTGACTTCTCCCTCGACATTTGCACGCTTGGAAACAGAATTCTGAATTGTCCGGTATTATATACTCGCGGTCAGCGCTTTTGTGCGCCTAGAGACCGATGAAGCATCGTGACCAAAATGCAGGGGTTATTTGAATAATGATAGATAACGTAACTATGGCCAACTCAAATATTAAAAATATATTTAGAAGGCCATACGCGATGACTGTGGAAAGTCGCAAAGGTCACAGAAGAAATAAATTGACTTTGTACCTGTGCTACACCAGATTGCCTTAGGCGATTGTAATTTGATAAATAAACGCTTTGATGTCTTCTACAGGGTAAACGTGCTGTGAATTTCATCGTTTAGTTCCTATGCAAGAATATGTCTCGGCCACTACCAGCTATACTACCGAATCTTGATTACGAATTCTAGTATTGAAATAAATGTAATAACAAGTAGGATCCGTGCGTTAAGTAAAGATATTTAAATGTCCAGCGGCCAGCTGTTACAACATGGTTGGGAATTTAGGATGTCGGATAAGCGGTAGCTACAATATACAACATGGTCCATTCTATTGCGTTAAAAATGTTTATCAATATCCAGGTTACATATGAAACGCTAATCTTCTCAGAAAATTCGAGTTTCTCATTCGAGTTCAAAAACCAGTTCTAATCCACTATTCTTCATTTTTTCTTCATACATTTCATCAAAAGCAATATTTTGATTCAACGTAAAATAATTCTTCCAGTCTCCCACTTCTCCTTTTCTCATGAATTTATAATTATCAAAATCCCATCCATATTTTGCCGTGTGAGTATAATTTGTCGCAGTGTTGTTTTTCATATTGGTGAAAGAACAGTGGTTTGTTATCGAACCAATCTGTTCATCTGTCAAATCTACCGAGAGGAACTTTGATACTGAAACGACTTCTCCTCTTAAATCATTTTTCATTCTTTCGAAAGTTGTAAAATGAATACGTTTATCTTTTTGTGATTCCTGAAAACATAAAAAGAGTCTTAGCATAAGAAAAAAAAGGGAAATCTTTTCTAAATTCAGCCATAAGCAATGGTGATAATATGACCCCAATACAAAAAAAAACGTTTAAACTATTAGATAAATTATACGAATTTATACTTCCCTCATTTTTCAAGTACCATACCTTCCAAAATTTCAAGGTGTGCAAAAACCAACTTCCCCAGGCTACTTTTCCGGAACAGAATTTAGCCAGAAAGTTATTCCAAGTTCCTGGTTCTTCCATTGTTACATTCAAATGATGAAAGAAATAATAAGACACACACACATCTTTTGGATTCCTTGAAACATATATAATTTTACACCCTTTTCCAGACTCTTTGAAAATCCCTTCGGGTAATAGCTCGTACGGAAGATGCGTCTTCATTATCCTTCAGTAGGGGATATATTAATAATTTTATGTTATGATTTATCGTTGAATTTTCTCTATGAATTCAAGTATTTATAACAAAGAGGCACCTCCAATAATACTCAATATTTGTAAATTGGTCGGATATAAGAACTCGAAAACTCAAAAAAGTAGTAACTGTATCTATAGTATTTCAAAAGAAAAACATGCTGCGGATTGAATAATTTACTTTCGAATTTTAGTTTTGAATCTAAACTCAAGAGTTTTATGATATAGTACGTTGAGAATAGATTGTACGGATTTATTCCCCAAATTTGTTCACGGTTTTGCCAAATCAGTACCATACTTTACAGGTATTTCTAACGCAATACTAACTATTATTTTATCTTGTATGATAATGGGAATGAAGGTCCCACCTTTGTTTGCCCAGTGGCCAATTTTCTAATGATTGTAGACCCTTTGAATCGGAATCCACGTCAAATAAATCAAGAAATGCACTTCTTCCGGTAACTGTTTCACTTTTAGCAGCTTTTATATCTGCGTTGTTGCATATGAGCCAAACTATTTCTTGCATCCATGTTGTACCTAAACAACACAGAGCTTAAAAAGTTATACGAAATAATTTCTCAACTGTAAATACTTTCATGAAAGGCATTTAGAGTGATGTCCGTGGGAACAATTTGAATTTAAATTTATTTAAGTTTAAATTTTTTCAGGTTATTCCCATCTTGCTAACTTTGTAAAATATATGTATATAATAGTCATTGCATCACTCCTAAAGTTTGTTTCTTAACTATCACCATTTATAATTTTTGCTTCACCTGTTTGAAGGAATGAATGTAAAAATTGAATAATTATTAATAGATAAAACATTACAGGTCATTGGCAGAAATTGTAATACCAACGAACACATGTTTGAATATTAATAACAATTTAAGTTTGATTTCTTGAGCATTAAATGACAACCGATAACCGATTATGACCCTGACGTGATGCTATACGTGCTTCTCCATGATAAGTTTAGTTCAGCCTACCTGCTTTTGGATATGTCACCACGAAAATGTCGTCCTCTCTGATTTTTAGTTTTAATATAGGTTCCAGAAGATGTGCAAAACCTTGACTCTCTGCAACAAACTTGAAGCCATTTGATGCTACAACTTCTACAGTCGGTGATCTGATTTTTTTGTTTAGTCCGGTTTTTATCATCAGGGCCATTAACCCTGATTTCATAGAAACTTTCATGGCTGAAAATAATCGAAATTATTTGCGAAGTGAAATTGGAATACCGGTGAAACTATTTGCAAATACGGATTTCACCTATAAATACAAAATGCAGAGGGAAATTCTCTCGTACAATGAATATTTCATTTTAATCGGTTTTGCTTTTCATAGCGTTACCCACCCATTATGCATAATTCTATATAGTGGGATTTAATCATAATTTCTTAACCTTTCATTTTGCGCTAATGCAACAATAAACAATGTTAAGCATTGTTACTCCAATTACTTACCCAAACTGACGACATCCGCAGGTCTCATCGATTTTATATACATTGCAGAAATTACAACAGTAACAATAGTTACCAGCAGAATGTAGAAAAACATATTATCGGTATAAAATTACGCTTAAAATATAATGTGACAGAGAAAATTATAACGGTCATGTTTCTTAGTAACGAGTGTAGTTTCCAAAACATCAAAGAGCAACATTCAAGAATTGCGACGTATAATTATTTGCCTTCCTCTAGCGCAGGGCTACTCAATTGGCGGACCGCGGTCCGAATTCGGACCTTTCGGGTATTCGATTCGGACCGCGACTAATTCTTTATTTTGGATCATTAGCCCCACTTTTGAAGTTTCCTTTTATAAAATCATTTTTATAGGTTTAAATATATATGAAAAGAACTCTAACGCTATAATAAACAATCTTATATAGCTAATAATTATCAGTCTGTTGAGGAAGTGCGTGTTCAAGGATGCCGAAATACAATTTCTTATAAGTTAGGACCCAAATATTTTTTAAGATTTGTATGCGGATCTTCGGTAAAAATAGTTGAGTAGCCCTGCTCTAGCGTATCGAAAATGCTATTTTTTAACTGATAAAATATATATATTGGCAATTACAGTTTCCTGTTGGAAATTTGAATTTATAACAGTAGCATACGTAACATGCTTATAGATGTGACATACTAATGAATATATATATATTAGGCAAATAAAAAATGTAAATTTTTTCCACATTTATGCCCCACAAATAAAAGAAAATATTTCGAAACTACAAATCCTCACTCATAAACGAAGTTCCTGTGCTATAATATTATGTGATAGAAGATACATGTTACCAGTGGCTAATAATTTTAAATCTACCATGAATACAGCAGTAATCATTCTCCTTAGTATAGAGCATATTTGGGATGGCTATTCTATTCAACGTCAATCACTGTATGAGACTCTTAAATTGAAAATATAATCTCCTTTGCGCACTAATTCCTATCATCTGTGGATCGCTCTGTTCTGTAATATGTCTAATCACCTTCAATGGTCATTCCTTTCAAACTCTTGAGTTTAGCCCTAAGCCATATTGAGATCATATCGAAAACTAAACCAACATTCCTAGAATGTCGATAATTCTTATCAACCAGAACTTATTAAATCAATGTCGGCCTTGGTCGTCATTCGCCTTCATGCCATATTTTTGAGCATTACGTTTATGTTAATTTGTTAAGGCATTGCATAGATTTATTTTTGATTTATCAAAGCCATTTGAACTTTCGTACACATTGACAATAATAGCACATGCTAGCAATCTTCAACCTGATGCGTAATGCGACCACGTGTGAATCGCAAAGGTATAGACAGGGAGCGCATGCTCGTAACATGGGCACATAGTTCCCTCAAACCCAATCATTTCACATGCCTGGTTAAATATTTGGAAGCAATCAAACTAGTGCAGAGTAATTGATTCACAATTTCACGATTAATGTTGATTATTTTGAGACTACTTTGACAATTTGACGAATGCTGACTGGCTGATATACTAATTAGGCAATTAGTCTCGTACTATACAGAGACCCAAAACTAGCTTTAATATATCCCTACCTGCAACGCTACATTGTTACATTTAAAATCAATATAATAAACGATTTTCAATTACTACCCTGTGTATTGTCTATTCTCATATGCGTTGATAGGCAATATCTGTACTGGCAATATCTGTACTGATATCTTGTAAATACGTTCAAATATGCCAAAGCGAAAGCCGTATCGTAGCTATCTCGATCCATCCATCTCGCGCTACCTTTATTTCTAAAACTAACGTCGCGTAACGGTCTGAAAGGTACCATTACATTTGAACCCACGTACATATGAATCCATGACAATCGCACCTGCATACTATTGCACATATGGATTTTTTTTTACGGTTATTTGAACCCATACTAACCATGGGTTTTAGCACCCGCGTATAGATTGAACTCGCGGATATACACATGGGTTCAAATGTACGTGCATGTGTTCAAATGTACGGTCACGGTCTGAAGGGCTTTTCTAGCGATAAGATATTTTTAAGTCGTTTGAAAAAGACCTCTGTCGATGCTACGATAGTATACCGACCATGCATTAAATGTTCGACTGTGTGACAATTTTAGTGGATACGCGGATACAACGTCTACAATTGCATGCAACAATCAAAGAGTGCGTCGAAATCTCCGCTAAATTTCAAAAGCTATCTTTAATAGAATCCGATTATATAACAGTGGCAGTAACTAATAATGGCTTTTATTTTTCCCATTCACTAGAATAATTCCAAACTGCACCAAGTGATGAAATTAGGGTCCCGATCGCCATTCCAAAGGACCCCGCATATAAGTGTGCTATGTCATTTGGGTTTGTGCGTAGAAGTAACCTCGATTCTTAATTGCGTTTTTTTTTCCTGCCGTTTTCGCGACTGAAAGTTTTCTGCGGGATAAATTTGCTCAATGACAAATCAGGATCTTATCTGAGCATGTTAATAATATCACCGCCTACTCACGCTCGCCTTAGACCACTTTTGGGTAATTTTGGTCCATAATAAAATTTCAAAATAAACTTGTATTTCTTCTTGCACATGGGTTATTAATTCCATAATCTTCCACCCATAGCTCCATATTCCAATTGCATTTTTGAAGATGCAAAATGGACGGAGAGTGTGATATTTATTTACTCTCAATAGTTTTATAAAGATGATGACTAGATGAACAAACTCAACCATGTCGAGCATATTTATCAATATTCATTAAATGACCCTCAAACTTGCGATAAAAGTATTGACAAGGAAAAATAAATTACGCGCGTAGAGCACAATTTTTTAAGAATTTCTGCATATTTACTAGACGGATAATTCAGTTTTATTCATGTTTATTTCAATTACTTCAATGTGCCACCAAAGAGGATCTGGAAGCAATGTAAAGGAAAAAAATATCCTGATTAATTATATTTATATATCAAAACTTGGTTTTTCTTCTTATGTTTATCACTTAAATTCAACATCTAATTAAGATACACGTTAACTTACTATAGAGGACTTGCACGGGTCACGTGACATTGTTACTGGACGGCAATAAAACAAAAACGTCCATTTGGCTCCTGTCAGTTGCAAGTCGGATTATACGTTTCCGTTTTGTTTGGCTGTTGAAAATGGTTATTTCGTTGTTCTGTTGGCCGTACGTATAGTATAGACAACGAAATGGATCTTCAGTAATATTCCACTGATTTCAAAAGATCCTGAACGTCGCGCAATGTGGATATCATCTATTGCCTATTGGCAGAACTGCTTGGTGTCAAGTCCAGAAGCCATCTTACTTGTGTTTCACTGTTTGCGGACAGCACTTCGTTGATGGTGAGTGATAATGTGCCGTTATCAATTTCTTTAAATATTCACAAGCTCCCTCATTTCAATGGAAATCAGATGACAAACTACCGTTATCAGTAGGCCTAGGCGTGGGCCTACTTGCAGTTGCAGACTTGACTTGTGTAAGACGGTAAGGAATTAATAATCAATAATCAACTACTGTTCTTAGTAGGCCTAGGTGCAGACTTGACTTGTGTAAGACAGTAAGGAATTAATCTAATAATCAATTACTGTTATTAGTAGGCCTAGGCGTGGGCCTACTTGCAGTTGCAGACTTGACTTGTGTAAGACAGTAAGGAACTAATAATCAATTGCTGTAAGGTATTGTTTCCCTAATTAGCAGGTAATCTATTACTAAGTGTAAAAGGTTGAATAGATAACTTAAAGTTTAAGTGGTCATGCAAAAAATAACCAGAATTCAATTGAATTCGCCATCTAGGAATACGCTCGCCTGATACTGATCACCCTGGTAGTTTCACAGGTTTCAATCCCATGCGGGGATAGTTATGTGCTAGAGGATTGCAGCTCCACTCCCACCGAGGGTGGTTCACATGACCGCTGATCGGTTACGACCATTCCCCACCATCCAAGTACATGCTTCTGAAAATAACTGGCTCTCCCCCAGATAAATTCTATCCTAATGGTGCTTGTACAACTGATTCAAAATGTCTTTTTATTGTCATTGGTAAAAAAGATATGCTACCCGGAATCAAATTCATTTACGACTAAGTCGTTAGATTTTATGAAAACTCTTATCTGTATCCATTATCTTACAGATATGGGTGCGACCATGGAATAGATGGATGGCAAAGTATAAGTTGCAACAAGACCACAGTGGCACAAGACCTCAGCTTGCATGACTTGATAATACATCCTCAGTATCCATTTATTGATGCTTATCGTAATGACAAAGTAACTTGTGATTACTGTGGATTGGTGGAGATAAAGTGTCCATTGTGCTTTAACGAAAGCAACTTCAAGACGACCCTATCAAGAAAATAATTGTTTCGGTGGGTCTGGTAGTGAAGGTTTCAGTCTAAAGTTGGACACCGATGCTACAACCAGATACAGTTGCCAATGCAACTTAGTGAGGCGTAATATTGCGACTTTGTGATCTGAAAGAAAATTCTGATGGGTAGCCGGCTAGCCGCAACCTTTTGTTTAAAGAATATTATGAGATATGTCTTGAGAGTCTAAACTTTTATTTGAGAGGGGTGTAACCCAAGCTAATTTGCAAATAGTATTTATGGTACCAAATGTATCACACACTTTACAGTAATTATAAATTATATTGGAAAAATAAAGCACGTCAAAAATGTATTTTTAAAAAACAATTGGTTTTATCTGCAGATACTAGGTTGATATTGAGATTGACCATTTCAATGCTAAATTTTCTTTAGTCAAAAGGCACACTTGATTCGCAAAAATTTGTGAATGCGCACAGTACACCAATTTGTCTAATGTTTTGATTCCGTAGGCAGGAGGTTGTGGATCGGTGCTGCTCAGGATGGGATATTTTTGCCTCTAAATGCATATTACGTGTATTACGTGTTTCACATGAATCCATCGTGCTCAGATTAGACTGTTTTCAAGGTCTGAAGGCTCCAACAGCCTTATTTTATGGGTACACAAGAGAATTTTCAGTGTGGCATGCATGAGTCCCTAACCTCAAGATATCTATAAGCAAGGATAAGATAACCTGGAAGTAACATTCCATAATTTAGAGTACAAAATGTATCTGCCTCCACAGCCCTTTCAAATGGAAGATATGATGCCTCGGGGGTAATTTCTATCAAATATTTTACAGTATTATGGTTCTAGTGAAAAGGGGTGTAGGCGGCTTTTTTTTAAAGTGTGGTAGGTCTAGTCGAAAGACACATTAAATGTTTATGCTAACAACTGCGAATAAATATTGCAACGCATACAAGTTAACAGAATTTGTTGAAATGGTCCTGCCTTTTGACTTTCTTCAAAATCCTCCTTTTTCTAACTATTCTCTTCTTCTCTGGGGATGGCGAAAATTCAAATATCGATGGGACATGTAAGCAGCTAATAATGGGTTATCTTCCCTTTTTCCTGAAAATAAAATAAACACTAATCATCATTTGACAGTGCCAAGTTTGTGTATCACATCAGTAATAAATTACCTGCTAACTAACAAAACAATCAGACAACACCTTCTGGTCATTAATGAAGATTTCTTTCAATTTAAAACGCAACTATGCCTACCAATGTGGGTAGTTTTTAGGATAGAATTTATCTGGGGTTGGGGACAGATTGCAAGGTGCAACATCGTACGATTACCATTCTATGTCGGGATTAGTTAGCCAGTTATTTGTTTTAGAAGCATGGACTTGATGGTGGGGGATGTCATAATCAACCAGCGGTCGTGTGAACCACCCTTAGTGGGAGGAGAGCTGCAATCCCCTTGCACATAACTATCCCCGCATGGGATTGGAACCTGTGAAACTCCCAGGTGGATCAGAGATGCGGTGGCGAGCGTATTCTCAGATAGAGAATTCAATTGAATTCTGGTTATTTTTTGCATTAGCACTGGCGTTAAACTTTAGGTATCTATTCAAATTTTCACACTTACTAATAGATTACCTGCTAACTAGGGAAACAATACCTTATGGCAATTATTGATTAATACCTTACACGAGTCAAGTCTACAAGTAGGCCTACGTCTAAGCCTACCAATAACAGTAGGTTGTCATCTGCTTTCCATTGAAATGAGGGAGCTTATTAATATTTAAAAAAATTGATAACGGCACATCATGACTCACCATCAACGAAGTGCTGTCCGCAAACAGTGAAACACAAGTAAGATGGCTTCTGGACTTGACACCAAGCAGTCCTGCCAATAGATGATATCCACATTGCGCGACGTTCCGGATCTTTTGAAAACAGTGAAATATAGCTGAAGATCCATTTCATTGTCTATACTATACGTACAGCCAGCGGAACAATACGAAATAACCATTTTCAACAGCCAAACAAAACGTAAACGTATAATCCGACTTGCAACTGACAAGAGCCAAATGGACGTTTTTGTTTTATTGCCGTCCAGTAACAAGGTCACGTGACCCGTGCAAGTCCTCTATACAAACCGTGTCATATCAACGACGATTATAATAATCAACATTTAGTACTCAAGTGTAAGCAAGACAAATTTTGTTCACTACCTGTCGTAACTCTTTTTATTTATTTTCGTATTAGTGCATCAAAACTTGTAGTGTAAGATTTTCATATTTATTCCGGGGGAGATGAAAGCTGATAAGACAGCTTAATCACATGATGTACCACTGCCTCTCGCTGGTTTAACGGTCCAGTGGGAATAGCTAACCAACCAGATTGTTTCAGATGCATGGACTTGACGATGGAGGAAGACGTAACCGACCAGCGATTATGTGAACCCTCTCATATACGCCGGTGAGGAGTCCAGCAATTTTTTACACATAATTATCCCCACGGGATTCGAACCTGCGAAACCATGCAAGGCAGTCAGAGGTGCGAAGGCAAGCGTACTAGCTTAGACCAATATCCTTTTCCAGTGGGTTAATACGCATACCTTCGTCGTGAACAATTCAGTCTGGTATTTGAACAATACTGTTATAATAATCATACACTTCCGTTTGTTTCATCACGTTTATTGGTCTATTTTCAATGATCATTGCAACATCATTGTTTACGACAAGAAGTTTAACTTGATAATTCTCACGAAACATAAAATTAACCCAACAAAATGAAGAAAGTAAACTTGCATTTTTGTGAATGCCAGAATGAATTGCCTTATCCAAACGTCGCTGTGTCACAAATATCATTTTATGTGTTGCTAAGTATATATTAGGAAAAGCATATAGCTATATTAAACTAATATTATTTATTACAATCCTGCCCAGTGGGAATCTCTTTTTGTAAAAAATAATTTTTGAATGCTATTGATGGAGTCCTTTAATATTTTGCACATAAGTATTCCAATCCGTTTTGCGTCGTATTTATAGTTTGAAAATATTTCGTTATTTAAGCAATTCAATTTCAACACAAACAGTTCGTTACTTAGAGTGAAATATTTGAAACACTTTCAAACATAATTCAAAAAGGCTACGCAAATAATTTTTCATTGTTACATAAACATTTTCGGATATGAATATTTTCAAAGCCATCAACATCCTTGCAACGTTCCATTTAAAAATAACGCGCGCACTTGCGCAAATAAACACAAGTCATTTGATGTATTGTTTTCATACTGTATTGTCCCGAATAACCCGTAATTAGATATGGAACGTTTTGGAAACGCACGTTGACAAGATAAAAGAAAGTCTATTGCGGGATTTAGAAATGCAATGTACCCCGTTGTTATCGTTAAACCGATTAGGATGCGTTAATTTAATATAAAATGAGTTGAACTTGAGAAGGAAGACATTCAGTGAAATATTGTTTTCCAACGTACTTGCTCTCTGCAATTTATTATATCATGGAGCCTAACGTATCAACCTCCAGTTTTTTCAACGACTGTCGTGGAACATCTTTGCGTGGATCTAAGCGATATAAAGCAACAACGATTTGGAATGAGTTACTTAACGCATTCCGCGATCGGCTCAATTGTAAGAAACACAGAAGAAATTTAAAGACTTATGACAACTGTTTTACTGGATCGGGAGCCGCTGATGTCATGCATTCAGTTTTACTTGAAAATGAGAATGTTTCTCAAGATGTAACAAGATCACAGGTAAGAATTATGGTTTTATTTATGAGTACCTGTATTTTTCTGATTGCGTAAGATGTTCTTCACCATTGTTCCTAACATAGATTACTATTGAAAACTCCATAGGTTCGAAATGATAGAAACCAGTTCTGTACGAAGTAAGCCATCACTCATCACCATTTTCCACCAACATTATACGGTGGAAAATACTTAAGTGCCTGCTTCGTTTTATCGTGCACCAATATAAAACCTTTATGATGTATGCTTTTGAGTAGAAAGAAACTAAAATTGTAATTTTCGATTCAGGCAATCAAACTGCTTCAAAAGTTTTTATTCGAGCATGTGATTGAAACAATTAATGGGAAATGGGAGAACGAACTGTTCACGGACACAAATCGGTTGTACAGGTAAATTAGTTATAAACATTTATTCATTTAATGTGTAATTGCTTGTATTTTTTTTTTAATTTAAAATTGTCAGGTATACCGTTCGTTTTCAATTTTCTATTTCACACGAAGAAAAAATCATTTTGAATGTTGTCTGACTAGTTTCAGTAGTTGCATGTATTAACTTCAGTAACATGTATTAAATATGTGTGCAGAGCGCCTACATTTGCATTAACCTTTTTTTTTATTATTTAAGGTTATATGGTGAAAATGAAGATACGGAAATCTCTTCAAGTTCAATTCCTCTTATTAAAAACAAAGTAAGTTTGAAACGACTAGAAGGAAGATTTTTAAATAAATCGAATAATGTAATGGATGAATATACAACAGTTTTTATTTTTTATTCAAGATTAAGAAATCCATATGATTTGAGCATTGGTAAAATGGGTATACTGAAACAATATGTTTATATATAAAGCTACACTGCGATGAATAAGTCTTGAAGGTGGCATTATGAAGTTTTCCTGACGTGGTATATCGTACATACTTTCTTCAAATGAAGGTTATTCATCATTATACTTATTATTTTTTAATGCAGTTTCCATCAAGACAAATTATTCTTTCGCCGCCAATCTCGAGAAGATTTGCCACCTCACCCAAACAAGAAAAGCCAACCCGATCGAATTGTTCAATGAAGCTTCTTCCCAGCAAAGGTTGTGAACTGAGATTTATTCCTAAGTGTCTCCTTGCTGTAGTAGACTGAATATTTCTTTTGCTGCTTGATTTAAGTATATGCGTGTTATGTATCTCGCTAGTTTCGCAAAGTGTTCCATTTTAATGTTAATTGTTGATCCACCATTGTTTTTTTAGTAATTATGTCACTAGTAGCATTGTGTTTATTGCAATAAATATATTTGCTAATTCAAATTTGTATGTTACTACGATCATAACGTCATCCGAAACAGGAACCGGTCGATAGCATGGGTTGCGGCTAAAAAGGAAAGAAATAGGTTTTACTTGTGAGGGAAGCATGAATCAAATTCACTCTACTCTGTTTTTTTTTTATCAGTTATCACTTTAAAATCTATGTAGGTATAGATATGCTACGTGAAGAGTAAATTTGATATACTGACTCTAAACGTCGATAAGATATAGGGGCACGCGTAGATGTATAATAGTCTAATATCTAATGATGACAGATGAATTGCAACATATTAGAATGTCATCAGATATACTGAGATGCCTATTATTACGAAACATAAACAGCGTATATGTTCAACCTATATTATCAATATATTATATTATTGTCTACATTAAATTATCACTTCAACAAAAAAATATACAAAACCCCGGTTATCAAATGTCAATTCCAGGTTCACCAGAACTCTCCGAAATGTCATGACTGTTGGTAACATAAATTTCCGAATAAAAGTAATTGACATTGCAATTACAGACGTCTTTGTCTGTAGAGATGTACTTCATTCATCATACTTTTTTTTATCATATGTTCTATTCCAATAGATATATATTCATATTTGGTAATGCAATGATGTGCTGCTAACAGTCATTGCCGATCGTCAGGTACTTTCTGTTTGTTAATCTATTATGGCACAGTACATTCATTTTGTCTCCATTAGTAAGAAGTTTATTGGCGGCGTGTCAGTGAGTGATATACCAAGTGTATGTAACACAAGAATGATCGCACACAATTTCGAGAGGCTCAGATGTTGCAATAGTAATAGTTTAATCAATGCAACTGAAAATGACGTCGAACTGCACAAACAGATATATCTTTAGCATGGCTATTTTCAAGTTACTTATACATGTAGCTCAAATGTTTGATGATGTATGGGATACTTGGGACATTGATACAATACCAGAATTCTATTTTTATTCAACAAATTAATGCACATGAAAATTTTAACTGATTACATGCAATCTTGCTTATACAGACTAAATTTTGTTAGTTTCTCTAGTTTCCCTATTATCAATATCGAGGGCTGCCATCGATATGAACCCCAAAATTAGGACATTAGGGAAATATAATAATAGAATAACAAAGAACGAAACGTAATAAACAAATTATAACCATGCCAGTGTGGCCCGTGTTTAATCATACTTTGCACTAGAAAGGACTTGCTCCAGCAGTTCTTAATTCTTAGAAACAATCTGTTCCATCTCATTTATATGTTCTATTTTGATTCATATTACACGAACTGATTTTGGCCGGTACGCTATTATTTTGTCGCTGTGTCAATTAATTTGCTGTTAATACGTAATGAATGCGCGTAGCAAACAATGAGGTTGAAAAATAACATTTCTAGCAAATCAATCATTCGAATTAACCAATCTAAATGCCTGGTATAAGAACCCCTACCCATAAAATAAGGACAAAAACAAGGACACATGTCAAAAGGATGTTTCTTAAAAATAAAGACATATTTTCTAATACGAAGACCTTCAAAATAAGGACAAATCTTAGAAATAAGGACGTTGTGGCAGCCCTACCTATATCAGTAAGAAGAAACTAATAAAATATTACCTTCATTTAAGTAATTTACGCGATCACTGAATCAATGCCTACATTCATTTCATTGGCTAAAACGTGTGCATGTATTTGGCTGTGAATAAGCCTGGTAACAACCAGGTATTGTGATTGCGGGTTGATCATGACATAACGAGGGCATTCTGCTTGTAAGCCTTCGAAAGCCGGGAGCCAGGTTCGAAACTTTGTTAAAAGTAACAAACATTTCCGGATCTCTGGCTCAAACCCGATCTCCACATCTTTACACAAGGTGTAATAATTTTTAATATAATAATAATGTAGGATATTTACAAAAGCGGAATGATTCCGGTTTATAAAAAAAATATGCAGCTGCACAGGTATCACAGGTTGCTTGTCCGATCATTGATCAGAGTAAAGTGTAAAATAACATCACAAAAAACGGCAAGATTTTTTGTTGTCACAACATTTTCCATGAGTCGGAAACGGACTCAAATATATCGGTATTCCGAAGTATGCAGTCAAAATCCGATTTTGGGTTACTTGTAGTCAGGAGTCGAAGCTTTTTTTCGACTGGTCTCCACCCTGATATAAAGCATGCAGCACCTGGATATGGGATATATTCGCCAGTGTATGATTGCATCAATGTATGAAATCGAAATATTACTCTCCCATAACGTTTCTAAACCACTAACACGTACAATATTTCCGCAATTCTAGTGCGATTGGATTGTGTTCAATCAAAGGCATTGCATACACATAAAAGATAAATCATTCGCGTTGAAGTTCCCAGAGAAATGTATATAAAATGAAAGAAAGCACGGCATTTATCATCACTTTTTCATGTAACGTTTTTTGAAATGAAAACAGTGAAACGGTGCCCCGGGGTATATATAAAAATGAAAGAAAGTAACAAATTTAACAGTACTTTTGAAGTAATATTTTTGAAATGACAAAAGTGAAACAATGCCTCAGGGTATTTCACACGCTGACTTATCAAGATAGCAAGTATCTCTGTTGTCTGAATTGTGCACACTTGGATTTGTATTTTGAACGATACTCAGTATACGAATCAAACGCTACCTATAACTTTACTGCGGTTGTTGTTGATTGCGCAAGATATGCGAAACTAACTTGGCAGGTTTTTGTCAAACGTTTAGCTCTCATTTAGATCGTTTGATTTTGATATTGCAAAGAACTTAGCTTAGGTATGATATAAATATAGATAGATAGTATGTCATGGTCGATGTCTTACCTGATACTTGCCTTTCTACGACAATTGTATGATAAGTAATTTTTTTCACATTATGTGGTTGCCACTGATCAAATGAAATCTTTAGTGAAACCCGCATACCTAACACTCCAGCCAAAGTGCAATAAACTGAGTAGACAAGGCAGAAACGTCCTTTCAATATAGTAGCGGCTTATGTATCAGTAGTTAGTTGATTCTCCAGAGCCTTGTCAGGAATGAAGGTGTAAAACGAAAACAAAGTGTCGTTTCACTGAAAATTGTTCATATTTTTACGTCGGGTGATGCTTTGTGCAACCACCAACTCACGTTGTAAAGAACATGATTTTTTCTGATCCGGAATCCCCCCCAAAAAAAAAATTGTTACACCATGGGCTTCATATAATTCGTGCAAATGCCATGGACTTGCCTTAAAGAGTCACTTTACAATACCATCACATTTTGAAGTAAACGCATCAGCCTCTGAAACCAAGTTTTGGTTCTTACGTTAGAGCAGAATCAAAATTTAACAGCACATTAAGTATGGGGGTGGACATACGGTCGGAATTAGATATTTGTAATTTGCGCCCCCAACATAGTTGGGTTGAGTCCATCGTGAAAATCACTTTAATTTTGATTTACAGACCGTGTATCAATATGTTAACATATACATTTACTATCATATTCATTCTGTGTGTTGGATTAGTGAAGATTCAACGAACGACATGTATGTTGGAAGAGACTTCAGAATACGAAGATAAAGCAAGGGATAGAATGTTTAGTGCTAAGAACATCATATCAACGAGGGGTGAAAAAACAATACTTGTTGCTATATTCGTACGAAATAAAGAACATTCATTGCCATATTTTCTACGAGGACTTGAAGATTTGAAATATGATAAAAAACTGATGTGGCTGTGGATTATTTCTGACCATAATCGAGATAACTCTACAAAGCAACTGGAAACATGGGTAAGAGTTTTCAATGATCAATACGCAAAGATTGAGTTTGAGAAACCAGATTTCCCAATGAATTACAACGGAGATTTGAGTGACTTACATTGGACAAAAGATCGATACATTCGACTGCTTGAGCTGAAGCAATTTGCACTAATCAAAGCGAGAAAGATGAATGTCGATTTCATTTTATATATTGATGCTGATAATATTCTAATGAATCCATACACTTTGAACCACCTCACCGGAAAATCGCAGACGATCATTGCACCTATGCTGAATTCAAATACGGATTACTCCAACTTTTGGGGCGAGGTGGACAAAGAAGGATGTCATAAAGATAATGACTTGTACGATAAAATCAGGACTCGTAAAGAAACCGGGACCTTTGATGTTGCATTAGTACATTCAACATTCTTGATAAATTTGAAAAATGAAGATTCTAAAAAAGTTAGATTTTTACCAATTCCATCATGTTACGACCACGATTTTAATGATGATATGATTTTTCATTACCAATGTGATTTGGAAGACGTACATATGTACATTGATAATTCCGTTTTTTATGGTTATTTACCAGAGCCACAAGATGGCTTAGAAGATGAAATTTATAATTTTATGAGAATGAGGATGGATGCTATGACACTGCCTCCTGTAGGCGTTGGAATATCGTTAAGAAAATCTGTACACGTTCCGGATAAGGAGATTATTACCAGTCTTCCAGTTGATCATGTGTTTGTAATTAATTTGGAGAGAAATCGCAATCGCAGATTACGGATTAATAAAAGCTTTGCAATGTATAAAATCAATTACACATTATTTGATGCTGTTGATGGAAGAAAATTAAATAGAAGTTATATCGATAGTCTTGGCATCAAAGTACCTACAGGCTATAAAAGCCCGGAGTTTGGAAATGAAATGACTGTAGGTGAAATTGGTTGCTTTTTGAGTCATTATTTCGTTTGGAAAAAGATTTTGGATGAGAAATACGAATCAACCATCATCTTTGAAGACGATGTTCAATTCAAACCAAAATTTATCCAAAAATTTCAGAATGTTATGGAGAAAGTACGAAATGAGAATATATCGTGGGATTTGATTTATTTGGAAAGAAAACCAGCGGGAAATGAAGGCGAGGAAGAAACGGTGATATTACAAAATGACAGTGGTCCTAACTTGGTGCAACCAGTCTATTCCTACTGGACCATAGCGTACATGATATCTTACGATGGGGCGAAAAAGTTGATTGATGCCGAACCGTTGGGTAAAATTATTGCAGTGGATGTGTTTCTTGCTGTCATGTACGGAAAACAGCCCTTAAATTATATTAATAAATATTTCCCAACAAAAAATCTCAATGCTCTTTCATTCGAGCCAACCATAGTAAAACAAACACACTACTACTCCAATGATTATCATGTCAGCGATACCGCAAATTCAAAATTCGCCAATGAAATCCTGCAGTAGCTACACAGAACTATGAAGTACAATTCAACGATTCTGTTTCAGAACATACTCATAGTTCATATTTATAAAACTATTGAATCAATTTTAAGTAAATTAACTGTGATTTGTTTAATTCTTTAACTGTAATGCTTTTGCAGAATAATCTTCTATTATTTTGCTTTTGTTTATCGTTGTTTTATTATCATTCAATGTGGCTTATCACGAACAAGAGAGCAATGCTCAAATATATGGAGACGTCAATCAGAGAGAAGCTGTCCTTACCTTTGACGCTACCGGTACCTACGGCGCTGTATGCCATTCCCCGTTAAGAAAGCAAGCACTTCGTTACACACCACCGACGTTCGATGAGCACGTGATCAAAAGAGCAAGAAAAAGAGTGAAAGCATAAAAACGACTTTTTAGGTTTTCCACTAGGTGTCCAAAAAAAAAGTAAAACGATCCTTAGGTTCACTCCGTGTCCAATAATGAAAAATAAAAGTAATAGCCTTCTGGGCAATTAAAAAATCAATCTTTAAAGTGATGGATAAGTAAAGCCCAAAAATACACCAACAGAAGCTTTTAAGATTTGTTTCAGAAGTTTCTTATAGATACAAATTGATACATTGATTAAATATCTGTGACCCACTCTCTTCTGTTCGCCGATAAAAATATAATTTTTGACCCATTCATCGAGAAAGGTTCGCCATCCCTGTCCTAGTACTTTGACTGACGGGACTTTAATTCCTTCAAATTTATCAATATTCAATATCTGATGCCCCGTTAAGTGTTTCTTCAAACTAAATAATCATACAGTGATCCACGACTTGACCGGCTATTGGGTCGGGTATGAGAAGAGCTAACCAGCAAACATTTTCAGACCCGAAAGAAGTGAAACCTAACTGACAACCTTGCCGCGACTAGAGTCCAGCATATTTTAGAAATCGGATTATCTCATTCGAACACGTGAAGCCACACATTGATGAAGGTTGAGCATAAATTTATGGCATTATCTGTGTTGTGTACTCAAGTGACACAGAAAAAATATTATTACCTTTCATTTTAAAACATTAATCTCAAGGATTCAAATGTAGTTACTCGGAAAAGGTGATTAATATTTAAGTTAATAAGCAAAAAATGACCATATAAAGAGAGGATTGCGCTTAATAAATTTTGGGATAAATATTTCTTTCAACGCTTTATTTACTGCAGCAGTTGTTTTGACTATTTTGATTCTCAATAGTATTGTCTTATTTGTGGGCCTGTGAACAGCTGCTTCAGTCCTATATATATATATCTTCGTACATCTTTTCTAGGTCAAAATCTCGCAAGTAGTTGTTTTATTCTTGTTTTATTTGTGTCGCAAAGTTGACGTCCCACATCATTTCTTCGTAGTCGCAGTAACCAGAACTCAAAACCCAAAAAGATAGCTGACTGTAATGAAATAGTGTGTCTCAACAGGACGTTAACATAAAATGCGGTACATTAAAAATCCTCTGTATTTATTGAAATAAATGTATGTACATGAAATATAATGTACATCACAAGTATACTCAAGCCTAATGCACTATTCACAAGCCGTTGCGTTGCCGCCCTCAGTAGGTAATATGTAAAACATAACATCTGAATCGAATTATTTCTTTCCCATCAATTTAGGTAAGAAAGTTTTGAATCCCAAAAACATGTGTTACTGCATTGTGCATTATTAAAATATCATTTGCGCATTACATGTTTATATTCGATGATATACAACATGAAACCTACATCGAATGCGAACACAAGAGCAATTTAGTTCAGCACTATTAGTCCGGCAGATAAGGGGACCTTTTTGGCCCAAGTTTGATTTCAGACATGAAGTTTTTTTTATTAGTGATTATTCATCTTGGGGTCATTGCCCATCATTTCTACATGTGTCTGGAGTTTGCAGCCTGAGCAATTTTTTTCACGGCTTGATATTTGTATTGGTGTTTTTCGTCAAACCTGTGTATCATAATGACACACAAACTTAACCATAAACAGTTACAATACTATGTTCAGGTTGTGCGCAATCTTGGTGCACAAACTACGCAAGCACTAAATTTACTACGAAATAAAATCAATAACTTTTAGGTATTTATTGAGATATTTGTACTAGTGTTTTTCGTCAAACATGTGCATCATAATGGCGCACAATCTGAACCATAACCTGTTACAATACTATGTTCAGGTTGCGCGCAATCTTGGTGCACAAACTACGCAAGCACCAAATTTAATATGAAATAAAATCAATAACTTTTAGGTATTTGTTGAGCCCAGCTTTGGGTCGCGACCCATATACAGTATATGGAAATACTGTCGAAACATACGCGTAAAATAAAGAGTACTATTTCAAAATACCCGTTTTTGTTGCAATTAACAATACGCCTGCTAATGCAGTCGCCAGTGGTTCAAGTGGATATACACCCGGTGGAGAACAGTCAATTATTTGTTAGCGAGAATTGTTATGCAGCGGGATGATCACGACGACGCAGTGAAAGATACTGATATCACGAGAACAAGAATGGGAAAATTGCTACATTTTATAGTATATCCCAGGAAAAGAATATAGTTCTTTCCTATGTTCCATGCCAATGCTTTTCAAACTACCAAAGACTCTCAACACTTTTGCTTCTTCTCTTCTATAAAAATACATTGTTATTATATATTCGCATTTCCATCTGTTTGTTCGTGCTCCCAGATAGCCCTGTCATAAACTAAAAGAGGCGACCGTGCTTCTCTTGTTTGTTGTCATGCTGTCCCTGGAATTCAGCTACAACAAAAATTTCAGGAAAACGGATTTTTAAATTTCATGGGTGAAATTTCATTTCGTGGTTTACGGGTGGTAAAATGCCAAGTTATTCCAACAACATGATCATGTTTTGCAATTTACAACCAATATTTTGTATGTAACTTTGTTTGACAGAGCCCCAAGAGCTCTGACTACAAATATCAAAAATGTGAGGTCAAAATAGTCACACTACAACATTGTCAAATGTGGTGTATTTACGATAGATAACAGATTTACCAAAAATAATTACATAAAAAATGGTAAAATAAAGATCAATTCAGCAATATCTACTTGGCGATATGCATCTGTTGATGATTTTATGAGTTTGTTTCGGAAGTTTAATAACAGAATTAATTGTGGTTGTTGGGGATGTTTTAAAAAAAGGTTGCATAAAAAAAAGTTTTCACAAAATGTCAAGGTTTGATGGTAGTAGAGAAGTAGAAAAAATACTTCCATGTTTTTTTTTTCATTTGATAACCACGCCACAGAACTTCCCCGATAAGTATACGCAGCAATTGCGAGAGGCAGAAATGCCAAGATGGGATTCATCGCATTGCAAGCCAATATTAGCAATTCTTATATATATTCGCGCATTCCCATCTGAACAGCGTGGGAAAGATTATACCCATCTACACACTTTAAGAACTATGTCAGATGAGCGTCATATTATCGAATATTATTGAAGGAATAGTGCAATGGGAAAAGACATATAAGGCGGAACTTTCAGCAGTATGCAATCAAATAATTTTATTGTAGAACATATATTTAAAAACATTTCGTCACGCCAACTGCAGTCCGAAACTTTTTGTCTCTGACTGAGCTTAGATACCAATTGGCACTCATGCAAACTGGTAAGACTGTAAGAGGCACGCGATGGAACAGATACTAAGAGTATCCATCCCCCAGCTGTCATTTGAGTGGGTACTGCTGTTTTTATTGCAGATGTTACTAATCTTTGTGTATTAAAGATTTTCTGGCATCACCGATTTGAGGATGTTGGAGACCAACACGCAATATTACAAAACTTACTTTCAACATGCGGTTTGAATGAATGAAAAATCTGGAACTAGTATTCTTTAGAACAGCATACAAATTCTATGGAACGAAATCATACACAAAAGCTCGTCAAAAACCTATAGCTCAATAATCAAGTGGAATTTGATGCATGTGCGCAAAAATGTGCGCGTTACTACGTACAACCGACGCACGCAGGAAAATGTGTGTGATGTACTAGTATTCAAAAACGTTTGACTCAACTATGTTGGCATAACAGGTGCACATCTCGGTTTTGCATACGCATACCTTCTATCTCCACAAGCATATATTAATTTTGCCAAAGTCAATGCAGCACTGAAAGGTTGCGGTTCTTCCAAAAGAAAACACGTTACACATCTTTAGATACCAGTGGATGGTTTTTCATGGCCTTGTTCGGAGTGAAAGACGAGGTCAAATATTCAATCCAATTCAACTAATAAAATATTTCCTAAGTCCCTAAGCTTAAACTAGGAAAACGAAATGCGCGCGGCAACGCAAATGTAGTTTGAAGAGCGCAATAGAAAGTGGCTAGATGCTGTCGATGGACCTTGGCTTGTATTAGTGAAATAAACTACCATTTATTCACTGAAATTGAATTTCTGACATTGTCAGGAGATTCAATGTTACTATGTATGCAAAACTAAACCATGTAGCTATGAAATAATTGTTTTTAACAAAAAGGCGCTCCTGAAGTATTCATACCAAGATGGCGCACAACCTGAACATTGTATGTTTACCCGATTAGGGTTCAGGATGTGCGTCATCTTGGACCGAATACTTTAAATCAGGGGCGTAGCCAGAAATTTTCAAAGGGGGGGGTCTGAATTTTTTTTGCCAAGTCAGATCGAAACAGCTAGCGGGTCCGATCGAACGCTGGAATTCGCGTGTTTTTAGTAGTTTTGAGAGTTTAAAAAGCATTTTAAGCTACGGAAAATTGCTATCTATGATACAGAAAAATGATTTTATTTTTTTTTACATTTTAAAAGAGGGGGATTCCGACCCGCAAAACCACCCCCTGGCTACGCCACTGCTTCAAATCCGCTTAAAAAAATTGCTCAACATTATATACTCCACATCCACCTGGGTATCATTATATATGTCATATACATTATATCTAAACAATAAAAAAAACTTTATGTCCCAAAACAATGTTAAGGCCCAATTCTGCCGGACTACATGTCTGTTAATTAAATAAAGTCTAGTTAATTTTAGAGCAATCAATGTATAGAATTAAATCTTCAAAAGCAAAAACAAAACCAAAGTTGAGCGAAGCCACATGAATCAAATTTGTTGAAAGACCTACCTTAAGGCCCAAACACGAACAACATCAATCACTTTCATTGAAGTTAGATGTGGGCCAGACTGCGAATCGAATCTCCCTAATGGCACAGACGTTTTTACAATGAGGACAAGATAAAAATTAACGGAGGATAAAAACGTGCATAAGGCTTCTCAACATTATTCCAATACCCTATACAAATCTTTAGATGTCCTAAATTCCCTAATAAATTTAATAACTAAAAACAAGCTTGTATGCTTTGTAACATGATTGATGCAAAGTTAGTGTAAAATATTGAAGTTCAATTTAACGGAACAAAAGTATTGTGCTAAAGGTTTACAAGCTTCAATTATAAGAAGGAATTGAACTAGTATTTATTTGATTCCAAATCATCATTAACATGGATCACTAATTATCTAGTCATTATTCATTTGAAACTGTATCGGATGTGACTTAGTGATAACGTCCCCTACGACAAGACAAAGACAAGACAGAGTATTCAAATTGCGACAAGTTAACGCAAACAAAGGCAATTATTACAGTAATATTTTAATACGGATGGATAGATTGTAAGACCGGTTCCAAAAATGCGTAAGCTGTGTAATTAAGAGCAAAGGGTCGCCTAATTGTTTCGATAGCGAAAAAAGGAAGCGTGTTTACACTTGAACAACTAAATAATGACTACTTATTATAATCTTGCGCATCGTTACAAATTTTCTTGCTTTATAACCTCGCTGACGACTGTAATGGCGTAGTAGAAGTAGATCGTCCTGCCTTCAGGATGAACTGAAAGTGTTTAAAAAATTCGTTAGTAATTATGGTTTTAACATAGAAACTAAATAGTTTGAAATTAAGCAATTAATAGCAAAAATTGATCGAATTGATAGCAAAAAGCTAAGGCGATTATTCATGGGCCAAGGAAATAAAATTTCTCTTATGAAACGAAAAAAAGACTTCAGAATTATTGAAATATCAGAATTAAATAAATGCCGGTTAACGTAACATTTTTAAATGCCTCTACTTAACAGAATTTACGTCATTAGAGACTATTTTGCGTGATTAACTCTAGCGATGGACTTTTATTCAACGTACCATGCGTCGAGAAGCGATCACAAAATGATTCCGAGACAATACAAAGCTACAGCAATATGGAACGAACTTATTGGATCTTTTCGAATACATATGTGTTGTAAAACTCGGAGGAGAAATTTGAAAACTTATTCTAACTGTTTTACTGGAGCTGGTGCCATCCACGTCTTGCATGCTGTTTTGATTGAAAATCAAAATTTTACTCGGAAAGTTACCAGAGAGCAGGTATGCCCATATAAGTATATATTTGATTTGACAATAAACTGGAAAATCATGAATGGAAGTTTTGTGATATTGCGGTAAATTATTCTTCTAATAAAATACAGTACCGTATAAACGTTGAAAATAGAATTACTCAAGTTATGTTGAAAATTGTGTTGGGTAGTAGATGCTATAATTTTTTGTTAATAAACGTCTCTGTATAGTCGACGGTAGCAATGAGATTTGGCATGTGATGCCCGAAATTCTATTGAATCAACAACATATTTTGTCTTAACATGATTCAAAGTTGTTTTCAACTTTGAACTTCTTTGATTTTATCACCTAACACCAGTGTTCCCTCTAAGATGTACGCGTGTGCGCGCGCGCACAGCTTTCAGAGGCTGCGCACACGCATAGATTTCCTGCGCACAGACGTATTTCGATGTAATGTAACAATGTGCTCGGTTGGCAGGTTGAGAAAGTTTGTTGTTGGCCCACCCATTACCCGGTTAGAACGCCAAAATTTCTTCATTGGTTTTTGCACAAATATTAGTCAAATATTTCCAAAAATGTGCGCACACACCAAAATTTCTGCGCACACATACTACAAAAAATTAGAGCGAACATTGCCTAACACCATGAAATAATTTTATTTATTTTTGTAAGGCCCACAAATTGATGCAGAAATTTCTGTCGGAACACGTGATCGAAACGGTCAACGGAAAATGGGAAAATGAAACATTTTCTGATTCAAATCGTTTATACAGGTGGGCATTTTATTGTTAAACCGGCAGTATACAATCCGATTTTATAACATTTTGTTCGTGTAACTTTTGGTTTTAAATAAGTTTGGGTCAGTCATCAGTATCGACCCACAAATTCAGGTACGGGTAAAAGTTGAAATTTTTTCCTAACTTGCATTCTTATCATCTGTGGTAGAATTTTCTACGAGTCATTTGGGTTCGGTTTGAACATGTTGTATTGACACACTGTATGCTTGATTTCGATTTAACCAACTTTATTAGATTTTCATTTATACAATATATATGCATGAGCCAATGTATCTATCCACTGACAACTTTGGAAAAGAAATGTATTGGTTTACGATTTATTCATTCGATTAAGTAGATTATATTATTCTAAGTCTTCGTTTTGAATTTAGATTCAACAAAGAATATGCATGTGCTACTCCATCGCTATCCTCTCGTTGCAAGGTAAATATTGTATGTAAACTCTGTAATAACAAAATACATCTATTACCAGGCTTGTCTATGAGACATTTTTTTCTGTCCCATTCCCATCCCATAGCAATTATGCCTGTCCCATCCCGTCCCATGGGATTCCCATTGGCATACAATTCAATAAAAATTGTTAAATTTAGGTTTAGCGTCTACTAAATATGACTACATGTACGAAGAGACATGCAAAACAACAAAATTCATGGACTTTGTTAACTTTATATTCATAACTATAATACATGTGTCCATCAGTCCCTTCACGAAGTATATTGTAAAGGCTGAATATATTTTGCTCCTAATAACTAACATGAGAGCTATGCTCAAATATAGATCATAAGACCATAACGAAATGTTTTATCATCATTTCCCTGAAAATCATAAGGTTTACGTATCCCATGGGAAAATACAAATATGTGCTGTCCCGTCCCATCCCTGTCTCATGGACAAGCCTGCCTATTATGGTAGCCAATTGTGGATGATATTCCCACGTATTGAACCCCACATATCAAAATTTCAATGAATCTGTTTTAGAAAAGTAGACATGGGTTTTTATCTCTAATTTAAATTTATTTCTATTCGAAAACATTTTTCCACTTATAATACCGTGGTTTTCTAATTTTATTCAGTGGAAATTCTTTTTTTAAATTATCTTGCAATATGCGTAAATCGCTTTATAATTTTTACAGGTGATGTCCCCGCCAACGATAAAACGGTTTTCAACAAACATTCTGGAAGAAAAAGAACGTCACACGGATCATGAGCAATCGACGAAAAAGACTAATTTGACTAGAAAAGACGATATTCGACTGATACCAAGTTGCATTATGGCTGTAACTGATTAGCAAGATTTTATATTGAAGCAAATTTATTATTTATATATCTTTCTTATGTTCCGTGTGTTTTTTATATGACCAACCATATCATACCAAAAATTTGTTTGTGTTATTTTCGACGATTTTTCTGATATAAAACTTACTTTCTTGGAATCATTATCTCTTTAATGTTATACTGGAAATAAATCAGTTTTATGATTTCTTGCTTAGAGTAATGAAATGTCACTTTGATTGCTTGCTATTACAACGGGATTAGCTTGTTTGAGTTTTCCTATTCCAAAACGTTTTTAGGTTGATTTACGAGTTAGCAAAGAATATAAATATTTGCATGTTAACGAAATTCTCAACTGGAGGTTGAGAACAGTCTTATATGAAAACGACCTTTTGCAGGAATTTATTTTTGCAAGAATATGATTTTGTGGCAAAGAACTCTTGTAAGAATAGACATTTCCAAGAATATGATTTTGAGTATTCATTCCAACTTTCTTTAATTATGAAAGATGTCGCATGCACCTCGATAACAGTCATTAAGTCATTCGTAAAAAAAACCTTATTATTGCAGATGAACTTCGAATGAAATTAGCCTAAAATTTTCATTATAGGTGGCATATCTTCAACTCTTTTTGCGTAAAAGAATGTTCTAGAAAGCATATTCTCGCGAACGTATATTCGCGTAAATATTCGTTATTGCGAAAGTACCTTCGTGCCAAAATATATTATCGCGAACCTTTTTTTTTACTGAAAAAAAGGCATTTTTTAAAAACGGCATTCTTGCGTATTTTCTTCGGCATACGGATTTCGGTTCCCCCACAATACTTTCTTGTGGCCTGACTACAAGCATCTGTCAATAGTAATTACAGGGGCGTTTTTTCACACCTGTCTCGCAAACAATCACAATAAATGGCGTGCCTAATAGTTGGCACATTGTGTGAAGTGAAAGTTAGGCCGGATAAAATTCGTAGGCAGCATTACCCGTCAAAATGTATTTACCTCTCATCGCACTAGCTTTTCTTCTTATTTGGGTGTTTGGGTTGCTAGAAATTATTTTGCCAAAACAGTCTACTAATGCAGGAAGATAGTTTGAGTGGCCGCAAACGTTTGTTTTTGCGTGTGAATGTATTTGCAAATAATTTTGCAAAAACGTACTTTTGCTGACCTGAAAAATTTCAAAAAGAAACCCTTGCATGAACGAAATTTAGGGCAAATGGACTATTGCAAGAAAGATGTGTGTATAGAGTGGTTTTAATAAAATCAAAAATTTTGAATATCTAAAAATATTATTTTAAATATCTAGAAAAATTATTTATTAATTTAATCTTTTGGAAATGGTGACTTCAATGACTGGGGGTGGGGTGGCACGCTGGTACGTTGTGCAGAATATACATTTTAGATTGAATATTTCTTGCAAAAGTGAATTTCTACAAAACTACATTACGAAAAAGTACGTTCCGGCATAAATTATATTTTTCAATTGCCGCTTTCGTAAAACGATATCATTTTTTTATCGTTAATATCGACAAATGGTTTTATTCCGTTTGTTTCTGGCAATTGATTCGTTCATGAATTCAATCTATCTGTTTCTATTAACGCTTTTTGCATCATGAATTTTCAAATACTATGAATTTGTCCTGATCTCTGCTGTCTGATAAAATAATCTAAAAACGCATAAATCTTTTAGCATATGTACTCCTGTGATATGAATATCAGAGACATTTATGTATAGAGATAAAAGAGACCGCGGATAGTTTTTCAATAATATCTTTAAGATACTAATCTTATCAGCTACGATAAGACGTTGATTTAGAATGCGAATTATTTAGCCATTGATAACATGAAAGCAGTTCCGACCAGGATGGCCATCAAATCGCAACTAATTCAATTTTGCAATATTCGTGATTAGGTTTAGTTAACTTATCCTATAATATTTTATTCTAATGCCCTTGAAATTTATCCTCTTACAGTATAGTTACACAATTTTGTTTTATGTTCTCACCAAAAATTTCAGCTAAACGTAACTGTTTCCTGATCGTTTTGATTCAAACCGGTTCAAGTTTCCCGCCAATCAGTATTGACGTTATACACCTCCTTCAACTATTTTCGCGTAAAAGAATGTTCTAGATCTAGAGAAACACATTCTCGCAAAAGTACATTTGCTTGTACACTCTTTATTGCGGAAGTACATTTGTGCCAAATTCTATTGTCACAAACTACATTTTCTGATAAAAGCATTTATGATGAACTACATTTTTGCGTATTTCTTCCGGCATAAGACTGTTTGTACCCAAAATAATTTCTGATGATCTTGCTACGAGCATACGACATTTTTTGCACATAGGATGAAGTGAAAAGTTATACCCGATAAAATTAGAAGCTAGCATTAGCAGCCACAATAATTTTAACTCTCATTGCACTATCTTTTCTTCTTATTTGGGTATTATTTTAAATTTTAAATATCTGGAACAATTCTTCATTGAATTTAGTTTTTGGTAATAATGAATTCATTATACGAGTAATTCAATGACTGGGGAGGTTTGGGCTTCACGCTGGAACATCGTGCAGAATATGCATTTTAGATTGAATATTTCTTGCAAAAGTGAGTTTCTACAAAACTACATTATAAAGGGTTGTCTTCTGCTGTCTGATAAAATAATCTAAAAACGCATAAATATTATAGTATATACTTCTATGACATGGGTATCAAAGACATTTATGTATATAGATAAGAGGGACCGCGGATAGCTACGATAAGAAATTGATTTAGAATGTGAATTATTTAGTCAGTGACAACATGAAAGCGGTTGCGACCAGGATTATCATCAAACCACAATTAAATCATTTTTGCAATATTTATCATTAGGTTTGGTTAACTTAAACTCATATAATATTCGGTTCTAATGACCCTGAAATTTTCCTAATAGTTACCAAATTTCGTGTTATGTTCTCACCAAGATCTTCAGCCAAGCGTGACTGCTTTCCTGATGGTATTGATTCGAACTGGTTCAAGTTTCATGCCAATCAGTATTTGTTGGCCTCATACACAGCCACGAATATATAATATTAGTAGCTCTCAGAAATCGACTGAGCGCTCCTTAATTTGATCAGAAATGAGTTTTCTTTACTTCTGAGTAAGTAGGCGTTACTTTGCTCCAAGCAAATGCTCTTACGGTTGATTTTTTTTTTGTTTGCGTTTTTCCAGACACAAAATCAAATTAGGCTAAGCAAATGCCAATGATAATGGTATGTACCAAACATACTTGAAGAGAGAAGTGGTACAAAATGTGAACTAAATGTAAATTTCACCAGTTATAATTCAATACTTAATTTATTTATTGCCACTATACTCATTATCAAATTTTATTGCATATGTGGAAAAGAAATTGCTGCGAAAGTCGTCCACCTATTTTTTTGCAGTTTTTAATCGCATACGCTTTTTTCGGTAGTGGTTTTATTCTGATCCCAGTCAAGTCTTTTTATATTATTATTAATATTACTTAGTTTAAATTTACAGAGATAAGGATGATAAATTCATGGTTTTTCGTCCTGAACAACACGCGTGTACATTCCATTCCGGACAACTGTGACGGATGTCGACTAATTACCATTATTGTTTCTTAATATTTGCTAAAGTTCTTATGTAAAATAACCTTGAAGGATAAATTGTTCAAGGCTAAAGGCGTCATTAAAGATGAATATGCCTTAGAGGAGGTTGGATAAATAACCTAATTAATTGACGGAACGTGTATACGCTATCTCAATATTTACTTTAGAAATTATTCTCAATTTTATCAATGCGATAATCCACGATTCTATTCCAAGTTCAAACAATGTTTAATTAAACTCTTTACCGCTTTATCACAAATTTAATCAAATCATAAAACAACTAAATATTAGAAGTTATATCTCTTTATCGTGTTTGACAAGAGCGAGTGCCTTCTGGGCATTATAAAATGGTCTTGAGGGAGATTGTAGTCATTCAGTTATTTATTACTCCTTATACTAAGTTGAGTACTTTTTTAAAACTCTTGAAGAACTAGTTAATGTTATTGAGAAAGTATTACGAATCCTGGGATTTTCATTTGCAACGACTACAGCTATACAAGTAACATCCAAGCAAGAGAAATACACAAAGGACGAATATTATGGAATGTGGACTAACACTCGCAAGACAATGTTCTTTCAAACAAAGCAACGAAAAGTACAGAGCTACAGTCATATGGAAAGATTTAGTCATGTCATTTCGTGCTCGTGTTGTTTGTAAGAAAAAGCGAAGACATTTGAAAAGTTTTGAAAATTGTTTTTCCGGATCATCAGCCGTAAATAAGCTATTTCAAATTCTGCAAGAAAACGAAAATTTTCCTCAAGAAATTACGAAGGAACAGGTAAATGCTAAATAGTGTCAAACAAAATTGAGTTTAGATTCATTAAGAATAATCACAATAATATATGAATATAGCATTACACTATTAACTAACTGTTCCTTATTATTTTAGGCCGTCAAACTTCTGCAAAAGTTTCTTTCGGAGCATGTCATCGAAGCGGTGGATGGTCAGTGGGAAAATGAAACTTTTTCTGATTCAAGCAAATTATACAGGTATATGTCGTTTCATACATGAATGTATGAACATTAATGATTTTTCTGGAATGAAGTGAATTTCTAAGTGCCTATTACATTGACTGTACTTTGTGAATCATGAAGTGATGTAAAGTAGCAGCTAACAGAACTGTCTTTTGCATCACATTGTCCCATTTGTGTCTAAATTTGGAATAATTTGTAGTATAGACACCAATAATAAACTTAATTACAGAAATATGATGAAAAAAATTGGTTTATTATTTAGATTTACATTGCATTGTTTAACACCACAATTTTTTTAGATTTGCAGATTGGAAAGATGGATACGCAAATACCACGCCAACAAAGAATAAATATAAGATAAAAAGGCATCACGGAACTGATAAATTAACCAGAAAAATATTTCGTGGATTGAATTATATCGAAGAAATATCAAGTCCAACAGTTGTAAAAAAAGCTAGAAGATCAGGAGTATTTACAAGAATACATGCAATCACTCAAAATGTTAGATAAAGTTCAAGTTAAACACTTTACTATACATCGCGTACATTCAGTTACACAGAATGTGAAAATCAAATCAGTGTGAAAAAATGACTCGAATAGGAGGAGAAGTCAAAGGATACATCTCAACAATGAATGTACAACAACGGAAACAAACAAACCGAGAAATTTTTCACGTCACGATAAGACAATTATGACGTAACATACAGGTACTCTTTCAACATGATGTTTCTAAAAACCAGCACGTAAAAACACCGTTCGGACGCATTCAGCCATGAAGAATATATATGGTTTATCTGATCAGGGGGAACGAATGGATCCTTTACTCAGAAAATCAGAAGTAAAACAATCATGTCAAGATGGAAATGATTCCTAACAACGATGCAGTTTATTTGGATAACAATAACTCAAGAAATTTATCACATCACAATGTTCTGATGAGTCTCCGGGTGGGGAGGATTATGACTAAGCTATATATATTCCTTCGACACAGAATTCTAAAAATCCTGCTAATTTGACAATTGAATACTCTGGAAACACTTATCACTTTGCACATAATTAATCAGAATAACCTATGCCAGGGATGTGCAACCTGCGGCCCACGGATCGAATGTGGCCCACAAGGAAAACTTGTGCGACCCGCGGAGAAGGTACAATTTTGAAGGGTGTGCGACCCGCGAAACGAGTTTTCAATTTGGTTTAATCTAGTACGTGCAATTCCTCTGCGTTGCAAAGCCTATATCTGAGCTTGTGCCAAGCGAACAACGCATGTCACAAGATCAATACTCAAAATTGTCGTGTCTGCAGCTACTAGGAAGTACATATTAAGGCGCGGCCCACAGTTTCACCCATTTATTTGTATCTGGTACCTTTGCTTCAAATGTTACACATCCCTGACCTATGCTATTGAACCAAACGTTACAGAAGTTCACGGTGGCTGGTTGAACGTTATGGAGAAACAAAAGATAATCTTTTCTATTAATTCCTATTTAGTTCTTCAATATGGTTCTTATATTTTACGTTTTGCACTAACTGTTCCATATTATTTCCTTTATGTCCATTTTTTATTTATTTTTTGATTCTTTTATACAATTTTTGAAATATATTCATTACAATGAATTCGAATAGTGTATTCTTATAAAAGATAAAGGCATACAGGCTGTTGGAATAAAAGTAAACTATTTCCCCTCTCGCAAATGCAAACAATATGATAGCTGTGTGTGCCTGTTACTTTCTGGTATGAAGTACTTCATAACAATTTTTATATGGGATTTCAAGCATACCTTCATCAATGTTTTATAAATGTTTTGCCGTTAGAGAACATTACACTATTTTTTGGGTTATGAACCAAAAGCACTTTCGAATTAACTCAGCAAAATATAGTATGATAGCCTTGCTTAAAGAGTTGATATAAAGTTGATCCGATTACTAAAAATGAACACAAACAATGCGGATACGGTGTTTAGAGGGGAATGTAAAAGCAAATCACATGTCAGGAAGGAAGTCTACAATAATAAAAATCGAAAGAAAATCATCTGATTACAAATAATTATCAATTTTAACTCTTTCATCTATTATAACGCCCTTTTAAGTAATCTTATCGTGTATATCGAGGCATGAAGTTTTTATTTAAATCCTGTTTGATTTCAATACTCACTATATCATTAAACACACAAGGTGCAAATTTCGATTCGAGTCCATCTCCGTTCAATAAATGAATAATACTGCACGTCTATTCTTATCTTAGATGCTTGTCCCAAATTATTACAATGAAAAAGGAATTGTCGACGAAGCAATTCAAGTCAAATCAAATCTTGAAGCTAGGAACAATTTTAAAAAAAAATTGAGATTAAATTGAGTAAAAGGAAAATGGAAACACGCGGAGGCATGTGAAAAAAACTTCATCAGATGAGCAATTACACTTCGTGAATCAGAGAAAGATGAAATTTTTGTACGAGAACTTTCAGTAGTTATTGCTTTGTTAGAGATAAGAAAACCAATGAATTGTGTTGATAATTGTTTCTTGTTTGCATGATACAAGTTTGTTGTTTTCGTGTACATCATCATATTTATACTTAATATTTCAGCGAAGTTGATTGTTAAAGACGTTTCAGTGGGCCTAAAAGCCATCGTGAAATAGATAATAGATATTCTAAAATATATCATTTTATCTCAAAATGTTTTTTGTCAATTGTCATTTTACCCTGAAATGGAAACTAAAAAATATGCAGTAAAGTATGACTAAATTTTCAATCCTACTTTTTGAATATCTCGAAAAAAATTATTCTCCAAAAGACGTGAATGAAAATTTTGATATTACAATGTAGTACTCAGAGTATGCTAGACTCAAGTTAAAGAACTGTCCTATAACAATTAGTTAAAATTGTTTTATGAATTTTTTATTATCATATCATAAATTAAAAACACAAGTTAATGTACAAATTATATCTGAGTAAAAATTCAATAAATACACAACTCATCTGGGATAAATTAGTACGGTTTAATATCCAGGGTAGTGTATAGAATCGTCATCATCAAAAACAATTTGAAATAGATTTATTTTTAAAATTGGTATAAATAAAATCAATACTTATGAATGATTCAGATTTTTAATTTTTCTGGTGGAATTGTTAATTAGACTTTTGATGTTTTAAAAAAGTCTCGGTTAGAAGTTTAATACAAGTGGTATTGATATGTTTTCCTATTTCAAAACATTTCAATAAATTTTTATGACTACAGGTAATATACTCAAATACAATATATTACACCTGAACGAAAAAACTATGGACGATATTTGCAGAACACGTATATGCATAAATATAATAATAAAAAGAATAAGTTTACAGCTGTATACACATAAATTGAATAAATGCAAATTATTTAACTCTGGACTATTTGGCAACACAACAGCAATAACTGATTTAACAGAGCCCCATTCGGAGTGAAGGCATGAAAAAGGCTCATTGAAAATAAACAATGATGCATATTATGCTAAAAACTTAGAGAATACAATACGTTATGTATAATTATTGTAGGTTAATATTTGAATTTCACAGTTGAATAAATAAATTTCAAACGTCCAATAGTTTTATGCCCCATAGTATGACAACAAAAGATAAAACATGATAAAAATTGAATAATTTATTATGTGTCACAAAATTATAACAGCGTGGTTTTCAATTAAAAAAAACTAATAAACTGTGTTGACCACAGCCATTTTTAATAAAAGAGTTTCTAAAGTTATCTTTTAACTACACAGACTTATCTCCCATAGGAACTATTGAGTAACCTTTCTTAGACCATTTGCGCGAAAACGGCAAGCCACGTAAGTTTGAATTTCGAAATGATACCCATGTGCTATAAAAGTAAGAGGGAAGTTTTGAGCATATCATTAGTAATGAAATAACAATAAAAAGTAGCATAAGAACTGGAAAAATGGATCTTCTAGGAACCGCGACTTCGATTTTATTATCTGAGTCATCCTCAGAGGTCGTTTGTGCCAAGTCATCTTTTTCTTTGTTCTTCTCTTCATCTAAATGACATTGGGGGATTATGAGATATAAATAAATGAACTTGATTCTATTGCACATAACCTTTCATGTTAGAATTTCCAGAACGGAAAATATTTGTTGATAATTGTACTTTACGCACAAAGTATTAAATATATATTAACCACTTTATTTCGTCCTCTAACTTTGATTCATTCGTGGTAAGTATAATAAGCGAAGTGAATTGGCAATACTATTACAGTGCCGCACTATTAAACTTTAATCTACATGTACAATTCTGGTACTTTCTAATTTTTTCAATTTTTATTCTTCTTATATATTTAACGTTGCTCTACCAATGGGCTCTGTGCATCTGTATTATGTTTATTCAATGCCTACCTCCATTACTTTTGTATTCAGGGGATTCAGTATCTGATGCCAATACATCTGCCTCTATCTCACTATCGTAAGTAACGTCATGTTCAATTTCTGTTGTTTCTTCTAAAATATGACAAAATGGTTAGTAACGACATAAAAAAGGGTAAAAATAGTACTTATCTATGACTGGGTAGCATTTCGTTCAAATCTTGGCAAAACTCAAAATATATATAAAAAGATTCTAGTTTCTTCACGTTATCTAGAAAATTTGTGAACGAGTAGAATATGTTTTTATTCTATATCACACCTAGGAAATTTTCTTCCGTGAAATCGTTTTGATCCGCTGTAACCGGGTCTCCATGTACTACTTTCGGTGAATCCTCGGTTCGACCAAAATGTATATCTTCTTCTGGTGGATAAGTAATCTCTTCTGCCATAATCGAATTTGTAGTTACATCATTATCATCACGCCCATTAACATTTTTATACGAGTGCATCGATTCTAAATTATGAATTTGGTATACAATGGTGAGTAATCTAAGTTTTTTCTAATCTTAATAGTGGTGTCGATACTATGAAGCAAACTAAAAATGTAAAGTACCTGTTGTACCTGGATCAGTGAGTTGCTTATAATCGGAATCCTTCTTATTATTCTCAGCAAAAATTGGATTTTCAATGCTGGTTTCGATCTCATCGGCTTCGAAACGATATTTTGCTTCTCCGACGATCTCAGATTCTGGATAATCTTCTTCCTCATCCATGTCCTGAATATGTTCGAAATCTGTTTGATCTGCAACTGAAAAAGGTTGAAAGCAATGAATTAGTAATCAGTTCGTGAGAATGCGATTAAATTTAGGCATTATAAATCATTTTGTGGGCTGATCTACATAGGTTCCGTCTATTCTCGGCGAGGCTATTCAGAAAACATTGCTAATTAGAGACAGGGGGCTGCTACAGTCTGGCTCAGCTTACTCACTTTGTTACGTAGTGCGAATTAGTATATATATTCGTCGATTGAACGATGACAAAAACAATAAGAAGTCGACCTCCGCTAAAAACAAAACAATGTTGTCTATGACCTTCTTGATATCGAAACTGTGATTCAACTTTTTAAAAATACCTCTTTGATCTGTCGTTTCTTCGCGTATGTTTGGTGTTGATTCAGTTGTCAAACCAACTAATGTGCTTGTAGTTTCATCTATTTTAGAATGCAGTGTAGGTACAGTTTCACTATCCATTGAAACTTCCATTGTTAAAATAGGAGCAGTGACATTTTCAATCATTTTTTCATGTAATACTGAAGTTGTTGTCTCCGCAATGTCGGAACGGGTTTCCTTGCTATCATTATTCAGATGTTGACTATTCACACTGGCTGCTGTTGGAGTTTCTGTTTGTTGTTTAGTATTAAAATCATTTTCATTAGATGGCGCAGTTATAATATCTGTTGTCAAAGGCAAGTTTTCCCTGGTCGTGTTTGAGGTTTCCTTTATAATATTTACACCAATAGAAAAGTTTTCGTCAACAATTTCTGACACTGACTGGATGCTTTCGCTTGTCGAATTTATTTCCTCATTATCTGAAACCTTGCTTGTTGAAAGTGATGCATTGTAATAATCTTTATCTGTAGATGGACTTATTGCAGAAATATTGATATATTTAGTTCCAAGATCATCCATTGTGTCATTTTTGACAGACATTATCACAGAAGGGTTTTTGTTGAATGTGTCCTCATCCCTGTCATCGTGAAAAATATCACCAGATGAATTATTGTAAGATAGTTTACCATCGTTCTCTTCAACAAAAGAAGCTGTCACTGACTCATGTGGGGATTGATCTATTAAAAAAACGTCTGGAATAGGATAATTTTCCAGAGCATTGAGTGATGAATCATTTCGACTCAACTCAAGAGGTATTGGATTTATTGATGCATCGCCAGGCAGGGGACCTCCTCCAGGAACATTGAGTGAGTAATCTTTAGTACTCGACTCATGTGGAATTAGATTTATTGAGGTATCGACAGGAGTAAAAGCACTTTCGGCAACATTGAATGATAAATCTTTAGTGGTCGAATCCTGAGAAATTGGGTTTATTGATTCATCGTCAGGGAAGGAACCATCTGCGGGTACATTGAGTGGTGAAACTTTAGTGCTCGACTCGTGAAGGATTGAATTGAATGATGTATCTTCAGGAAAAGAATCAGCAGAAAGAGCACTGAATGATGAATCTATAATACTCGAATCATGAGGAATTGAATTAATTGGAGCGTCGTTAGAGTAAGAATCATCGTCAGGAAAATTGACTGATGAATCGCTTGTATTTGATTTAACAGGGACTGGATGTAGTGGCACATCTTCAGTATTGAATCTGGTAGGAGCATTCAATGATAAACCTTCCGAACTCTCCACTGATAATCCTAGAATAGATTCATTCTCAGGTAACGAATATACTGGCGGGGAAAGTGATGCATCCCCGATGAATGAAGTTTCATCGGATGTTTCAGATAACGAAGTTCCTCCATTATTTTCAGGCAATATGTTTTCAGATTGAATGTTGATCGGTTCGTTGAATAAGTTATTTACAGGGTTATTCTCTTCTTGCTCTTCCCCGAATATTGTTTCTAATGAGTGCTCTGAAAATTCGGGGTTATAATTATCTCCCAGGACATCTGTTGTTGATACTGCTGGAAATTCTATAGCAGGATTTTGCTGCAAAGAATGTGAGCGAGGTTCTTCAGATGAGATTGGTTTGAAAGAATTTCCATAAAATTCCTGACTGGGTCCACTTTTTGCCACTTTACCAATAAGTTCATCGTTGGTCGAAGCGAGGTCATCATTAAATAATTCACCTTTTTGATTATTATTCGAGTTTTCGTCAACCAAGGAATACACAACAGGTTCATTTGACACTGAAGTTCTTGGAAGTGAGGAAGATTCTTTACTTTTGAGATTTATGTACGTATTCCTAGTCAAATCGTTCACAGTAATGTCTTCATGCAGCAGTGAATCAGTGACTGAATTTTTAGATTTTGAATCTGTGTCGATTTCGTCATGCGACTCACCTATAATTATACCCTCAACTGGGATTGAATTTTCATGCAACAATGCGGTGGAATTTTTAAGAAACGCGGCTACGACATTGCTATTGGATGAGGAATTTACAGGAAATTCCCGCAGTGATGCCTTTTTAGAAGATAAAGCAAAATTGTGGGCGGACTTTAAATTTTTATTTGACAACGAAAAGGCTTGACCATCATAATACGGATTAGAAATTTGCTCTACATTTGACAGACTTTCACTGTAAGGTTCTGGATCAGGAATGTTCGCCTCGATACCTTCTGCAATATTTCCATTTCCTTCAGTAGTTGATAGTTCTGCAGACATAGGATCAATTTCAGGTAAATTACCAAGCTTTGCATATTGCGGATTTGTCTCATATATATTTGGAAGAACATTTGAATTGATATCTTGCGATAAAACACTTTTTAAATTCTGTTTGCCATCGATAAAACTAAGATTTGATTCTCCTAGTATATTATTCGAAGCATAATGAATATTATCTTCAGCGGAACTGGAATATGCATCATCACTTTTTGAGTTATCCAATTCTTGATGTTCATTACGAGCTAAATAAAGATCCATGTCGGTTGATTCATCTTTGTGAGGAAGCTCAGGGAATCTATCAAGATTTGCAGCTGATGAAATGGAACTTTGATGAACAATACACAGCACGTATGAACAATAAACCCACTTCAGTCCAAATTTGGTTTTTTCCATGTCGATCTACAGCCTAGACCTAAATAATAATATAAAGTTAAGCACGCCTAATATACTGTTGTTGAATTGTAAATAAATATACATATGGAAGATATTAAATCTATAATATAAAACGAAATTGAAACATCCGACGAAAGAAGAATTTCATGTCGGTTTATTGTTGGTATTATTTACAGTTAAACTAAAGTACACATAATATTGTAATTCCGATCTTACCACCCCACCTTTGTTTATTTTATTCTTTTGCCCTCGAGCGCAACAAATGGCACAAAGGGGCGGTAACTGTACATTTTACGACTTGTATTAGCCTACTATTGTTATGAAATAATAACAACTTCAGTAATATAATAAATATTTACATGTTATGGAAAAGGGCTAGAAGTTCAAGTGGAGGAGAATGAAACAAACATAGTAACAAAACCAGTAATTCAATAAACTAACTAACTTCAGCAAAATACACTAAACAAGATTTTTTGCTAAAAAGTACGTTTAGTACTATGTTATAAACTCATTTCTATATCTCCAACGTTAACTTTGAAACATTGGCATCTAAATCATGTGCTCAAATTAGACAAGCTACACACACGAGTAATACACTAACACTTGAGTCTATACGTCTGTAACGTAACAATTTGGAATTCTAGTATAAGTAAGACAAACGACAAAAATCGCCTCAGGCGTTTAATACTTGTGGAGAAACGGAGATAAACGTCATGCGAGTATTCTTTGATCCGATTGACCAGATATCCAGTATATAATTAGGAATATAGCTTATACATTACAAACATCTACTTTCAAAAAGTTCAAATAATCAAACAGCTAAACGCTAGATGAATATAAGTTTCATGATATTCTCCATATGTCGCGATCTACACAGTACGATGTTCACAGTTACAGGTGCCTGGACCGTGTTGCTTGTTGACGTTTTAAATTCTGTGTGTTCTTCAGCGTCAATCTCATTGAGATCCAAGATACGACAATGATTGTGATCCCAAATTGAACATTTCTTTGCAGAATTGTGCTAGATCGCGCCGTCTGCAGTATAGAAATCAGTTGTATTTACAAATAAATCAATCATCATACACTTACAGTTACTATGCAATATACCAGATTTAGAAAAAGTGATCATGGGACTATTGCACATAGCTTGAAAGTTAATCGCATTAGTTGTTAAAGTGCATCCTCCGATGATTAATATTAAGAGGGATTTCCCTAATTTAATTGCGAGTTTTTAATAATAACTTATTTCTTTTTAGAACATCGAGATTCTTATTCATTCTTCGCCATAGAACACTCGACGGCAAAATGGCAAAAACAGTCATTCTTTTTCTTTCATTTTTGTGTTTAACTTTTGATACTGCTTCAGAAATAATATTTATTTGTGTATATGTCCTACTTTGTTTCATTTTACTACAAAAGTAGTTACAAAAAATGATTTCCAATGTCGGCTACTGACAGATATTGCTAGTTCATAGTGAATGGATTTTAGAGCTTCTATGTGTTAAATACTTGATCAGTGGTGCTCCATGTCCATAATTTCAGATAACCAATTGCTAAGTGATTTTATTGCTTCTAATATGTTTATTAGGGAGGATATAAATGCACAAAATGAACAATCATATCACTTATGAAAAGAAAATTGATTGAGCTATGTTGTGATATTTTTTTAATAAAGAAACAGCAGTCAAAACAAAACTGAAGTCTACTGCACCACGTATTTGTGTATTGTGTATGATGAGGATTTGTATCTCAGCAAACCCCAATTCACTTCAAACAACTGATCGTGTATTGTAGTCACAGATAGTAAAGTACATAATAACATACTTGTGGTCGCGATGGTCGTTCGCCAAATATAAGCACTATGAAGATTAATTTATCTGAGTATTTGAACAATTCTTATTTCATAGTTAGATTCATACGTCATTGTGAGATTATTGTGATGAAACAATAATACTGAATACTAGAAATAGAACATGTACCAGCACAGCCACGCACTTTCTCTAATCTTTTCGTTCGTTTATTACTCCAGCACACCATCTTGCGGATTTTTTTTGTAGGTGAAATTAATGTCAACAAAAAATCTCCGATGCGCGTGTGAGTATTTTGCTCATATTTAGAATTGTGCGACTTAAACGTTTCTCGGTCTTCTGCAGCCAATTCCATGTATTACACGCGCCAAAAACATACATATTTTTTTTTCTATCCTTCTAGCTAGTACATAAAATCAAAGCAGCAATTAAAATGTCAGATTAAGTTACCTTCCTTCTAGTATAATTAAATTTATGCAAGAAAGCCATTCTAGGTTGCTCAATTAAATTTGAATTTATTCTATGCAACTAAATAGTTTGAAAAAAATGTTAGAAAGTACAGAGAGCGTTTAATTTAATAATATGCTTCGTAACGGCACATAAGTATAGTATATATACATACTACAGTGTGCCCCGCTCATAAACGCTCGCATAGTTCGCAAAAGGTTATTTGAAGCCAAGATGATATCGCACCAGTAAGTAAATCAACCCAATTAATTGCTTAATAATGACTCCAGTAAGAGTCTATGAACGTCCATGTGTACAGCATTACGAATGGTTTGTATTTTTTACTTTTCATATATTTGTTTTTTTCATGACTTTCATGAGTCAAAACAAGGATGTGCAGAGTGCTTTTCGGTTTGACATTGCCTTCGTACGTTACTCTAACTAATAGGCCACTAAGAGGAGCCAACCCACTTTACTGTTTGAAGAAAACGGTTTAAAAAGATATTGCAAGATAATTGCAACTAAGTATTGAAATTCAAGTCCTAATGCTGCTCGAAAATTTTAGCCAACTTCAACCGTTTCATCTTTACTTTAAAAGTACAAGTTGCATGCTATTCTGATATATTCCAAAAAAAGTAAAGCCCGACGCGTCGAATCGTAACATAACATTCTTGTGAAGCCAAACTCTCCTGGGAGCATGACGGACATTTTCGGTTCAAGGCAGCTAATTTGATCCAAATCAATAGTATCAGGTATTAGGCTGAATGCGAGAGAGAACAGTTTTTATAGTATCTTCCGAAAATTGAAAGCATGTGTTTAAAGAGTTTGTTGTGCAGCAATTGATCAGCTGGAAAAAAGATGATTTCATATAAAATAATTATAGAAGAGTGTGGTGATTGAAGTCTTCCTACAATTTATTCATTTCTACATTAAACTGCACTGCATCCATCGTTTCATTTTCACAAAGTGTTGCATAAAAAAATGGTATAAAAAAATCTTAAGCTTGCAAAATATGGTATCACTGAGGTTGCACTTTTCGAAAATTTCTTCAGCTGCACCATGTTATGAGTATAAACGAATATCAGCAGAATAAGTTGTGCTAACTCGTGGTTGAAATAAAGTGAGGCCTCATTCCATAATATGAAATACCTTATCTAGAATATGGGAGTTAGAACACAATTTATGCCACATTCCATAATATGAAACCTTATTCAGAATATGGGAGTTAGAACACAATTTATGTTAACTGTTGGAATCAATATGACGCAGAAACATGAAAACATAAAAATAAAATTTGCAGAAAATTTACAGCACAAATCGTACAGTAAATACGTAGTTAATAGTTTGTGTAGTTACCATAAAGTGCAAGTGGACTTTTTGCGGTTTTTAACTGCAGATTGATCGAAAAATATAAAACGCATCTCGTCAACAACATATGACTGGAATCAAAATGTCTGCAGAAATAGTCGATGACAGATCATTTGCAGTGTAGGTAAGGTCAAAGATCGAAATTCTAAGAAATTATAGAGCATTGCCAAAGCACGTTCCAAATGTATTATTTCTTGATATCTTGTCTGTATATATCGCATCCAAAATTACAAATATTGTACAATATTCAAGATAGTATTCAGTGATTACCCGTGGTAGAATATAATTCTCTGATTGTGTCTTGATGCCAAGCTTAAAATGTTTTAAAAGCTATTACGACTTATACTTATGTTGGAAATCTGTTTGTTTTAAATTATATTCATTTCTGCTTGGTGCAACAATTCGTTGAATTATCGAACTAGCAAGGTTTTTAAAGGGCCATTACTTCCCAAAAAATGTTTAAAACATAGGTAGAACATGTAGCTTGAAAATATCTTGTTAAAATAGGATTTAACAGCCATCTTTATCATTTATGAATATTCGAATTTTGCTTATAACTTGATTATGACCAATGTATTTGGTTTTCACCTTTTAGATATCTTCATATTTGCAAATATCATTGGGGTGAAATATAGTTTTAAAACACCTTTAAAACTATTTTTAAAGGTCATGATGCAACTCGAACTTTCACGAAACAGCAAGGGAGTCATAGAGAACACGCTACGTTAGCAAATAAACTGAAATGGCTTTTATAAAATACTTATTAAAAGTAATGTGTAAGCTGCTGTTTGAAACAGATTTGTATGTTGGGTTTGGTGTTGGGCATGTGTTTAAAAACGATCATTTTGTTCTGAAAATGTAGTTTTTAACCCGTTTGCTTATTTGAACCGTAGTAATAAAACATAATCAGCAATTGTTGTTATCTTTTTAATGTTATAAAATTCGATATACCTGTTACATGGACATACCTCATGTCGGTTTCGAAGCCCCCTTTTTTGGGTTGGAATAATGTCCCGAATTTGGTCAAACTATAATATAATATATGATTTGGGTATGAAGTTCGAGACATGTCGGGTTGATTTATATAAATGATTTCAATAAATGTTCCAAATACAATCGTATCTACCACACATCACATTTCTTTGCAGTTCCTCTCCAACAACAAGTTTTATTACCATTTGCTAATGTTAAACAAATGCATTATGATGCAATAGCAAATTCTGTTAAGCACAAACTCAAATGGAAATAAAATTATTGGATTTTGATTTTTAGCGTTGAAAATTAGTGCCTAGCAGTGATTGGATTCAATTGGAGTTTAATGAATAACATTTAGGAGTTGGGTTCGGATTGATGACAAAATCCCTCTTGCATCTCCTGACTGAAACGTTGAATACATATACAGGTGTAATCGAGTTTATAACAAAGTTCAGAGTTCAGCATTTTTTCAAATGTTAAAAGTTAATAAACGTGTTAATCACATTACATCGTTGCAAACCATTTTTGGTAAAATGTTCTAGATTTTCCTAGTAAGGAATAGTGAACAATATGAACAGAAACTTGTGATTGGTATGTCATAGGCTTTCGCATAAGTGCGGTATTTCCCAGTAACTTTTGTATGCTTATTCCATTGGAATTATGGGCAAGCGTCCAGAAATTTTGTAAAATTATGTGATTGATCAGATGATTCAAGCATTAGTAAAATTGTACAATTTAATAATAGCTGATGCGTCGATGAAAGCGATATGGTGTATGTCTCAGGAGGATCTGGCTTCGACTATGATCATTTGTGGGTAAAATTGGATCCGTTCTTGGTAAAATCGACACATTTGTATGTTCAATATAACTTTTTAAATCAACAATTGATGGTTTAAATCCTTCAACATTTTTTAATCTATGGTCGATATTCCAACGCAAGAGTTATCAATTGTTTTGGCTGTCGTCCCGATTATAACCAAAAATCTCAATTTCAGATGGGTAGGTTCAACATGACGCATTTTTCGACAGTATTTGTTACCGTTCAATGCTCTTAATATTATTAAAAACAGTATTAATTAAAATTCTCGTCCCAAATATTGTCTGTACACAATTTTCATTTATCAACATATCATGTTTGATATGGACTTATCGATGCAATATAATAGGTGGCAAGAACGTATGCGTGTGCCAGACACTTCCGTTTACAAGCGTGACATAAGATAAGGACGATATTTTAAATTCTAAAAATACTAGTGTGAGTATCGGAGAAACTAACAGTATCAGATATGTAGTTTAAATTACAGTTCTAATATATTTACTCGCAGTAAAATTCTGTTCTCATGGGACGAGAGGCATTGAGCGTTAAGGAACACAGTATACAGATGGAACGTTTATAAGATCGACGTTAAAATAAAACAAATAAAAAAAAACATTGAAGGAAATACGAAAACATAAATGTTTTCTTGGTAGTAAATTAATGTATCAACATAATATAATTATAAAGCAACGCTTTATGCAAAGAAACGCAGGGCGTAGGTATGCAATTTACATTACCTTCGACCTTTACGAAAAATGAGGATTTTACTGTATATTATCCCCAGCATGTCATAAGTTGGATCAGAAAACTTATTCAAGACATTGTCGCCGAGAAAATTCGTCTAAAGTCGATCAAAATATTTCCAAATTTGCAAACGGCGCATTTCTGACTCATCGTATCGATGAACATCTAAAACAGTCATAGAACATTTTTGATTTTATACATGGCCAATTATGAATCAAAGATACATAGTACTGCCTATAAATTAAACTTAGCACAAGTGAAAAATTACACATAGTACAGTCAGCCAGCACACGTTAAAAACAAAAATAGAGTTCAGATCGCAGAACAACGCGTTTTGCAACAAAGCACCAATGCTGCGTTAGCGTTTTATTGTGTTTTGTCGAGCTAGCTAAACAAAATAGACTAAACAAAAACCATTACTTAGTTGTAAAAAAATCAACTATAGTTCAAATGTATCATGATTGAATAGTCTAAATCACGTATGACCAACGCATGTCGAAGATCTAGCACCGCGTATATATTAATTTAACTACAAGGAAATGCCATTGTTCTCCCCTTTTGACAGTGTTTTCTCTGCTGTTCAAGATAACACCAACGCGAGAAAAAGGGAGATATTAAATTAATGCATGACATCGAGTCGGGAAATCAATTACAATTGATTTAGTTTAAGGCGAGGAGTCAGTGAGCTGTCACGTTTAAATATTATTTTAAATCGTGTTTGAGATTGTAGTAAAGGCCAATTAAATATTCAATAGTGTTTTGACGTGATTTTATATTCTAAGATAGTACAAAGTGTTAATCATAAACTAGAAATTTGAATACTGGATACTTTTACACCATCGGGACCATATCAAGAATAACATGAGGTAATTTTATATTTCTTTAATCGTCATCTTTAACTGTCACATACTAACGGGTTGCATTTGTGTGATCATTTTAAGTTTGCAGATATAGGGAATGCTTGAAGTATCGCAAGTACTTTCGGAAGCTGAAATAACATGATAAACGCTTTACCCACGTCGTATACACCGTATGTATAATCGCTTGAATTCAAATTTTGAAAACCTAACGATAATCCTGTATTGACCTATAAAACGCTTCCAACAAGCGAAAGTTTTGATATCATGCAATGACAAAAAGAAAACAATGGAAAAATCGCCCGCAGCGAAATCCTACTCTTGGGATGAACATTTTATCACATATTATGTGAATTACGATGCGGTATTAGTCGGCGTCCAATTGCGTCTGTATTTGTTTATCTCATAAAAGTAATTGGGAGCGGTATTTTCACAGAGGTACTTTCTAATAGATATAACTGCAGTTCATTGTTCTATCCGCAGCATTGATAGTACGACCTCCAACTAATCATAAGTAATACTTTATAGCTAATTTAAAAACATGCCTACAAATAGAATATTCAATGATTTAAATATGCGAGTAAATGTTCTGGTATTTAAATCCAATGTTATCAAGAAATTTCATGTTCTACTGTTATATTAAATGTTGAATTCGTTTGTATTTTGATCCCACATGTTAATGTCAATGCGCCGTATTCTAAATTAATTACTTCTTATTTATTCGGGTTTGCCGATATCTTAACGCTACTTTTTTACGCAAAATTGGATCGCCAATTTTCCCGCAACAGCACTTTGGTTTATGATTTATGTTATGTTAAACTAGTATCTGCAAATTGAACAAAACGGCCGAAATATTGGACCAGCCAATTGTTAGTAACTGGACATATAGGATCATGCGATACAAATTGTCTGAATAATTTCCGGCCTAGCCTGATTCACTTCCAGGTATTTGTGTTTTCCTTGTAAAATCTTTTTTTTAACAAAGTAACAAAATCTTGCAAAACTTGCAAAGAGTTCATAACCAACAAATAAGGCAATTTTTTCAAGTTTTTCATCTGTTTTATTTAACTCTACAATCGCGGGGGTATAAATTGTTATGGCTTCAAAATATATAAGAGTAAACGCTTTCATATCAATATATAGCCATGATGTTTATGAAATAAAGGAAGCGTATAAACCGGTTTTATTTGCAATTTTTCATAATCAAATCCAATAATTACTAATTTATACCATTTCCTATAAAAAAGGTTTTCCCAATGTAAATAGATTCTTATATAACTGAATATCATTCTTTGTCGTGTTATATTTAAAAACCACGAACAAATCTTTTATAATTGCAATCTGGAATAAAATTCACTAATTTCGACTTCCGAAACCCATTCATTATGACAGAGGAAAATCAATCGCAAAATGGAACGTGAAATGACTTGGTAAAAAATAAACGAAATAGAAAATTGATTCAAAAAAAATACTGAATGAGTTTGTGAACCGTAGGCATGTAAATTATAGGAACAAAAATCATCTTTTATCATGTATGTGTTTCACGTAATAAGATCGTTTTCTTTGATTCAGTCCCGATTGAAAATAAACCAATGCTCGCTTTATCTGTGATTTGAAAGCATGCCATTAATCACAATACACAAGTTAAAATTGTTCAGGGCATGTAGCCGCCCATATCAAACGTCATATGGTTCGATTTTGGCGCGTAGTAAATAAATTACGTCAGCGTTTGTTATTTTCTCGGCCATATTGTTTTGATAAAAAGAATTATTCGATATAATATACAAATTATCGATTTCTCCTCTGTTTTAGACGGGCAACATCTAAGCTGTGATTATGGTAGTGATATTTGTGACATATATCTGTGAAACAAACACATTATGTTGATAATTAATCTGGTACCTGTCAAGCAGAATGATAGTGACCACGAAGTATTGATCAACTGCATAATATGTTGACGATACTTGGAAATATAAACTATATATTAACTATATTTTACTTCCCAGTGGTATTCCAAATATAAGATTTATTATTGTTGATCCAAAACTAAACCCAAAATTGTAGCCAAATTCATGGATGTCGCGAAAATATTTAAACTAATAAACTATTATTTAATTCTACGCAAGAATGAAAATAAATATATCATTTAATGGTATTGATTATACAACGTTTCAGTAAATGACAGAAAACATTATTAACGATGTGATATTCTGAGAATTGAGCCCGGAATATATTTTTTTTATAAATAATGAGTTTTGACTTTGCCGTAGACGATTTCAATTTTTCAATTAATGCTCAAAATCCAATTTATGAAAAAGGTGTTTCATTAATCATGCTGTAAAGACCTTTAAAAATACCGGTCATGTGAAGACGCTATGAAAATTTTTCACGTAAATACATATAAGATGCACATTTCGTATAGTCATCGTTGCAAATTTTGGTTTACATGATGACAGTTGATTGTAATCACTTGTAGTTGCAGCGAATGAACCACAAACCAAAATAATTACCGAGCATTCGCAGTTTTTTATAGTATATATTAATTTATAAAATATTGTAATTGGGAAGGTGAAAATGAACCTGGAATTATCTGAAGTGAAATATGTGCAAGTAACTATCATATAACATTAAATTCATTACTATGTATCGTTTGAGCACGTATTAAAATGATTTTATGGGAATGAATAATTAAGTAAAAAAACGCACTAAACTTGAGCGATATTGAACTGGTCAACGATTGTGTAATAGAACCGCTTTGTCAGTTTTTTTCAGTTCTGATTTTTAATATATGCTTTGACAATTTAGAGCAGTTTTCTCTGAAGAACTCAAGCACACTAATATAAACCTTTTTATTTGGCCTTCGCCTCAAGTAAACAAGTTCCGGGTCTACAAGCGATCGATATACAACTCTAATACAGACTTATCGATCGAGTTTTACTACGATTGGCGCTGAGACCATTACGAGTTCGACATTATTGTAGTGTGCGCAATTCAAATTGTGAAATATTGTATGTATTGAAACTTGAAACGAAGTCCATCTAAAACTGACCACACCTTTGACATAGGAGTAGCAAAATTAGCATTTTAAAGTGCTGGGGCGAGTTATGTCAAGATCGCAAAAATATAAAATGCTTTTGGTAATACATACTATCATATGTTAGAAAGTAGCTCTTGCTGATAACAAGCCATTCCCGTCATTTCTGAAGCCATTCAGCCATTCCTTTCCCAGCTTAAGTTTCAACTTCTGAAACAAATACATCCCGAATAGAATAATGGATCATATAAACTTCATTTTTAGGATTCTTGCACTGATGATCTCGATTATTTTCGTCGCTGAGGTGGCATCGAAGCTTCCAACATATTCTCTATGTGAGCTTACCGGTCCGCGAATAATAACATCCGCAAGAGGGCATATCACTTCTCCAAATTTTCCAAACAATTACCCTCGGAATAAAAATTGCGAATGGCAAGTGATTTCACCAAAAGGAGCTGGCATTCAATTGCGTATTGCATATCTCAACAACAAGGAAGTGTTTGACAACGGACAAGGCGATTGGTAAGTAAATAACATATATTGTGATGGAATTTAAGAAGGTGTGTGACCACGCCCCTTTTTGAATATTGCAGGTCAAAATGAGAAATAAAACAACAACTAGTTTTTGGCACATCAACGGACAAATTTTTCACGATTGCTCCGCTTTGCGAAAAATCTAAGATTTTGACCGAGCAAATCACCTATTGAATAGCACATATACGAATATCAGTTCACTAATGATTCAATGCAAGTGCATTTGACACTGTATTTTCAACAGCGTGTTATAATGTCAGAGATAATCAATATCACTAACATGTTTGATAAATTCTTTGTTATATAACAGACCTTAACACGCTCCCAAAGTTTCTCTAATGTCCTACCTTATAAAACTTTTCTATTGACGTCAAAAAACGATAGAAGCGTGCTTACTCTGTAAAAATTATTCTATTTTTGAAGATATCAATGCCGTGTAATCAATTACATTTAACGGGAATGCGGCATACATATTGCATATTTTTATTTAAAGTTTAGAGCAGTTTAATTATTGGCTGAAAGTTGTTTTTTATTTATTTATTTTTTTTTTGCTGGAATACAAATTCCAAAATATCATGACTCAAAGCAATTGTTTTTTAAAAGTAAAACGAACCGAACAGCGTATTTTGATGTGTCATTTCATTATATGCAAATTCAGGCCGTTTGCTGTCATGAACGATAACGAATAACATATATGGTTTGAAATAAAACAGGCAAGGATTGACTCAACACCCCTGTGCGCTGTGATCTTAACGAGCCTCTATGATAATGTTTTTACACTCGGAAAAAAATTGCAAAGAAGCAATTTAACTTCTATAATTGGTTCGATTTTAAACCTTATGTTACCTTAAAACTATAGCGCTTAAAAACGCAGCACTTTTTAAAAATTCGTTCAATTGCAAAAATGTGTTCGAGTTCACACTAAAGTGAGGATTTTGTGACACGTTGCACAAACTTGCATTTCAAGAGAGCCAAAAAAGTCTGTATATTAGGACCTCCGATTGTTTTTAAACATGTTTACGTTCGAGCGCATTCTAAATTCTATTTAAGCACTGCCCTATAATGGAATATTGTAAAAATGCTCACTTCTCTCTTGTAACCTCGAGATTTTATTTTATTTTTGTAATTGATGAAATCAACTTTTCAATAATCCATGGGAATATCGCTAGGTCTTGAGTAAATGATTTACGAAGTCGATTATTTCACTAAATATTTAGAATTGTTAAATCTGCCATTTGGTGAAAATTTACGATATGGAAATTTGGTAAATAATTCTTCTTTCGCCAGAAACGTTTTAGCGCAGAGAAACTTGGACCTAAATGTTTTTATCAGTAACTAAAAATTTATTAAAACCTTGACAACGTTCACGAAAAAGAGATGAACGAAATTATTCTGACGTCTGTTACTAGAGTTGATTTGACAGGAATATTCGGTATTTTATTCGGCTACTGCCATAATATGTGAGCAATACTGCAACGCCGCAGGTAGTCAAAAGCAATATTACTTTGAGTTCCTATCTAGCCTGAGCGATGTCGTCATTCGATATATCAAGCCCATATCCCCTTCAAACGAACCCGATTCCAAAGTTTAATAAAATACGATTACTCCACGAACGTACAGGAAATATTACTTATCTTACAAAACCAGGAAAAACCTCAACTCTTGCACACCAGTCAGCATTTCTTTGTATTTGCATTCATAGTTACGACAAACTTCGTATAGCGTCAGGAAAAGTGGGAGATTCGTTCAAATACATTGATAACGACCAACTTTGCGCTAAGGAGGTTGAAGAACTGAGAAAAACAACTTTTGAAATACCGAACAATTCTGCTGATGAAAGTGTCATCGCAAAGATAACATTCGTGTCTGATTACGCCGATGAGAACCCAGGATTTTCTATTTTCTTTCAAGCAAGTAAGGTGTTGATTTGTTTTAGACTTGGAATTTGCCTAAAAAAGTTGGTATCATTGAAAGTATATATTGTTTGTGTATAAAAGATCATACCCGTATTTTAGTTTAACCAAATAATAGATAATTTTCTGAACTAGAATACTATTCACTAGTCTCAGGAGGGTTCATAATAAGTTGGTGTTTCGAGAATATCAGAAATTTGACTTATTTTATTAAATATCTAAAGAGTATACAAAAAGCAATAAGATTTTTTTATGCGAAAGTCGCTGGCATCAGGAAAGGCAAACCATTCTTTTACTCCGATGATTGAGTATTCGGCTTGTAACGATTAGCGTATCCTATTTGAAAAATTAGATGAGAAAAATAAAACTGTCATATGAGTCTGTTAATGCCAGTTATATTACCATTTAATGATCATATCTCGTAAACACTTAGACAGAATGCAAAATCTAACTTGTCTAAGGTAGCATGTTTGTTTCGATTGAAAATGACACAAAGATACCTGGGCATTTTCATTGAATGGCATTCGGGCATACTTTGTACATGACCTGCCATTAAGGATTCGGGCTGTGCTTCTAAAATTGCGATTGCAGAATTGCTTCTGTCAAAAATGTTATAACTATTTTTATACCTTTTCAAAATTTATCATTTTATGCATTTACTCAGTTTGTAACGAAACTCAAACATCGGAATCCGGAATTATAAAGTCGCCAAACTACCCAGAACAGTATCCGCCTAACGCTGAATGCTTCACGGAAATTCGAGCACCATTTGAAAACAAAATCGAAATAACTTTTGACAATTTTAAAGTTGAAGATCAAGTTGCTTGTACAGCAGATTACGTTACAATCAGCGAGGGACCTCCAGGTAATTTTTATTATTTTTTCACTGTTTTTCATTTCTGAAAATGCTATGAGATAAACTCGTCTACTTTATATACAACCTTATGTGCAAATAAACATTTTTAAGTATAAATTCGATTCCAGCCTAGGTTTAGCGTAAATGACCCACAACAATCAACTCATTCTTGCATTCAATGGCGGTTATTCAAACGCATGAGTTGAGTCTCCATGTAACACCGATATCATCCATACCCCAATTGCAATTATTGCTTTTTGCATAGAATGTCATTATATGTCGGTTTTGCAGCATTCACTGTTATGATTTGTTGCAGTGGCAATTTTTCTTTGGCAAAGTTTCAAGTTCCTAATATGGAAATGTAAAAATGGCTGATTAGTATTACCGGAATTTTTGGCAGACAATCTCATAATCATATGACAGTTGTGTTTTGTTTGTCTCAATAGGTCAGTACGGTGGTCGTGCAACTACTTACTGCAAAAATAACATCGGTAATATAACAATCGATTCAAATATTGCAACGGTAAAATTTGTCTCAGACGCAAATTTTGAGCAGTCCGGATTTCATGCGACTTGGAAAGCAGGTACATTTTTGATTATCGTGTTTAAATTTATTTTTATTAGGTTTTAAGCTTCAGACTTGCTTATAATTTGTATGTGGGAATATTTATACGTTGTTATAATTATAAGGGCTTGCTTGATCAGAAAGGATTCATTATATACAGAAGTATGGGCCAATACCATATAAGAACGTAATTGTGAAAAACTTATAAAATAACTCTTACTTAGTTATTTAGGAATATAAATAAGTTTAAAAACAATTTTGAAAAAATACCAGAAAGCAGTAGAAATATATCGTACATAAGTATTGATAGTCTTAGCTTTAGGAGACTTATTATATCGCTGTTACGTGAGTCAGTCACTTAGTCACATGTCTAGTAATACGTTTGTAGAGGATTTCAAATTCTCCGATAAATTCAGCTTCAGTCGTTTAGAGAATTCTTCTACCTCAAAAAAAAGTGTCTTGATTATAACAAATAAAATCAATATTTTCCTAGTGGCTCCAACGACTCCTGCGCCAACTACAACCACACCACAAGCTACAACATTACCCATGAAGAATTGCAGTTATACTAACGAGAGCATAGAGTGTCAAAGATGGGATTCGAACTCACCACACAAGCCAAAATATCGACCAAATAATGATGACATAAATCACAATTATTGTCGCAATCCTGACAATGACAAAATGGGAGCTTGGTGCTACACAACTAATAAAAATATCAGATGGGGGTATTGCGATCTGGATAACTGTAAGTTGGTTTTTATTGATACAGCCTATATAACAAAATTATCATATTTTAAAATTTTGACCACTCAATCAAAGTGCAGCTTCAGCAATAGTATATAGAAGGAACAAAGAGATCAATATACAGTTCTAGTTTCGTTGTAGAAGAATATACAGAACAGAATTAAATAAGTATAAGTATTTTGCCCTTTGCGCAATTGTTTTATTTTACATTTATGCAACATTTTAGCAAACGAAACATTTTTTCATGGTTAAATCAACTTAAATGTCATATATTTGGGATTACATTTACTAACAATGATGTCATTTCGAATCAGAAAAGTATTTCGAAAGGAAGAATGGGTTCAAATCTACCTAATTTCAAAAATTAGGTCATGTGTTCAGTTATCAGAATATCTAACACGTAACCTTACGTCACTATATAAGAAAGTTTAAAGGGCGATTTAAATATTTACAAACACAAGATTGCCATCAGAGTATATTCAGTTCAGTTGAGGTCGGGAACAATGATAAAAAATATGCAAAGTACGAAATAAATGACACTGACATAACGCCCTATTTCAATGATGACGAATTCAATATCCTTTGACACAGTTAATTGTACGAGAATGCATCATTCATGTTCTTATGATATACGTAAGTTTGTAAACTGTAACGTTACATACTTCAGCCTTTTTCAAGAAATTTTTACATTTCATAATATCATACATCTGAATTACATTAATCGGTTGGTATTTCCTCTGTATGTTTTGCAAACTGACAAAAATAATGGTCTCAATTCGGTTCTTATGCAAATAAAGAATTATTTCTAACATTGAACTTACAGGCGTCCTTGCAACTACTACTATGAATCCAACTACTATTCAAGAAAGTACAGCTCCTATTGAAACAACAGAAGTTATCCAACTAGCAGAAACAACAACGAACGAAACTAATGGTGTCGGTATTATTGACGGTAAGTTTCTAAGTCTGATTAAAAAAACATCGCTGCAATGTAATAAAATTGTTGGGCGAAGGATAAAAGCAATACATACGATACAATGCGCACTTTGGTAAATATCTAACACAGTATGTGCTCTCGCCCTCTCCCCTTCGCTGTATATATACCGGCACCAATGAGGAATTGGTTTTATCAAAATAAATCCATATCAAATTGCGGTCGACAATTAGATTTACTGCTTGGGTCCAGGCACAAAGTTAAATGGCAACTGACCCATTTATCTAGTATTTGTTGGCAATCGAGTCGTTTTTGTTACAGGTACAAATGCGATTCCGGAAAAACAGGTGGGAGATGAAGATGGATCTGGCCTGCATTGGTAGGTGTACATTTTTCCTTGGTTTTCATTTGATGCATTGCTTTTTTATAGCTATTGGTTTTGTAAGCATGTGTTTGTCAAATGTAAAATGATATACATAACTTAATTACAATCATGTGTAACATAATCAAGGAGTAAAAATTTCAATTGTCGCTGTTGTAGTTGGCGTTGGATTTTGCATGCTAGATTCTTTTTTCTGAAATAAACATGTAAACCATTTTCATGCGACGCAAGACTGATTACATTTTGTAACTGGGGAGTTTAAATATTTAATAAAATCCTTCTTTATTTTATTTATAGGGCAATATTTGTTGTCATACCGATAGTGTTGATCGTATTGGTCATTGTCATAATTTTCATCCTGAAGCGACGACAAAAACGAAAGTCTGGAATGACAATAAGTGGACCGAATGCAGATGATACCGTTGCGTTCAGTCACCAGTTAGATCGAGATGATATGACGGAAAGGGTGAGCGTTTTATTATGCAATTTACGTCAACTTTTTATCCGAAGAATTTGAATTTCTTACTGGGTCCAGTGATTTCAGTTATTTTGCCTAATAACCAATTTACTCACTTTTCATGCCAAACTGTTTGGAAAGGTTTTTTCATCGATCGTTTTCGATCATATTATGTGTATGATCAAATCTGCAACAAATAATTATTAGAACTGATTCGACGACTTCCTTATTTGGATGTGCGAAAAACGTGACATGCGTCATAAGAGTTACTTTCAATGGAAGCAAAGTCCACCTCAGAATGTGATTAATCTAAGATATATTTTGCATCGCCGCAAAAAATTCCACTTCCATAAACTTTTGCAAACTTATTTTTGCAGACCTTAGCAAAACTGTCTGCATTAATGATGAATTTTGTTTTTGTGTGATGAAACCAATAAAATATCACAATGATATTCAAATCATACGACCTCACATATTTATCAACATGTTATTGCTGATCTAACGCCCTTCGACTATATCAATTAGAATTATTTTTAAGAAACTTTAATTTATTTAGACTAGAATTTTCCTACATATGAGTTTGCTATCTCGTGGTAAAAAAGTGCAAACTGTTAATCTGTGAACCGCTAAACAAGCGAATGTATATCAATCTATTCTAAACTTGAATTCGAAATGATGATTTTTTTATGCCCTCTCCCAAGAATTTTACTATTCATACTTTTGTTACAGCCAAGGGAAAACACATACGTAGAAATTCCATTCTTGGGCGAAATACATCCACAAGAAAGTTCTTCCAGGCGTGATGGTGAGTTTTATAAAAGTTAAAGCAAACATCAATTCCATGCAATACAATACCCCATGCAATTAAGATCAAAACTGATAAATCATACTTTATCCCAATGCTTTTGTTTGTTTGACTTAATCTAAAAACATTTGGTTTTGGGTTAATGTTATCTGGCACGGGCAAAAGCAACTTTTTAGGTTTGATGTTTCACGCCATATTATCAACTTCTATCAGTTGTGAAATATAGACATATGCTCTTAATATCTTCATAACAGCTTACTCTTAAATTTGTAATTTATTTTCTAATTAGAGTTAGTTAGCTACTTCAACTTGGATTGGATTTAAATAATAAAAAAAGTAAATAATTACTTCACAGAACCTGATGCTACTTGCGGAAAGAATTTTGTACTATTAAACAACAGAGGAAGTGTGTAAGTACTGGGAGTTTTAAAATAATAAAATTTTGAATAGCATATACTTTTTATATCAATAATTATTGATTACAAAACTATGACAATTTTCCAAATTCAACAGACACGGGTGGAAATACTGAAAACTGAATAGATTTTTTAAATTCCATTTTGCAAGTGCCGAGCTGGAGTAATTCAAAGCTTGCTAAGCTATTCGAAATAGGAGTAGTACGGTGCATACCTGAATATATCTTAAAATTAAATTCTTCAATCTTGCTAACTTTTAACACAAATAGATGTTTAAATATTTTTGAATAATGTGATAATATTATTGTTTTCTTTCCATATTAGAAATTCTACTACATCAAGTAATGATTCAATTGCAATTGCGAAAGAAGCTGCCCAAAGAAATTTCTCAGCAATAAATCGTGGCGCAAGTACCTCGGATGCAAATCCGTACTCTGTTGCTGATGATGTGGAAAGTGGTACGAGAGGTAAAGAATTTGTCCTTCAGCAGGGTTTTGGCTATGGTGAAAGAATTACAAGCAGTCTAAATCTTAGTACTTTTTTTTTTGGAAGTGCTGCAATTGCTGTTACAGAAACAAAATATATTCACTCAACAGTATTCCGTAATATATAAATATATATCATGACAGAATAAAGTTTGGTATTCCTTGAGACGTGTAAAATGATTTCAATTATACCACCTCTCTGATCTACCTATTTCTGGTGATTAATTGGTTTATTTGAATTGTATTATTTCAGCGCTTCCAGTATCTGAACAGAAAGAAAACGTATATCACTCAATTTTGCCAGGACAAGAAAACAATACAGGTAATAAATAATGGCTAATAATATGGTAATTTAGTGAATATCAGGTTTAGGCAATGTTACACATACTCGACAAATATTTATGACTATAATACTAGACTATGAATTTGAAAAGCTTTCAATGTATTAGTGAATGTAATATGTTATATTTTACCAAAAATATTCCGCATTTGAACTATATCATTTCCAATCGTGACATTCAAATATTATTTTACCGAAGGAAAATCTAGCGGAAGCTCATTCAGTCGAACTCCACTACCACCGACTCCATTTGAAAGAGCGAACAGCAAAGAAATGCAAAGGGACCAAGATTCAGAAAATAAGAAAGGAAAGGGTTGGAAACTCAACTTCACTGTTAAGAAAAACGAACCTGTTAAACCTGAAGGATTTGCAAATCCGTCATATCGTGAAAAAGATGCCCCCCAGCAAGTTTTTGACAGCGCGGATGAAAATCCTTTCGATACAGATGGTATGTAAAGCATAGAGTAATAGGTACCTGGTGACCCAAAAAAGAAACGAACCCAGTCCATTTGGAACATATTGTATGGGTTCCGTTTTTTTTTCCGTCGCCCTGTATTTGTTTATCATAACATTATATAATACCCATTGTTAAACATAGACAGCTTTAGCATTCTACGTTGCATTTCCTTCAAAATAAATGTTCTTGAACTTTTTTTGTACATCCACCACGGTAAAAAGTATACCATTGTTATATCTAACTTTCCAGACGAAACTACAACAAGAACTCCTCCAGTTATGCCAAGAAAGAAACGATCAACGATTGAATCACATGAAGACGAGAGCAATGTATACAATGCACCTTCTGTGATACCTGCACCGCCAGTTTACGAAACCACCAAGGATCTAAATGTGGCTACTTCCACATCACGTGGAATCGAATCTCCATACATGATGCCAAAATCGGCTTCTTCAAGTATATATTTCTTTTTAATAAGATCAGATTTATATTCTTTATGATAATCCAATTTTTATAGTGTTTTATGAAAATGTAAATCGGTACTATCTAGCATTCTGAAAAGGGAAAAAATTATCATTTTCTAGATAGTTTTGTGAAGAACGTATTTTCGCATATTACTCTCTGTGCTTAAGGTCATGACATTTGTCGCAAAAGAGAACTTGATTTTTTTTACTATATTACCTTTTCTCGTTGATGTGACTTCATTTCAGAAATACTCTTTATCGTTATTGATTAGTATGGCTTATATATGAATTACCAACTCACATAAACATATGTTATCCATTAAAAAATTTGAATTCTAATTTTTTAGGTAAAACTCCCACGACTACTGATATAGTTTGCATATCACCTGATGTGATTGATGATGATGAACAAAGAAAAGGTAAGAAACCATCAGTGCGGTTCTGGATTCTAAAAGAATATTCTCTCACCATCTATGCCTCGCCAAATGTCGACTAACTTTGTTCTCTTCTGAACAGTAGTTATTTACCTTCTGTCAATTTCTTCAATTACGGTATCATGAAAATTTTTTCCTTTTTCCAGTTATTGACAGTGGATTTTCACTTTATTCATCCCCGAATCCAACGTCTCCGGTTTTTGATATGCCAGAGAACTTCATTTATGATCAGCCTTCCAGACCAGCGGCAACTTCAATTTCTAGCAAATCTGACAGTGATGCCAGCGGAACAGGTGAAGTATCACAAGCCAGTTCCACAAAAAGTGGAAGAGATAGTGGCAATGCATCCATGCTAGCCATTGAGTCAATTGGACAGGAACACAGCCACGGTGAATATTGCGTTATGAATAGCGTTCCACGCAGAAAAAAACAATGGACTTCCGAAAGCAGCGACAAGCCTGCTGATGAAGTATCAGAAAACAGACTCTCGCAAATGTACCTTAGCATGAAAGGCATCAAAGGCAATAGGAGAGAAAGTGAGACAACTTCGAAGCATAATAAGAAGCAGAAGACCAAGCCGCGCAAAAGTGTATGATAGGTGAGCGACTGCGTATTGGATGGACTGATTTATTCGCGTTAGCATAACGCCGAAAAAAGACAAAGCATACAACCGCTTTCCTAACTTGTAAATACGTACATTTTTGTTCAGACTGCCAGTTCTTAATTGTGTTTGAATGTAATAGGCCGAAAGGAAAGACCACATCGTACGCTTTATTCGTAATCAATGCTTGATACTTTACAAATACAGTTCAAAGCCTTTTTATTTTTACTTCAAACGTTTTGAGAATTTATTGCCAAGGAAATAATATCGCACTACGCTGTCATTGACTTAATTAATTCCACCATATTATGATTTATGAAATATGTATCGTCATTAAACAATCCAAACATAGCTACACGACATATTAGATAAACAACATCACTGTCAGTAAAACGCAAAACCGTGATAAGTTCATTTCATCGAGAAATTCTGCAAGAAATTTGTAGTTTCAATAGGGTAAAAAAGAATGATTCTTTTCATTACCTTATTACATATTATAAACCCGTTATTCCTCATTATGCCAGAAGTCCTTAACTAACTAAATAACTGGTGTAGCCTACTTGGTGGTGTGTTCTATAGGCAGCGATATAATTTGAATTCCAGAGCAAAGTATGCATCAAGTAGCAATAAGTCAACATTCCATGTAAATTTTTCAAAATAGTTATCTACTTTGTGCTTTTTATTAATTTTTAAGCGTTTTATTATATTCAAATGATTTCAAAAATAAAACAAAATTACAGAAATGATTGTTTGATTTTTACCAAGACATACAAAATCTGTTTCTATTCTATGCCTCTTAAAATACAGCGATTTCTCAATGTGCAATCTAAAACTAAAATGTAAGTGTATATCACATTTACGAGTGTCTGCTGTCCTGCAACCACTGTTTCATATTTTACAATATATTTGGGTTTGATGACCGAGTGGTTAGTTGGTGTTATAAATAATAGAGACATAATACCACAACTTCCATCAGAGATCAAGCGAAGATCAATGGAAAACTCTGGTAATCTCTATTTTGAAACCGTTCTATGGGCGAAAAAAAACTACAATTTAATTGTTACATTCAGTCTTGTACATTAATGTTATAAAGCACATACTTTATCTCTTGAGTATTCATATAATTTTGTGGAATGGCCAAGATTACTAAGATACATAGTTTTGACTTTATGAAAAGTTCTGTCGTAAGTAAGTAAGTATTAAGTATTGTAAATCTTTCCATCTTTTTGAAACTCGTGAAATTATAGTTTGCGATATTAGTTTCACCTTCAGAACTCCTTCCACGGCTGAGTTGATTCTCCTAACGGCTGTAGTTCATATGTTGGAAAAAGAAGTCGTTGGAATCGTTCCACCGCGGGTATAGGCAGAAAAGGCCAGTTTTAGGCGACTCGACGATATCATTTTTCAATAATATTATAGTGCCTTTTTATCACATTCCGGGGTTATTCAGAAAATTTTTCACACTTTCTACCATGAGCGTAAAATTCATGAGTAAATCTGTACTTTGATTCTTCATCCATAAGAGTATTTACGACTTTGCATAAAGCTAAGTCATCGGTATTGAATCAAAGTACTACTGAAAGTATTTTCGTAACGTTATATAATCGACCTTCATTCTCCTCTGAATTTGAAAAAAATAATTGATTTTTTTGAGTTAATATCTATAAACTCCGCCAAACGTGAACCAAAGTTGCGTGAGTTTATAAAAAGACTGGTAATACTCAAGTACTGTAAATACTCAGATGATATTCGAAACGATGTAAAACTATGAATGCCTTGTGCTTTACGGGTAGTTTTTCATTTGCCTATTCATCCCTAAATAGTGATTTTAGATTGTGTCTGTAGTTTTAGATTGCGTTTGTAGTTTATCAAAGTGAATAATAGGACCATACCTGACCATGGGATGATACCATAACCTTGGTGAACCTTGATTTTTGAAGCACCTTCTCACACGTTTTTACCATATAAGTAAATGCAAATCTATTGATACAATGAACAATATGATGTGAACAGCGTGGTAGAAGACTAGAAATTAAATTGATTTCGAATTGAGTAAAGTCACAATTGTCTCAAAACAAAAACGATTACTGGTTTGAACCAGACGATTCCTACCTCCTGACAAGCAGACTCAGTTTGACAAAATGAAAAGAGATTCTGCCTGATCACACAACTCTTGCTAGCAACCCAAGATAATGCCAAACAAGCAAACAATCTTTTTTTCTTGATTTCAAACTTCTTTCAATAAACTAAATTCATAGATAAAAAAATGCTTTTGTGTGAATAAAAGTTCATAATCAAGCTTTTCATAACTTACCTAAAATTCTCATAAAAGTCTTGAGTTATGAATTTTGCTAAGGTAGTAAAATACGAATTCTACATTGTACGATGCGTTATTGAATATCCAAATTATATAAACCGTTTCACAAGGAGACAAAACTAAGTAGTATAGGTATCCAGTCTGTCACAGGAGACAAAATCGCACAAAAAATAATATTTGAGAACCCACAGAGATTTTAGAAATAAATAAACGTAAAAGCCTTCTAGCGTAAAATATATATATATATATAGTAAAGTTTGCGGCGTCGTACAACCTCAACATAGCAGTAAAGCAGTTAATACATTATATGTGGATGAATTGTCACAAAACGTTACATATTGTTTGCAATCCAAGTTTGAACCTCAAGGATCGATTCCGGTGTATCGGAATCGATTCTAGTCGATTCCGCGAAGAATCGATTCTGTAATCGAATCCGGACTCGATTCCGCCATCCCTAGTGATAGATAGCCTGGGTTTAGGAGTACTACAACTGTTTGACGCAATATACTTGGGCTATTGATGTCATATCACTTGGGAGAATAAGTCGTTTCAGGAACCAATATCGTAATCCTATATTATTGCCATCAGTGTTTTATCATAGTTTTTAGAGCTTTGTAAGCAGGTTCGGCGTCACAAGGGAAACAATTGTTATGATAGTTTCCTGTTTACTAGACAATTCGGGCATATTCTGATTCTTTCAACCATATTTTTGAACTTTCGTCTACGGTGTTTATCTGAATAGGAAACCATGAATTTGTTCATGGATCTTATAAAAAAGCAAGTCCATAGTGTTCCGTTTGTAGCTATGTTTTGATTTACAATGACATTGTTTTACATCTTAGAATTGGAGGCTCTTCGAATAAGTGACTGCAGCAAAGTACCCAGAGATAAAACTAGTGACGGAAGAGGCGGAGTTTTCAATATTTATCCTCTAGGATTTGAGAGAGTTGAAACTTATTGCGACCTAACAGCAGACGGAGGAGGCTGGCTGGTAAATGTGCTCATTTCCAGTTAACTAGTGAACGTTTCTATTCGTACTATTCAAACCTAACTGACTTTCTCTGACTTCATTCTTTTAACTATGAATATAAATCATATTTCAAAGCATTAAGTTAAAAACACAGCCCATGTGAAATCACTGAAGGTATGCGTTTGGCTCGGTTCGAACTTCCAAAAAACCGAGTTATCAGAGAGTCTAGTAAATTGATATCGGTATTGAAAATATATATATATTGTCCTAAGGTATTTCAAAAACGAATGGATGGTTCAGTTGATTTTTTTAGGAAATACAATGACTATATTTATGGATTTGGTGCAAATAATGGAGAATATTGGCTTGGTGAGTAGCTAAAATGCAAAATTTTCTAATCATATCCTACTGATTGATCATATTGACCAGGTCTTGCCTGTTGATAAAAAACTACGAACAGTTTTTTTTATTTTTTTACTTGTTCACGCGGTGTCATTTGTAACTGTATATGATGTTGAAAATTTAGATTTAGACACACCGAAAGGGCATTTGTTTATTGTATTTAGCAAATAAACGAATTTTTGTGATTTGAGATTCGATAAGACAGAATATTACAACATTTATTATAGAAAAACTCCGACAATACGTCACTTTAGTAGTAAACTTTAGTAAAATATTTAACCTCAGTATATTGTGTCATGCTGAAATTTGTATATTATTATATAAAGGCCTGAAACTACTTCATCGACTAATTTCATTTCGGGAGTATGAGTTACGAATCGACTTAGAAGACTGAGATGGAAACAGAAAATTTGCCAAATATTCGTAAGTTTATCATTCACAATTATGAAACGCCACCTAATTATAAAACGCCCTAAATTTTATGCAGTTGCTTCAGTACTACAACATCGCGTACATTACATTATATTGTATCTATTACCTACAGATCTAACCCTTTTTTATTTATAACCCACAAACTAAAGTCAAGTTCATTTGTATAATAAATTTTCAGATTAGGAATAATAAACATCTCAAAACTTTATCAGATCTTTCAAAATCGGAAATGCTGCTTCTGGTTATCAACTGACGATTGGGGGAAACTCAGGCAACGCAGGAGATTCTATGGATTATAGCAATGACAGCTCATTCATCACAAAAGACAGTGATTCCGACAACAGACCGGGCAGCAACTGCGTTACCGTCTTTAAAGGCGCCTGGTAGTATAATAGTTGTCATTTTGCCAATTTAAACGGATTTTACTTTGTAGGAGGAACACACAAATCATTCGCAGACGGCATAGAATGGCATTCGTGGAAGGAATATCATTACTCACTGAAGTTTATCGAGATGAAAATCAGAGCATTGTAACTTACTGTAAATACGTATCTATTAGTTTATCATTATTAAAATAAGAACAAATTCATAAATGATTCATTGCAAAGCTTTAACAGAAATATATAAAAATACAAGTCTGCCCAAACCACTTGCGATGTAAATCAAAATATTTGAGTGTGATAATGATGAAAGAGTATTTATTGCATTGACTTCAACAAAGTCCGGTAGTGCGTACTGGCAATATGTAGGCCTATCTAGAAAAGAGAGACTGACGAAAAAACCTCGACGCAACTGCAAATGATTCTTCCGGATACGTCATAGCTTGTCGATAATGTCACCTTTTATATTGCAATAAAACTAATTGTCGTAGCATGTGTGAACTTTGTTCAAAAAGCGTTAGTATTTGTTTTCTTTTTATGACGTATGTTGCACTTTAGCTCTGTCAAATCTTTGTATAAGTAGTCATTGATTTGTTTGAAGCAACTGGGTAATGGTAAGACTGGGGTCTTTTACGATTCGACATGCAACCTAATACCTAACTTACTGCTTGCTCTATAGATAGTTTGGACATAATATGGCCATCTAGTAGATCATTTGCCTCATGTGGCTGCTGATAAATTCATGATCATCAGCCTGAAAAGAACATTTTAGGATGAGTGAAACCAGATATTAGAATATCATTATATACAACATAATCAGAAAAAAAAAACATAGTTGAAATTGGAAGAAATTGCAAAACATTTGAAAGCCCGAAGTAATTACCATTCAATCTTTGACCAATACACGTTGTCGACACCTATAGTCTATTGCGAGGTTAATTTGATCCAAACGAGATAAATCAATGACCAATTAGTCCATTCAATGGCGTGAATGAACATTAACTCGTCGCAACTTTGTATCAAATGGTGAAATGGAGCGAGGGATTTGTTCAAAACGTTTTACAAAATTGTTTTGAAACAGTTGGTTTAAATCAAATTTGTTCTGCCTGTTTTGTTTAAAATGGCTGTATTATTTGATTTTTTTATAATAAAAAGGTTAAAACTAATACAAGAAAAATATATGTAAAAACTTGCCAGTCACTTCTTATTCGCAATTAACCCATCGCCACGCCACAAATATCGATGACTTACCGATACACGCCTTCTCAAGCTGTAACGTAATGCTTTATTGCATATTAAATAAACCACATCTCTGTCAGTATAACGCAGAACCGATAAAAGTTTCGAGTATAAAGAAATTCGCAGTTGCAATAGGGTAGAATGCTTCGGGTATCTCAAAAATGTCGTGTCCCACTTGTTCCACGTGCCCCACTTGTCCAACGTGTCCCCCTTGTCCTACTTGTTCCACGTGTACCACTTGTCCCACGTGTCGCACTTGTCCCACGTATCCCACTTGTGATCAAATTCGAATTTCATAATCTTTCAAGTTCACAACAATAATAATTTAGAAACCTAGTTAAAAATATATTTCAAGCGTTGTACGTAGTTTGAAACAGTGGTCGGCAACCATCGGGAAGCAGTGCAATATCATTCCGTTAGAAGCAGTATGACCATGATATTTGCCTATCTTAAATTTGAACACGGTATGATGAAATGATATAAGTTTACGCAAAATATTAGTCGACATTATTATTAATTATCGTTAAATCAATATCGAACATTAAACTTCGTTTGCGTTATACAGTTGAGTTGAACTTTCAAGTTGAGTAAAAGAAGTGTTTTTGAAGGGCGGTGCGCAAATGAATTAAGATTCAAACCAGCCCACTGATTGACAACGCCTAGTTTAAAATAATCGATCGGTACATTATTTTCTGTAACCGGACAAGTAGAACACGTGGGACAAGTGGGACACGACATTTTCGAAACAACGGAATGATTTATTTCACTATCTTATTATATCCCAGTTATTCCTCATTTTGCCAGACGTCCTCAACTAAATAATTAACTAGTGTACTAGTAACTAGTGACCTATAAGCAGCGATATAACTTAAATTCCAGAACAATGCATCAATAGCAATAAGTCAACACGCCATGTAAATCCCTTTTCAAAATAATTACCTTTTTTATGATTTTTATTAATTTTTAAGTGTTTTATTATATTCAACTGATTTCGAAAATAAAACAAAATTACAGCAATGCTTGTTTGATTTTTACCAAGACATACAAAATCTGTTTTTATTCTATGCCTCTCAAAATACAGCGATTTCTCAATGTGCAATCCAAGACTAAAATGTAAGTGTAGATCACATTTACGAGTGTCTGCTGTCCTGCAACCTCTGTTCCATATTTTACTCTATGTTTGGATTGGATGACCGAGTGGTTAGTTAGTGTTGCAAATAATAGAGACATAATACTACAACTTCAATCAGGGAAAAAGATGAATCGGAGATCAAGAAATCAATGAAAAACTATTGTAATCTCTATTTTGAAACCGTTCTATAGGTGGGAAAACCATAATTTAATTGTTATATTCTCTCTTGTACAACATTAATATATTATAAAGCACATACTAATATACAGCACATACTTTATCGCTGATTTTTCACAAAATTTGTGGAATAGCCAGAATTACTAAGATATAATATAGTTCTGACTTCTGAGTTCTGTAGTAGTTTCTCTTTACTTTACATTTACCATCGTTTAAATCGTTCCACCACGGGTTAAGGCAGAAGAGGCCAGGTTTAGGAGAGTCGACGATATCATTCTTAAAAAATATTCTTGAGTCTTGTTATCACATTCTAGGGTTATTCAGAAAACGATTCACACTTTCTACCATAAGCGTAAAATTCATGATTAAACATGTACTTGGGTTCCTCTTAGATAAGAGTATTTATGACTTTGCTCAGAGCTAAGTCATTGATTTTGAATAAATAAAAATGAAATTTGATTTTATGCTCGAAGTACTACTAGAATGTATTGTTATATAATTCACTTTTGTTTTCCCCTGGATCCAAAATAAGACAATAAAATATATATTCCCTCAAGTTGAAGTGTATGAAATTCTATCAAACTCGGTTCAAAGTTGCGTGAGTGTATATAAAGACTGCTGATACTCAAGTACTGTAAATACTCCTATGAATGCCTTGTAGTTTAGGGGTAAACAAATAATACTAGTTTCAAGATTGAGTTTGTAGTTTCGAAGTGAATAATAGGACCCTACTTGTCAATATGACCGTGAGTTTGGCGAACTCTCAATTTTTGAAGCACCTTCCCACATCTTTTAACACAATGTAAATCTAGTGATAAAATGAACAATGTGATGTGAACAGCGTCGTGAAAGACTCAAAATCGAATTGATTTTGAATACCAAGTCAAAATGGGAACAGTTCGTACATCCTGACACGTAGACTCAGTTCGATAAAAATTGAATATGTATATTCTGTCTGATCACACTATGACTGGGTAACAACCCAAGATAACGCGAAAAGGCAAACGATTCTTTTCTTGATTTCAAACACCACTGAAAAAACTACTATTTTTTGTCCGAAGCAAGAATATCCTACTTCAGGTGCGGAGGCAAATATCGTTTCTTCCGTTTTTTTTTTTGTGCTTGTTATCTCATATCGTTTACATTATTTAATTTAAATATCATATATCAAAACAAAAGAAATTAAAAATACGCGCGATAGTTGAATATAAATACAAAGAAACTAACACCATTATTTAATTACCATAGATAGAAGAATACTTTTGGGTGAATGAAAGTTCATAGTCAAATTTTCACAACTTACCTAAAATTCTCACAAAATTATTGAGGTGTGAATTTCGCCAATTTACTAAAATACAAATTCTACATTTTACGATGCTTTATTGAATATCCAAATTATATAAATCGTTTCATATCCATTTTTAAAAATTAATTTCCAACCAATTATTTTCCCATTTATGGTTCCAACGACTTGTTGCCACGTATGATCGGAAAACCTTTTATAAATTCGAGCAATCTGGCGAATAACGAACCCTGACAACAAAAAATTCACAGAGCTGACATGTGATAGCCTGGGTTCAGGAGTACTACAACTGTTTGACGCAATGTGCTTGAGCTTTTGACGTCCTATCAAGTCGTTTCCGGAACCAATATCGTAATCTTATATTATTGCCATCAGTGTTTTACCATAGTTTTTAGAGCTTTGTAAGCTGTTTCGGCGTCACATGGAAACTATTACTGTTTACTAGACAATCCGGGCATATTCTGTTTCTTTCAACCATGAACTTTTGTCTACGGTTTTCATCTGAATACGAAACCATGAATTTGTTCATGGATCTTATAAAAGCAAAATCGTATTTTATTGCGCAGTTGTCACTTTTCATAGTCAGCTACTTTTTAATTCAATTGAGTTTGGGCAATGGGAAAATATATAACTTGAACAATGTAGTGCAGATGCAAGATTAGTCACGTAATACCACTGAATAATTACAAACCCGAGTTTACTGAATAGATTCGCAAAAAACAGGTAAAATTAGAATAATCTCACATTTATTTGGAGGATTTTCTAATTGGTCGCCGACTTGATGTATACAAGCTTTCGCATAATGAAGGTCAAAGTGCCAAATTTTCAATTTAACATTATCGTCTCTTAGACTCGGATACCTCTTGCAGTCGAGAATAATGGTTGAAATTGTATATGTCGTACATAATGAATGAACCCTGCGTTATTCTGTGATATTGTAGCAGGAGGAAAGTTATTATTATGAGAAATATGGTATTCCTTACTATCACACTGCTGTTTGGTCTATACACATCATCGTCTTGCAATTTTGTGCCAAGAGATTATGGTCTTTGTTCCCAAGTTTATCAAATGTACGAATATTGCTCTGGACAAAGTAATGATGAAACTACAACCGTCGTAATAGGAAGGAGGGGAAAAGCTGGGCCACGCGGACCGCCTGGAATATCTGGAAGTCCTGGAGTCGTAGATGTTGCTTCAATAGACACAAAAATATCGGAGGAGTTTGCAGGTGAAATATAGGTTACATTTTTGTCATTATCTGTCAATTTTAATTGATTACAAATTGATGAAATATTTTGAGATATGTGGTAAAGTCATAATTCTTGGCAATGCTGATATATCGAATTTTAAATAAATTTAAATAAAGAAAAACCCATCCAAGTTTTATTTTTTTTTTCAAGTTCGCAAAATATATCTGTGTTCAAATGATCATTTAAGTTTGAAAATTGCCTATTTTGCCTTCTAAACATTGGAAGACAAGCCCCAACGTCAGTGATAAGACGTTAAAAATATCTATTCGATTTTATTCGTTGATTTCCACAATACACAGTACACAATCTTGTAACTTTTATCTAAACTAGCTTTTCATTGAAAGATAATTAACGCTATATACACTCGATCATCAAACAACAAAATCATATAGAAGACGTGATCTCGTGATTCACGTTATAAACAGAAACTTATTTAATACAGGTAATTATGTACGTCGTACGGATGGAAACTTATATATAATTGATTATTCCCATTTGTATTCAAATAACCTGAGAAAATAAATTTTAATTTGATAATAACTGGACGAAACGGCGCTCTCGGTGAAGGATTTTATTCCCAATGAACTAGAAAACGTTTCTATTCAACCTATCTTGGGTGAACCTAACTGACTTCACTTTTTTAACTTGGAAATTGAATAAGTTTTTAAAACATCAAGCTGTAAATAATACACACATCACTTTTCAAAATCAAAAGCATGAATGACATGATTCTCGTGCGAGCAAAACTGTCTTTATTAAATTTACATTAAATACAAATTTTTCATTCGTGTCCAAGGTGCCAAATGGGTTATCCTATACTGGCTTTACAATTTGCGCACTTTTCCGGATTGCAATACATTTCTTTCAGCTGCGAGAATGCATAATAATATCATTCCTTATCGTGTAAATTTGACTTGTAAGCAGTTGCGCATTATCGCATCTGTTTACAATTATTTCGACTCCGGGAGATATTGTGCTGAAGGTATGCGTTTGACTCGGTACGAACTTCGACAAAAAAAAAAAAGTTTTATCACACATAAATTTATATCGGTATTGATAATATTTATTGTCTTAAGCTATTTCAAAGACGAATGGATGGTTCAGTTGATTTTTTTCGGAAATACAATGACTATGTCTATGGATTTGGTGCAAAGCATGGAGAATATTGGCTTGGTAAGTTGCTGAAATACAACCGACATTTCCTGATGAACGAACATATTGACCAAGTCTTGCCTGTTGATAACAAGCAAACTTCGAACGGTTTTTGTATTGGCGGATTTATTGATGGTTCACGCGGTGTCATTGGTAACTGTATCTGACATTGAAAATTTAGATGTCACTGCGAAGGAGCGAAGGAGGATTATTCTATTAAGCAATTGAAACGGAGTTTTATAATAAGAAATCCAATAAGACAAAAGAATTTGATTTAAATTACTGACGATCCACAGTCAGAAATTACAACATTTAAAATAGAAAAAACTCCGACGCCACATCGCTGCAGTAAATGTGTATATTTACTTTCATAATATTGTATCATGTTGAAATTGTTGTGTATATATCTAAAGGACTAAAAATACTTCATCTACTAACTTCATCTCGGGAGTATGAGTTACGAATCGACTTAGAAGACTGGGATGGGAACAAAAAATTTGCCAAATATTCGTAAGTTTATCATTCACAATTATGAAACGTTACCTAATTATTAGATGCCTTAAACATTATGCAGTTGCCCCAGTACAACAACACCCCGTACATTATATGACATGGTATCTTTTACGAACAGATTTGACACCCACAAACTAAAGTCAGTCAAGTTCATTTGTATAATAAATTTTCAGATTAGGAGTAATCAATATTTTAATCTTTATCAGATCTTTCAAAATCGGAAATGCAGCTTCTGGTTATCAACTGACGATTGGGGGATACTCAGGCAACGCAGGAGATTCTCTGAATGATGGCAATGGCAGATCATTCAGCACAAAAGACAATGATTCCGACAACAGCTCGGGCAGTAACTGTGCTACCGTCTATAAAGGCGCCTGGTGGTATAATGAATGTCATCAAGCCAATCTAAACGGATTTTACTTTGTAGGAGGAACACACAAATCATTCGCAGACGGCATAGAATGGAATTCATGGAAAGGTATTATTACTCACTTAAGTTCACCGAGATGAAAATCAGAGCATTATAACTTACTGACGTTACTGTATATACATATCTACTAATTTATTATTATTAAAATAATAAAAACTTCATAAATGATTCATTATGAAGCCTTGAAAGGTGTATACAAAAATTCGATTCTGCCTGAACAACTTGAGATAGAAATCAAAGTGATAGAGTGTGATAATATCCATGGAGTATTCATTACATTGACTTTAACAAAGCCCGGTAGTGCGGGCCGTCAATATGTAGGCCTATCTAAAAAAACAGACTGACGAAAAAACTTCGGCACAACTGCAAATGATTTTTCCGTATACGCTATAGCTTGTGCATAATGTTACCTTTTATATTGTAATAAAACTAATTACCGCAGCATGTGTGAACTTTGTTCAAAAAGCGTTAGTAATTGTTTTCCTTTTATGACTTATGTCGCACTTTAGCTCTGTCAAAGCTTGTCATTGATTTGTTGAGAGCAATGGAGACCAGGATCTTTACAATCCGATATGCAATTCAGCCTACCTAGCTTACTGCTTGCTCTATACGTAATTTGGACATACTATTTTAATTTAAGACAACAATCTATATATGTGTATAAATAGTACTCAAATAATACTCAATTTTTCCAAAACAGAAATAGCCATTCGTTGGAATCATTTTTTCCCGTGTGGCTGCTGATTAATTCATGATCATCAACCTGAATAGACAACCATTTCAGAATGAGTGATACCAGATGTAAGAATATAGTTATGTACAACATATTTAGAAGAAAAAAAACATAGTTGAAATTGAAAGAAATCGCAAAATATTCGAAAGCCCTAAGTACTTACCAGTCAATCTTTGGCCAATTCACACTGTCGACACCTATATAGTCTATTGTGAGGTTAATTTGATCCAAACGTGATATATCAATGACCAATTAGTTCTTTCAATGGCGTGAATGTACATTTAATCATAGCGACAATGTATCAAATGGCGCCACGGAGCTAGGAATTTGTTCAAAAAGAATTGATTTAAAACAGGTGGTTTAAATCAAGTTTGCTCTGCCTGTTTCGTTTAAAATGGCTGTATTGTTTGATTTTTTCTATATTAAATAGGTTGAAACTAATACAAGATAAAAAGATGTAAAAACTTGCCAAGCGCTTCTTATTCGCAATAAACCATTCACCAAGCCACAAATGTCGATGACGTTGCCCATACATGCCTTCCCAAGCTGTAACGTAATGCGTCAGCGAACGTCGTTGGCGGAGGAAGACGCAACCGATAAGCTATTACGTGAACCACCCTGCGACGGCGAGGAATCCAGTAATTCTCTTCCACATTGTCACATCTCTAATGTGCATCGCACTGTACTGCCACTGACTTAATTAATTTCACCATTATTTGATTTACGGACAATGTATTGTCCTCAAACAATCCAAATATACAGACTTGTCCATGGGACATAATTTTTGTCCCATTCCCATCCCATCCCATAGCCATTATCCTGTCTCATCCCATGGGATTCCCATTGAAATAAAATTCAATGAGAGTTGTTGAATTTAGGTTTAGCGTCTACTAAACTGGACTACATGTAAGAAGAGACATGCAAAACAACAAAATTTACGGAATTTGGTAATTTTATTATTCATAAATATTATACATGTGGCCATCAGCCCCTTCGCGAAGTATATTGTTAATGCTGAATATAAATTGCCATTTATAACTAACAAGAGAGCTATGCTCAAATATATAGACACGACATCCATATCGAAATTTTTTACCGTCATTTCCCGGAAATCGTACGATTTTTGTGTCCCACGTGTCCTATGAGAAATACAAATGTGTGCTGTCCCATCCCATCCCATGGGACGCTTCTCATGGACAAGCCTGCAAATATAGCTATATGGCATATTATGTGGCAACTGATCCTATCCTGTTGGATCATTCTATCGTATTGCGATCGTATCGTTGTACTGTGATCGTAAGCTGAAAATAAATACATTGCCTCGTTAAAGTGTCTGACAGATTGGGGAATTGGTGCAGGTGCAACAGTTGCTGTTAGCCGTCGTCTGACGACAGAGGAAATGTCCTCCTATCAATAAACAAATAGGTCGAAAAAATACTTTCTAGGCTATAGAATGATTCGGGTGTCTCAAAAATGTCGTGTCCCACTTGTTACGCGTGTCCCTCTTGTCTCACTTATTTCCACTTATTCTCTCATATAAATCTCTATCAATATAATCGGAGATATTTGTTATCGATCAATTTGAGATTTGTCCAGATCCAGCATTTTTAATGATAGCCTTTATTGTCTCAGTCGGAGGATATCGATATTTAGGCACCCTGGCGTAATTCATCAAATTCTAATTTTATAATCTTTCAAGATCACAACAATATTGATTTAAAAATCTAGTTAAAATATATTTCAAGCGTTGTACGTAGTTTGAAACAGTGGTCGGCAACCCTCGGGAAGCAGTGCAATATCATACCGTTGGAGGCAATATGACCATGATATTTGTTTATCTTAAATTTGAACACGGTATGATGAAATGAGATAAGTCTACGCAAAATAATAGTCAACATATAAAAATTTTCGTTGAATCAATATCGAACCTTAAAATTCGCCTGCGTTATACAGTTGAGTTGGAATTTCAAGTTAATTAAAAAAAGTGTTTTTGAAGGGCGGTGCGCAAATAAATTAAGATTCAAACTGGCCCGCTGGTTGCTGACGCCTAGTTTAAAATAATCGATCGTTACATTACTTTCTGGAACCAGCTTCAATCCCGTATACTCATCAACGACGTGTGTATTACCCAATAAAAACTCGACCTGAGATAGCAATGCAGTACTCACAATTCTACATCGGAAACAACAACAAAAATTTTAATTCACCTAACAGGAAGAAGGAATAAAAAAAGTGCAAACCGCTCACATCTACGAAAAATCCGAATCGCTGAATTATATTCCACATGACGAATTTTTCAGACGTATTTCCTCGGTACTTTTTACAAATATTTTGCGATTTTTATAATGCGATTCTACTTTCTCGATGTTGGAATCATCCGGATTGAACGTGTAACCACGTTCCCACGTGGGACATGTGTTACACGTGGGAAACGTGGGACATGAGGGACACGTGGGAAAAGTGGGACACGACATTTTCGAGACACCGGAATGATTCATTTCATTGTCCTATTATATCCCAGTTATTCATTATTTTGCCAGAAGTCCTCAACTAAATAATTAACTAGTGTACTCGGTGACATGATCTTTAAGCAGCGATATAATTTGAATTCGAGAACAATGCATCAAGCAGCAATAAGTCAACACGCCATGTAAAACATTTTTCAAAATAATCATTTTCTTTGTGATTTTTATCCATTTTTGATTGTTTTATTATCTTCAATTGATTTAAAAAAGAAAACAAAATTACAAAAATGATTGTTCGATTTTTGCTAAGATATACAAAATCTGTTCATGATGTACCTAATTACAGCGATTTCTCAATGTACAATCTAAGACTCAAATGTAAGTGTAGATCACATTTACGAGTGTCTGCTGTCCTGCAACCTCTGTTCCATATTTTACTCTATGTTTGGGTTTGATGACCAAGTGGTTAGATGGTGTTGCAAATAATAGAGGCATAACACTACAACATTTTCAGAACGACTGGAGTTCGTATTTTGAATAAAGAAGTCGTTGAAATCGGTCCACCACGGGTAAAGGCAGAAGAGACCATTATTAGAAGAGTCGATGACAACATTCTTCAAAAATATTGTTGTGCCTTTTCATCACATTCTAGGGTTATTCAGAAACTGTTTTACACTTTCTATCATGAGCGTGAAATTCATGAGTAAATAAATATGTACTTTGGTTCCACTTCTGAAAGAGTATTTATGAGTTTGCACAAAGCTAAGTTATCGATATTGAAAAATCGAGTTTTTGCTCAAAGTACTACTGAAAGTATTTTCGTGATGTTATATAATCGACCTTCATTCTCCCCAAGATCTAAAAAAGACGAAAAAATATATAGATTTGCTCAAGATGATATATATGTATAAAATTCCATCAAACTTGGTCTAAAGTTGCGTGAGTGTATAAAAAGAATGGTAATACTCAAGTAATGTAAATACTATTATTCGCCTTGTATACACTATGGGTAAACAAAAAGTTAATTTTTTTTTTTCATTTCGTTATTTGTCCCTAAAGAGTGTTTTTAAAATTGTGTCTGTAGTTTCAAGATTGCGTTTGTAGTTCAAAGTCAAAGCCATTACGTTTTTAAAAGCACTTTTGGATACAATTTTAATACAGTAGGCAATATAAGTAACTTGTATTCGAAAAGTATGTAACTAGCATAGAAATATTGATATTGAAGAGTAAAAGCCTATAAAATTGTTTCAACACATTAGTAAATGCAAATCGTGTGATGAAATCAATAATGCGAATGATTTTGAATTGAGTCAAGTTACAATCGTCTTAGGACAAAAATGATTATTGTTTGAGCTTGACAATTCGTACAAGTAGACTCAGTTTGACAAAAATTAAAATAGATTTTGTCTGATCACACAATAACTAGATAGCAACCCAAGATAATGCGAAAAAGCAAACAATTCATTTCTAGATTTCAAACTCCATTCAATATATCCATTTAGATATATATATCTATAATAAATTAAGAATTCGCGCGAAAGTTCAATATGAATTAAAAGGTAACTTACATCATTACAAAAATTACCATAGATAGAAAAATACTTTTGGGTGAATAAATGTTTATAATCAGACTTTCCATAACTTACCTAAAATTTTCATGACAGTCTTGAGTTATAAATTTCGCTAAATTACTAAAAAACGAATTCTACATTGTACGATACTTTATTGAATATCCAACCTATATATACCGTTTCATATCCACCTTTGAAAATTAATTTTTGATCAATTATTTTTCTCGTTTATGGTTCCCATGACTTGTTGCCACGTACGGTATGTTCGAAAATCTTGTTTTAAATTGGCACCACAAACAAACCCTGAGAACAAAAATACACAAAGCGTGTGATAACCTCGCTTTTATACTATACTACAACTGTTTGACGCAATATGCTTGAGCTATTGACGTCATATCACTTGAGAGAATGAGTCGTTTCAGGAACCAATATTGTAATTTGTAATCTTATATTAATACCATCAGTGGTTTATATTGTAATCTCATATTATTACCATCAGCGGTTTACCATAGTTTTTAGAGCTTTGTCACCATTTTCTACGTCACAAGGAAACTATTGTTATGATAGTTTCCTGTTTACTAGGCAATTTGGGCATAATCTGTTTCTTTCAACCATATTTTCGAACTTTCGTCTACATACTTCATCCACGGTGTTTATCTGAATAGGAAACCATGAATTTGTTCATGGATCTTATAAAAAACAAGTCTGTAGTCTTATTCCGCAGTTTTCACTTTCATAGTCAGCTACTTTCTAATTTAATTAAGTTTGGGCAGTTAGAAAATATATAACTTGTATAATACAGTGCAGATGCGAGGTTGGTTACGTGATAGCACTTCATGGCTGTATTTCAAGGTAAGGCAAAGATTTCTGCCAATCATGCAGGTAAAATAAAGTCAAAAATAAATTGTTATATCTGTTGTAAATTTCTGAATATTTACGCACGAACAGGTCAAATTAGGATAATCACGCATTTTTTTGGGCATTTTTATTTTGTTTATTTTCTAAACTCTTAGTTGTCGACATTCAAGACATATCATCAGGCATACAAGCTCTCGCATATTGAATGTCAAAGTGCAAAATTTCCAATTCATCATTATCGTCTCCTATACTCGCAGGCCTCATGTGGTTGAGAATACTGGTTGATATTTTATATGCCATGCATAATGATACATAATGAATTAACCTGCGTTTCTTTGTGATATTGCAACAGGAAGAAAATTATCGTTATAAGAAATATGTTATTCCTTACTATTATACTGCTGTTTGGTCTATACACATCATCGTCCTGTAATTTTGTGCCAAGAGATTATGGTCTTTGTTCCCAAGTTTATCAAATGTACGAATATTGTTCTGGACAAAGTACTGATGAAACTACAACCGTCGTAAATGGAAGAAGGGGAAAAGCAGGGCCACCTGGACCGCCTGGAATACCTGGAAGTCCTGGAGTCGTAAATGTCGCATTAATCGACACAAAAATATCGGAAAAGTTTGCAGGTGAAAAATAGGTTACATTTTTTGCCATTATCTGTTAATAGTGATTGATTACAAATGAATGAAATCTTCCGAGATATGCGGAGTCTAAATTCTTGGCAATGCTGATATATCACATTTTAGTAAGTTCTAATAATGAAAAACCCACTCAAGTTTTATATTTTCGAGAAAAGTCGAAAAATATATTTAATGTGTAGATAACCATTTGAGTTTGGCATTTTGTTTTCTATATTTGGCATTTTTTCTGTTTTGCTTTCTAAACTTTGGAAGGCGAGCTGGAAGATTTTTACTTTTAGAGTAAGTCGATTAAAATTACAAAAACCAAGTAAGCAGTTTATCCAAGATTATTTCTTTTTTTTTTGAAACAATTTTAGAATTGGAAAAACAAAACAACAAAAGTTTAGAACAATGTCAAACCAAGCTCTCCGTCATAGAAAAACGTAAGTACAAAATTTTGATCGAAATTTTAAAAATTGAGATGGACCCGTCATTTGATCGGACATATTAGCGAATTTAACCGACGGAATATTAAAAGTATTGTTGTTATCAAATGCTTACCACAAGTTAAATACTTCCCAAATATACTGGGTTTAACCACTCCACAAGCCATGTATCCGTTTGTGATCAGCACTGACGTCAAAAAAGTCCTTTCAAAAAGATAAAATGTTTTCGTTCTTTGTACGTTGTTCCTTCACATGGAACAAACATAACATATTTAAAGATGATAATTTCGCTCTTCAATTTGTTCCGTTTATAGCTACTTTTTGATTCCCAGTTTTGTTTTTTAATAACATTGTTTTACACCTTAGAATTAGAGGATCTTCAAATAAATGACTGCAGCAAAGTACCCAGAGAAAAAGCTAGTGACGGAAGAGGCGGAGTTTTCAATATTTATCCTCTGGGATTTGAGAGAGTTGAAACTTACTGCGACCTAACAACAGACGGAGGAGGCTGGCTGGTAAAGGACTTTATTCCCAATTTACTAATAAACGTTTCTATTTGACCTATCTTGGGTGAACCTAACTGATTTTTTCTGACTTTGTATTTTAACTAGAAAATTTAATCATTTTTCAAAGAATTAAGCTATAAATAGTACACACAGACTGTGAAAATCAAAAGCATGACTGACATGATCTCATGCAAACAAAACTATCTTTTTCAAATTTCCATGAAATTTCACAAATTACATGATTTTCCACTCTTGTTCACCATCTCAAAAGGCCTAATAAACCTATTTGCTTAACAAATTTGCGCCCGTTTAGTAATTTTTTTCGTTTGTTTTTGTTTGCAATACATTTCCTTCAGCTGTTCGATTACACAATAAATTCATTCCTATCGTGTAAATTTGACTAGTGAGCAGTCGGGCATTATCGCATTTGTTTACAATTTTTTCGAGTCCGGGAGGTAATTTGCTAAACGAGTGCGTTTGACCAGTTATGAACTTCGGCAAAAACGAGCTTTTGTCTCAGTGTCCTTTAAAATATTAAAAACCTCGAGTACTAAGTAATAATGAACAGTTTACCACATTCAAGCTATTAGTTTCAATCTAATATTGTACTAATCGATATTGATAGATAATATATATTGTCTTAAGGTATTTCAAAGACGAATGGATGGTTCAGTTGATTTTTTCAGGAAATATAATGACTATGTCCATGGATTTGGTGTAAAGCATGGAGAATATTGGCTTGGTAAGTTGCTAAAAGACAATATTTCCTGAGGATTGATCATATTGACCCTGTCGTGCCTGTTGATAAAAATCAAACTTCGAACAGTTTTTTTTATTGGCAGATTTTTTGCCTTCAGATTCCACCCCGAAGGAGCATTTGTTTATTGTATTAGGCAATTGAAACGATTGATTGGTTTTTGTAATGAGAGATTCGATAAGACGAAACAATTTGATTTGAATTACTGACGATCGAATTAAGTACAGTACTAATTACAACATTTAATATAGAAAAAACTCCGACATCGACACTCAGCAGTAAATATGTATATTTACCCCCATCATATTGTACCATGCTGAAATTGTTATATTATTAAATAAAGGACTAAAACTACTTAATCGATTAACTTCATCTCGGGAGTATGAGTTACGAATCGACCTAGAAGACTGGGATGGAAACCGAAAATTCGCCAAATATTCGTAAGTTTATTATTCAAACTTAAGAAACGCCACCTAATTATAAAACACCTGAAATTTTTATACAGTTACTCCAGTACAATAATACGATTACATGTTATCTCATGGTATCTATTACGTACAGATTTTAAACCTTCTTTATTTATAATCCACAAACTAAAGGCAAGTTCATCTATATAAGGAATCTTCGTATTAGCAATAATAAACATTTTAAAACTTCGTCAGATCTTTCAAAATCGGAAATTCAGCGTCTGGTTATCAACTGACGATTGGGGGATACTCAGGCAACGCAGGAGATTCTATGAATAATGGCAATGGCAGATCATTCAGCACAAAAGACAATGATTCCGACAACAGCAGCTCGCAAGACTGTGCTACTCTCTATAAAGGCGCCTGGTGGTATAATAGTTGTCATCATGCCAATCTAAACGGATTTTACTTTGTAGGAGGAACACACAAATCATTCGCAGACGGCATAGAATGGCATTCGTGGAAAGAATATCACTACTCACTGAAGTTTACCGAGATGAAAATCAGAGCATTGTAACTTACTGTAAAAACGTATCTATTAGTTTATAATTATTAAATAAAAACTTCCTAAATGATTCATTGCAGAGCCTTAACAGAAGTATATAAAAATGCGAGTCTGCCTGAACCAATTGAGATGGGATGGGAGGGTTAATAATGTCCATGGAGTATTTATTGCAATGACTTTAACATAGTCAGGTAGTTCGTGCCGGCAATATGTACCCAATCTATCTAAAAAAAAACAGACCAGACTGATGAAAAAAAACTCGACGCAACTGCAAATAATTTTTCCGTATTCCGTCACCTTTTATATTGTGATAAAACTAATTACCGCAGCATGTGTGAACTTTGTTCAAAAAGCGTTAGTATTTGTTTTTCTTTTATAACGTATGTATGTCACTTTAGCTCTGTCAAAGCTTTGTATAAAAGTAGTCACTGATTTGTTGGGAGCAACGGCTCCATGGAGCGTCGGGTATGTTTACGATTCGACATGCAGCCTACCTAACTTACTACTTGCTCTATAAGGGTGGTCCAAACCCAGGCCCGCGGACCACATATGACACGCAGCTTCACTATACGTGTCCCGCGTCGCATTCGGACAGTAACTAAAAAATCGCATATGGTGTTGTTTCGTCATAAAATTAACTAGAAAAATCGTCTGACATATTGTAACATTAATAATGTCATGAATTAAATAGTGTTACGGTTATCTGAGCCAACTAGCAAAGTTGAATAATGTGCTTGGCAGTCTAAAACGTTTTCTGGCTTTCTATATTTTTGGTCGGAAATATATGCTGAGAATATGGGCATCATAAAAAACTAAATATCGAATGCTGATTTCATTAGCCTAGGCTGGCTATACCTGAGAACTAAATATTAATGATAGGGCCTAATAATATAATTCATGCCGGTGTTTTTTTGTTTTTTTTTGCAAGCAGCCCAAACAGAATTACAAAATATGCTGCCTATATGTCAAAAAATTTAGTAATTAGCCTCCTGCACTCAACATTTGGTAATCAATCAGTTCGCAGTTATTACTTATCGATCTTAAGATCGGTATGTATGTTGATAGGTATTTGTCTGTCCGCAGTTTCGATCGATAAGTCTTCGGTCTCCGACCGATATTCTCGTTTATAAGTTATTTTGTGAACATGAGTTTGAAAAAAAAGCTGACGAATTGAAACAGGTTTTTAACTGTATGTTGGAGGGAAAATACTACAATCTTTGCTTGATATGTCGGCAAGTTGTGTCGGTGACAAAAGAATATAATTTAAAACGGCATTTTAAAATCTTGTGAGCAATGAGCATTTTGCAGGGTTAAGATTTCGCTTTGAAAATCTGATCGATGTTCGAAAGCACTTACATTTGCGGAACACCTTTTTCGTTATGGAGAATTTGAAATCTTACACTAAATGTAGATATAGAAAGACTTTTGCATATATATTTCAGTAAGTTTTTTTTTTTCTAATGTTTTAGCTTGATAAATGATAATTCGTTGAAATCATTTTTCTCGTGTGGCTGCTGACTGATTCGTGATCATCAACCTGAATTGACAACCATTTTAAGATGAGTGATATCAGATATATATAAGAATATCGTTATGTACAACATCTTTATAACAACAACAAAAATATTTGAAATATCAGAAATTCGAAGAAATCGCAAAATATTCGAGATCCCAGAACTCTTCCGAAATTTACCAATCAATCCCTGGCCAACTCATATTGTCGACACCTATATTTGATCCAAACGAGATAAATCAATGACCAATTATTGCCTTCAGTGGTTTGAATGCATATTAAAGCCATCATGATTATGTATCAAAGGGCGTCATGGAGAAAATAACAATAATTAGAATGAGTTAGTCATCTAATTAGGTCTATTACCGGTACCGCTTTTTAGTTCAGCTTGATAGTAAACATATATATATGTTAAGGTACTGTCATGTATTGGAAGCAGACCATCCTTGCCCTAATCATTGTGATGATAAAAATTGGAACATTTGATCACTTGCGTTCGAAGTAAGCGTGCCTTTTAAACTAAATTCCACTTTCATTACTCAGTTCATGGGTCATATGGAGCGTGTGTCATGTATATTAAACTCAGACATATCATCAACGCACGAGTTTACCATAGATTGGTAGCTCATACAGAACGGAAAGAATTTGATGACAAAAATAATCAAAACGTGATATGATCAGTAGAGGCAGCCAAGTAAATTGAAATTAATATTATGTTGCCTAACGGTTGTCTGAAGAGAACTACTCTACAACAACTGTTGATTTAGGAAATAACGCAATATGCATATTTTAATGTAAGTAAATTTTACTTTATTGCCATGGTATTTTTAATATGAGATAATCAGTTACATAAGCTCCATTTTATACAGTTGAAAGTTAACACTAGTGACCATTGAAGTTCAAATAGCTGTACAACATGAATCTGTATTTTCGGATGGAGAGTTGGTACCCCTCCCCACAAAAAATTCGTATACTTCAATTTGATGCTGGTTATATCATTCAACGTTCCTTCCTGGTGAAATTATTTTTAAGTTTATCAAATGCCATATGTATTTAGGTTTTTATGCAGCAGAATAGGAATTATCTTGTCACTTTCTTCAATGGTACGAGGAATTGAATATAATGTTTGTGATGATTTTATGACTCGTGTGATCGGAAATCAAGGCTTGATAGGTAGGTCATGCTTGGAGCTGATTTGATCAAAATATAATTAGTAATTGTTTTAGTAAATATTCATTGCATATCAGTTGCAGTGAGGTAAACGAGCAGATTACCAAATTTGTCAGATTGGCCAACATCAATCATTGTCTAAAACCTATATTTTGTCGTATTTATGTTAACAGTTATGTTTCACACAAGGAAACTGCTATAAGAATGTTTGCTATTATCACCAACGACTGGTATAGTTGCATTAATTCAGGGAAGTCTTAATTATTTCGAAATTGCTCTTGTGACCCATTTGTTGTTGTTATTGTCCCTTTTACTGGACTAAATGCTTTATTAGTTATATTAAAATGATGACGCAATCACGTAAAATTTAAGGCCAGCACGCAGAGCAATTGCTTCAAGAACAGTGTATTTTTAAAAATAACCTCAAAAGAGAAAATGAAATGTTGATATGCAGAATATGAAGCGACGTCTTCAGTGAATCTACAATGTAAATGGGTCATCAAAGTTCCTAATCCAGGAAGAGTAAAGTTGGTATTAACGAAAATAAGCATTGCAGCAACAGATGTAAAACCAGGAGAATGGTAAGAACGACACTTCGTGTCACAGAAAGTACATGCCCATGTTACATGTTAACAATTTTCTATCAAATGATAACTGCTTTTTTGTATAGATTTCTCAAGACTTCATTAAATTTATTTGTTTGTTTCCCATTTTGAGATACTTTTTTTTTTATAACATTGATTTGGTCTTTTAGTTCAATGCAGAATCAATCATTGGATATAATTAAGAAACGAGGAACGAACATTTCGACACAATCTGTCTGTGGCCATTCAGTAGAAAATAAACCAAATCATACTTTCAATTTTACTCATTATGACGCGGAAGAAATTGAAATTAAGCTCAACTCCTCATCCGATGGCTTGAATACAAAACTTGGTTTTGGACTGGAATACTTTGTTTGTGAGTAAAAATATTTCAATTTAAAAACATACGTTCAATGTTTTTTGATTTGTATCATCCAAATGAAGTAATCAAAATATAAAAGATAGAGTTGCATATATATATCAACAAGAAGTACCCGTATGGATGGTGGGAAAATATGGTGGTGAAAATGCCCAAACATTATTTAGCATTTTTTCAAAATCCCCATAAATTCAGAGTGAACCCAAGAGCACCAGTGACCACAGTCATTTGTGAGAATTTATATCTTTATCTATGAAAATTTTAAAACGGAACAAATCGCTTTTATGGAAAACTACTGTACATAGCCAACAAGTCAACAAAATAATTCACAGGTTTACCCCATGTAAAAATGATCAAGGCATAGGATTTAATGCATTAAATATGCGATGAAGGAGCAGAACATTGCAAATAAATATAAAACCAGTAAAATATCTTCAATAAACACTGGACGATAACTACATAATATAGGAACATATTACAATCATATATCAATCTTATTATGTATGTAAACAACTTAACTTTTTGTCGTCTAGCCTGCGATCAGATTCTCAGAGGAAAGCGAGGTCAATTTCAATCTGTAAACTATGGTAAAGAAAATATACCAGGACTCGAGTGCGCCACAAGTTTCGAGGTTGATCCAGGAAGCCTCGTGGAAATATACTTTTCAGAAATTGACGTCAAATCAACAGATTCCTCCTGTCAACAAAATTACGTAGAGATAATTCATGACGGTAATTTTATTTTGATAATTTTTAGAACAATTAGTCAAGTCCCATATCCAAAAAATTAAACCTGAAGCATTGATATCCCTACAATTACATCATGTGATTGGAAATGTGAAAAAAAAAATTGGATAATTAATTTTCAAAGTTTTGATATGCCAAAGCCATTTCGTTATATCTGTTAGCGAACGTTACAAGGACGTTAGATTTACGCATTTATGAAAAATATGTGTGCGTTTATCTTTGCTATTGGATAGAGCGGTATTATTGTATATTTGTAGGAAAATCAGAGAGAATTTGTAACAAAAAGCTTCCATCAGGAAAATATTTAATTAACGCGTTGACGGATGTAATCAAGTTTGTCACTGATGATAGTACAGATGAAAAGGGGGAAGGATTTGTGGCAAGTTGGGTTACAGGTGAGCTTTCTGATACTTTCAAAATGTGTGAAGATATTATAACTTTTGTATCTTGTTCTAAGAGAATAGCCAGTTGATAATAAAGCAAAGCAATTTTGCATAAACGTTCTCAATACCAAAATGATGCTGTGTTACTGAATTTGTTCTCATTTTGGAAATAATAACCAGAAAATGTTTGCGTTGTGTTTAGCAATGTTTCGAGAGTTTTTCGAAATTTTTGTTTGTTTGCTGAGGTTAACCTGTCGGGTTATTTCGACATCGGCATCCTGCATTGTACAAAAACCTAATTAACTGAAGTATTTATTATAGTAATACTGAGAAATAAATAACTTTTAAGGTTATTGTGACTTGTTACTTGAATGTAAATTCGAAGATTTTCGGCATTGTACGAGAACTTTAAACATAGAACTGTTTGAGCGTAGAAAAATTGGAAAGTAGAAAAATTAAATTCTACCGAGTGAGAGGAGAGTATGAGTTCATATTAATTAATAGCATTATATATGATTGTCCAAATTTAGTATCATATTAGATTGTATATTTGTAATAACAAAGCCATTATATTACCAGTTCCAAATCCAGATGCTCCATCATCAACCGAAAAGTCCAAAGATATGACCTGGTTGGTATAGCTATTATTAGAATATAAATTAATCAAGTAATAAGTTCTTGCTTAACAATATTATTATGTAAAATATTAAATTTTGCATTTCAAAATTTTGTCACATTTTGCATATTCCAGTTTTTATACGCTGTTACATTTAGTATATTTATTCAATTTGCAAGATTAAAATTATGGCTAAGGGATCTATTTAACAGTATGCAAAATTTGAATTGGACACATCAAAATATATTTCAATTTAGGATAGGCCTACTCATGTTCGGTATTTTTACATTGGCAACAATTTTTTTCGTGATGTTCTGGGCAAGAAGAAACCAAGTACAGATACCACGTACGCCAGACAGTCAAATTTCCGGAAATTCAGTTTTCAAGGTACCGATGTGAGTATGTCTTGCATAAGTGCTTTTTTAGATTGACTAGTTATGATTTTTCGTTTCAGTTTGATGATGAATATATACGAGGATCAATAAGAAGATGTGAGTTGCTTATTTATATGACCCAATGTTTCAATGGGACTGACAGGGAAGCATCATATTGGAAGATCCTTATCTGTTACTTATTATTTCGATGCATATACAAAGTAATAACCATAATGAAAAGTCGAATTCTGGCGTGCCAAATCCACAAACGAATTATCATTGTGACGGAGGGAGGAGTGGCTGTTAGGAAGCCTTTAAATCGGGTTATTATCAGTATCACGGAATGAGACGTGTTCCTTTTTTTTGTTTTGTTACTGTTATGGAAGTTCTCATAATTTAGTAACTGAGAAATGATTTAATATTGAAGTTATTGCTCCATGAAGATCAAGCTATATTATATTTTTCCATACTAATTCAGGTAATAGTGAAGGCTCTTCGGTAAGAGCTAGTGTTCGCGGCCGTATTTCAAAACGGAATAATACCAAATGGAACATGTAAGTTTACTTATACTGCTTGATTGTAGTAACTTCTATGTTTAATATGTAGTCAGTAATATGTTCGATTTTGCAGTTAAATGCGAAGAAGATTTACCTCATATTTTTATTCACTATATATATGCCGGCGTTTTTTTTTCGTAATTTGTATACAAAAATTCTATCGAAGATTAGAAGTATGTTGTGAATAAAAGAAATATTTTTGATACCAAACATTATTACAACATAAACATATTACAGAAATGAATCGGCGGTTGCGAGGAAGCGTGCGTCAAATGCTTGTAACCGACAACTTAGCGACAGACATTCCACCCCTGTACATAAGCAAAACATATTCATTCCAGGTGCTATTTTACTTTACCATACTTTGGATAAAATCCAATTTAAAATGTGAAAATAGAAAATTTATAATAATACTAAATATTCACACTGAAAAAGTTCGGTTCTGTTGTTTATTTTTTATTTTATTGCAATGTTGATTTGAACTAGGATGCGATCATTTATTTAATAATTTTGTATTAAATTTTAAAATGATATCATCATATCAACATTACAACTACAAAAATGTCGCTATCAGAAACCTTAGAATATCCATATCTATCGATGTATATGTTTATATCAAATCAATATATAAGCTATAAAATTTTAATAAATATACAAGTTCACGAATTCATCTTTTATTCCAGTTGATAGATCGATGTCAGCAGAAGAAGGTTACTCTGGAGGGATCTCAATGTCACCTCCACCAAATTATGATTCGTACTTTGGTTTCTACTCAACACGTAGAGGTAAAACTAAAGATAATTACTACGAGTTATTTCGATTGCCAAACAATTTATAATAATTTCAATGCCATTATTTATCACTTTTACAGCGAGAGTAGTCCCATCGCCATGTCTCCCACCTCGTTCTGCTGGATTTAGTGATGAGGGAATAGATTCGCCAAACTTCAACTACGATAGAGGTAATCAGTAGCGTAAAAATTCCGTTTTCTCGTGGTATTCCGTTTTATACCAAAGCAAAAATAAAGCATCCAAGATTCAAAGCAATGTATAAAAACTTCATTAACGTATTGTAAATATATATATATATATATATTTATAATTATACTGTCTAATACTTAAGAAGATTCTGCAATGAAAACTATTTTATTACGACAAAATCCATGCACTTTCTTTGCAATTAATAGGCATCAGCAAGTCAAACCAGCAGTAGGCTATGTATAGAAAGAATTTAAAAATCAAATTGCCTCATTGCATTTATGAAGTTACAATTAATACTCCTATGTATCATGATAAATATAGTTGCAATAAGTCTGGAATAAGAGGTCTTTTATATCACAAAGTATAGACTGAATCTCATTAGGATCAAATGCAATCTGTCATACATGTTTTAATTGGAATACTATTTTATTACAGTGAACTTTACCTCAAGGCCCAACTCTACGGTATTTGACAGTCAAAGAATGTGGAGATCTACAGATAGTATACCCGATCGATGGAAACCTAAGCAGACTGAGGACGCTAGGTATATTCCTATTTTATTTGAGTAAAGCTACGTGACGTTAACAAACAAACTCAGCACCACAAAAATGTAGTGAAAGATGAAAAACAGCTTCATTTTGTGATTTGTGATGTGAAATGTGACATATTCTAGTAGCTAAGGAATTCTTTACAAAAGCAACTCATAACGATTTTCAAAATCAAATGATCAACAAATATTACTTTTTTACGACATAAACAGTGCACAATACTAATTCAAACTGAAATCAACATTGTAATTCAGAATTGAAATATCATGATAAAAATTAATATATATATTGAAATAGTGCAGCCTAGCTTAAAATCTCCAATTATTTTCTCGTGAAGATCCAGAATAGAAGGCAAAGTGAACGATGGTTACGAAGTTGCTACAACGTCTCCGAACAAGGTAAAAGAAAATGAGACTAAAATCGAGCAACCACATATTAGTAACAAAGTGGAATTTGACACAAATCCTTCGCTGACCACCGGTGAAGTAGACTCAGGTACAGTTATTTAGAAAGCAATATAACAAAGGATATACCGGTACATGAATTTCGACTAGTAAACTTTCAACCTATTACTGTTCACAAGCGAACATTTAGTCTTATTTGAAAAACAAAATTTTATGCTGAACCAGAAAGATCATTTGTTTCTATATCATTACCGCTGCATATGATAAAATAGCTATTTATTGATAATGCTCCTGTTGCGTTAGAAATACGAGGATTTCCAGTAAAGTACAAAAATTAATAATAACCTCGTCCTTTCTGCTGAGACGACGAAGCAAATGAGTTCAGTATTTGCATTTAATACACCTGACATCGCGAATATCAGACAGAAATATAGTATATATACATAAAATTAATTTTAAAGTTTGCAGTGTTATTGAATAATCTATCATGAAAAATAAAAATTAAATAAAAAAAAATTCGAACGGAAATTCAGTAATTTATCATAATTCTACAGAGCACAAACAAATGAATGGGGAAGATTCAAATCGAATTTCGCGACAACTTGGACTTGATAATTTGATAGAAGTCAAAGAAAACACAGATGTTGAATATAGCGAGAAGTGATTCCAGTTTTGTAGACAATCCAGATCAGAGAATATAAATGACATCACTCATGAAATTGTAATTTCAGTTCATAAATAACTTGTATATATATATCTTATAACTAAAAAAAAATAGAGCTATTCCAAATCTCATTCATTACTGCAGCATCATGGATGTCTAGAACTACAGTTGATAGCTATCCTAGTATGACTAGAAAAATAGTATATGCTTTATATTATTTGACAGTAAGACACTGGATTTTTTTGCAAAGGTTCGATATAAATATGCATATCACGCCAAGAGCATTCGTTTTGTTATGCAAATAGAATTATTACAAGTTATTGATGAAACGTCTATCTTTTGCAATGCCTTCTTTTATTTATATTTGTTATCAATTTTTTTTTTGTACAAAATACTCCTCATGCAGCTAATACAGGGTCGGCCAACCTTTTTGATCGAAGGGCCACATGTAGTTCACTAATAATTGCGTGGGTCACTTAACATGGTAGTTATGTTCTGGTTTTGCTACACTGACTACAGGTTAATTAACAAACAAACAATCACCTCACACCAAACTTTCACAATTATGAGAATACTGTAATGAAACTGTTGTTTCCCAACCATTGATGGCGCGCAATCAGTGGTTATTCCCGAAAGTTTCGCCAAAGACAAGCTAAGACGCTTGATCATTTTCATCAGAGCTCCCAACAAATCAATGCCTCCAGTCGTACCCTAAATAGGGACAATGGCTGCGAGCTCTTCGGTAATTTCAAATCATTATTAACTCCCCGCAAGAAGATCGCCAAGTTGCCAACTGAGCAGTAAACTTGTTGTCAGTGCTTTCGCCAAGGAATACGGTGAAAATTTACCCGCTTGTGCAATTAAAGTTTCCGCTATAGATTTCCCAGGCTCTTCAACACGAGTTATGGTCTGTCTTGACAGGCTATTTTTGCAAAAACCTCTTATTTCCGGACGTAAGACATTGGCAACCCGAACAATGCATATTATACATTCCTTCGATTGTTTTGCGATAACATCATATAGAGTAGTAAAAAACCAAGTGTGTAAGCGACTATCGGACTATGGCATCTTTATGTATCGATATCTTCTCCCAGTTGGTTTTGATTCAAAATGGCACTCATGGCTCGTTTGAAAGGGCTGGCAGAACGCATTTCAGGCAAATAAACAAATCGTTTGTATCACATCTTCACTCAATTTTTTTATTCAATTCGGAGAAATACAGCGCGGGCCACTCTAAATGCTTCGCGGTCAATCTAAATAAATACAGATCAGAAGCAAGAATAGTCAGTTGTTGATTCCAGCAATTACGGGTAAATCAAGATCATATTTATATTCGTTTCTAATATACGCATGAAATTCAAAAACGCCTACCAGCGCTTTATACTGCGCATCAAAATATGAATTCCCTGCACAGTAAACGAAGAACGGTGTACAGAGGTAATTTGAACTATTTTCAACCGATTTGGCAATTTTATGCACACAAAATATTCCAAATATGGTGGTTTCGGTTCAATTGAATACCAGTGCTTCTCAGATTATTCAATTATTATTATTCCTTCACTGGAGATGGTGCCTGGTGGAACGTAGCGTAGTTCCAAAGAAGCGAATTCGCACATATGCAATATGCCTTCAACTTGCGGTGAACTGTGCATGCGTTAGATGACGAGTTGAACAAGAATATATAATGGATATTTGTAACCACATAGAACGTTCTAAATTTTAGAACGTTTTCATTCAGATGAGGAAGTTACATATAATATGGTTACATACGGTCTTACGTCAATTTCCGATCATCTCATCATCAGTTGTCGAACGAAAGCCACGAAAAATCACTTAATCAGATAACATGAACCAAACATTAAAATGCAGACGTACTTTGCAACGCTGTACTCATACATAGATAGTAAACATAGATCACAACCACGACGCTAAATGTGTAAATCAGGACATTGAAGTTTCAAATCGTAGCTTAGGTGTGGTTTATTAAAAGCCAATTGCTTAAAAAAGATAACTGTGTACTATGTACTTACTACTGTAAGATTAGACAACGTTATTATAAGTTTCGTCGATTGTTAGTTATATTTCTATCTTTTTGAACTTTTTTGAACAACCTGATTACGTATCAACTAATATCCATAATATACATACATAGTTTGCAACCTAGATTCGACATACTGAATAACAAATATGATTACCAATTTTATTGAGTAATGTCACAATAGAAAAATATATTCAACAGACACATGAGGCAATTTTCAGACAGTGGCACATTGATCTAAATTTTAGGCAACTTGCAAAAATTCAACAATTTTTTCGTAAGTGTAACAAGAGTGATCAGTTGTTTCCAGTTGATGAGTTTGTCACAGACGATTGTTGCAGTTTGTTCATGTAATATCCATTGAAATCCAACCTGAAATACAAAAGTTGTACAAAATAATGAAATACAATAGGCTTTTATGAAGATAGATTCAGAATATCATAATTCGCCGCTCCAGAAGAATGTGTAACAATATGGAGGTTAACTAATTTTATTCGCCTACTTCACATCAAGTTGTGTGAAAGGACGGAGGCCTATGGGCAGGATGTATATTACTTGGCTAACACAAACAGTCCCCGAACTTGTAATAGAAATTGAATAAGGAAAATCAGAAAAAAATCATGGCCTAACCCTAACCTGGTTCACGTACTAAGGGAGTACCCATAATTCTTTGTAGTGGCCTTATCCCAAAGATAATAATTACTTCTGTAAATCTAAATAAAATAATTACAACAATTTATTCTCCAATTTACATTCATTTAAAATTCAAAACAACCGAAGTCCAGTGAAGGTGGGAGCACAGTGATAAGTCACAAGGTTTCACCAGTTTAAAAACAAAGTAAATATGAGAAAATATTTCTTTGCAGAATTGCATATGAAAGCCGAATATGCATTAATATTAGAGGTCACTCAAAAAGCAATCAGAATCAAAATTTAAAAAAGGTTCTTGTTTGTATCGAACTCACTAACAACAGGTTCCTTCATTTCAGAAAATCATGCTGAACTAATAGCAAGATCTGATTGGTCGATTATCACGATATTCCAAGAACGGATTCGCACAAGCCTGTGTGAAACTCCTGATTCCGACCAAGATATGAACCATGTATCTGCCTCTATACCAGGGGCAGGCAAGGTTTTTAGACCAAACTATGTGGGAACTTGAGGCTGCGCATGCAAAAGAATAAAATGTGACGTGAAGTACACCATCGAATCGAGCTAGAATACGTGAAGTTTTGTTAACGTCTCCATTCCCATACAATGGAAGTCTATGGCAACCTAAATACAACTTACACAAACTGAGATCATAATCTAACAAGGCTTTTCATCCTATATATTTCAATAACAACAGCTATGTAGTGCATGTAGAATTGGTTGAAGGAAGAGATTCATGGCAGCATCGGGCAGGCCAGATTTAATCACCCAACAGGCCGGATTTGGCCCGCGGGTCGTAGTTTGCCCATGTCAGCCCTATATCTATCTGTTCTAACATTACCAATCAAATCACAAAGGTTCTTACAATAACAAGATAATTTCTAATCATCCTACCTGTAAATGATGTTGTACATAACATGTTGGCCCTGCTCACGGCTGATGAAACTGACTCTGTCCAAGAGTTCAAGAAATTTTTCTGTGAAATTCTTTTCAAAAGTTCTAACAATTCCTTGATATTCTTCATTGGAAATTAATTCATCCAAATGACTACTTACTTCCTAGAACAAAAATTTTAACAGAATGTGAATATGCGGCCGTTGGAATTCAGATACAATTAATCAAACTTATTAATATTGGCATTAAACTACAATGAATAATGTCAAGTTAATGGAAAGGCTTTACACATAGTTGTTTGATATAAGTGTTTGAGCAACCAAATTAAATAACAATTTAAATGAGAAAATACTTTAATTATGTTAGTATCATAGATTGGAGCTTTAGTCTGTTCAGCCTGGTCACATGACGACTGTCTTAACAAAATGTAAGTTATTGGGAAGGCTATGCATGAGTAGAAAGATTCTGAATTTTACAATTCTTCAAAAACCAATATCTTTCTATGTTCTTTTGTTAATCTAGATAGCTAATCAGATAAGATACACCTGGTGCTATTTGAATGTTTGTATTCAATAGGTGTTATTGAACGTGTTTATTACTCAGAGATCCAAAAGTAGCATCTACCTTATTACCGGTACCTAATTCCCCATGACTGGTAATAACACAGTACAATATTCACTAAACATAGGAGTCATCGAGGATAAAGGCAACTCATTCTAAAAATGTAAAAGGCGTCAGATTGATGTAGGCAACTGCAAACATTTCTAATAAACTTTTACCTTGCTAGTCGTTGCTACTTGTTGTTGTTGAAACTTGACTTCACTTTTAGTTGGCGGTCCAGATAATGTCGAATGCTCAAGTGATTCCTTCAACATCTTGCTATCGAGTTGTCTGTTGAGGCTCTAGAAAATGAAGGTAAAATAGTTAGTGTTTTCTACTGTCTCGGTGAGGTACAAGCATATCTGGTAAGAAGATAATGTCGTAAGTTTCGACAATCAACATACATGTGGTGATGGTTGATATTGGACTGTATTTAATTCTTATTAGAGGATATGTATACCAAGCAGCAAATACATTAGAGTCATTGAATAAAGTAATTTTAATTTACTCAGAAATATTATTCGGTAAGTAACAATGTGTTCTTTTGTTTCTATTTTAATAAATTTATTGTGGGGCTCCATAAATGATAGTCAAATTTCTCACGAGCTTCATATCGCAAGAAGTTTGAGAACCCTTGAGTTAGATAACAAATTCAATAACCGCTATAGTGAAGCTTTTACAGTAATCTAAATTTTCACAGACAAATCATGTCTCAAGGTGGGTTATAAGAAACTAGTAGAGAAATAGCTAGATGTCCCAGCTCCTGTAACAATTAACAGTCCAACTGTCCCACAGCCAGCTCGGACTAGTAACTCATGAGATGCAGTGGCTTACCACACAAGCCATTTTAGTAACTTTTCTCTCCTGGGATATATATTAAATATACTATCCTTATACTAAATATAAGTACATACCTGCATAAAATTGCAAAAGCTAACACAAAGCATCAGTAATTTACTCAGTATTTTGAGCAGTTGTGTATTTGTTAGAAGACAATCTTTCAAACATTGCTGAAGAAAATCATTGTGAAAATCTAGAACTTCATCCACATTATGTGCCTGAATATTATTAGGATTGATTATTGTTATGAAGCATTAAACGATACGCAATATCTGGCTAATAAGCCGATACTCTGGACCCAAGTGTATTTGGCGTGATTTTCTGTGGTTGACGCCTTATTGGCCAGCTCTGCTTATTTTCTTTTTCTGGGGCCTGCTTATAATTAGCTCAGAATCACAAAAATACCGAGAAATTGGGGGAAAAAATATGCCTTCCCATCACGTTAACATGAATCAGCATTCTCACACTATGAAACTGGAACATCTCTGCTGTTGCCGCAGTTCGAGTAGAAGCAATTACCGATAACATCATGTGCTATAATAATGCTATAAGCATGTCAAAGAAAGAGAGAATTGCATTGCATTGGCAAGTAACTGAGGAAACAACAAGTAAACAAAAAGAAATTGGTATTTAACAGACCAATAGACAAAAAATAACACAATTATTCTGCCTCTGTTTAGTCCTCATTTAGAGTGCTTAAAATTGGTCTTGGCTTCTTTGTCGGAATATACAATATTAAATAGTCGTTTTCGAAGACAACATCACCATATCAAAATATATTAAGAAAAAAAAAATCATTTTTCAGGTGTATTACATAAAAGTCAACGCACGAAATACAGTAGAGATTGGTCAAGTAGTTAGTTAGAAAAATGATTTTTACCAAACAACAATTCAGCAAGAAAATCTAAATAGGTAGGTATCGATTCTGTTACATAATGCATAAAACACATTTTTTGGTCTGTATTAAACATCCCTAAAATCCACACTTGTTTTGTCTATTGTCTACATGAAAAGGACAAAACAATTTATCATTATTTCAGGAGTACTAGACCTATTCTCAAATAAAATCTATCCATGTGCTGTTGCCGGAGCCATAAGAAAGAAAATTCTATTTTACAAAGTAACTTTTTCTGTAAAAGGCCCATTCCCAGTAATATGATGTACTGTTTTGATCCACATCTATAAAATCCCTAGATATATAATAAAAAATTCACATACTGTTTCAAGATTGCTTTCGAGAGTATACCAGTTAGGTTCAAGTACTTCAAACATCATATAATATTGAAAACTATAAATGAAGTGATACATTCGTTGTCTGATCATGCAAGCTTCCATGAACCTGAGTGAAACATAATCAATATGTGTTTTAGGTATCAGGAAAAAGTACCAAGCACAAACTATGAGAGTTTTAAATAAAAATTTGTTCTTACCATGGCTTGGAATATACATTCTCGCGTTTTGTATTTTTATAAGCCATCCATACTGAACTCAATTGACGTTCAACATGTTTGATATAAAAAAGATGACGGAACAACATCTAAAAATCAAAAAGAAATATATCGTCTTATTCCGATAAACTGCAGAATCAACAATTTTTAACATGCATCATTTGTATTTAGAATTGTTCAATTTTTTTCAATAATCAGTTTATATGAGGAGAAATTAAATGCTTCGAATTTACTGGCTATGTGGTAGAGCCATGTCTGGAAGTTTGAAGTTAGCCAAATTGACTTGTTATTAAGTTGGCCATTGCTCAAATTTATGAGAACACACCTTCGTTAGTTGAGCACTCACTCTCCAAATTCACCAATCAAAGAACCCACATTCGGTGCAATTATTCCACATTAGCAAAAGTTTGGGTCCAAAGGCCAAAAGATTTAAAACCGAATTCAAAAAAAAATACACCTATAGGAATCTTACATCTCGAACTACATAAAATTTGTAAGCGATGGGACCAGTTGTTAGAGAAAAAGTAATTGTTTGTCTCCACAACAACAATTAGAAAGACTATTTTATATCACTTGAGTGTCCAATAATCAATCCACATAAAAAATTAGAATTTGATAAAAATTATTCCTAATAACAAGTATAACAAGCTTGACTTTACCTGATATTTTGTAAGTGATTTCTTAGATATAACCAAGGACCACGGCCATCTAACGGTATAATCAAATGCAAATGATTCTAATCCACTCAAATTAAGTTCTGTTGGCCCCAAAGCTTTAATAGCTACAAAAAAAAAAGTTTCAGTAACAAGCATGGATATAGGCAAAATAAAATTTTCAGATTTACTACTTTGAAAGTATGTAATAAATAAAATGTTTATGTGTCAGTTTAATGAGATTCAGAAAATTTGAATGCAAAAAATAAACGTAATCACTTACTGCTTTCTTCATTAGTGTCAATAGATAAGATCCGAACCAACTGGGTGATCAGATCATAATTCAAAAGAACAATTCTGAAAGCAGAAATATCACAGTCAAATTGATCTAATTCTATATCTGCAAGCTCACTTGCCAACCAAGTATGTTTGCACAATGTACCGGATTTTTAAGTGATTGAACAAAGTTTTCTGCAGTGCTGCAGCACATTTTTGTGAATTTAATTTCATGAAATGAATTATATATTGGTTAGGCGCTGCTGAACCTGAAAGATTCCTGTCCGTTAAAAATAAAGTAGCTACACCGTCAGTGGCAACTCGTGCAGATCCTTGATTTGAGTGAAAGATGTATAAAAAGTATTATAAACTTGTATGGGAATTCAAGGATATGAAATTGATAACTTCTTTAATAAAATAATCAAAGTTGATAACCTATATATAAGCAAATGAAGTGCCACCCAAACACAGCGAAACAAAATCCTTTCAGTCTAAAAAAAAGAAAAACTGAAGGCAAACAAGTGTGAGAGCTGTCAGTATATCACAGTTATGATAAAATGGATTCCAACAAGTCTTATGTTAATTACTTCATACACTTGATATGAGCCAACTTACCTCAGGTCATCTTTATATTGATCTTGATTGGCCGTGCTCATTCTTAATGCAAGTTCGAGGAGTGCTTCTAATCTTGTTGGCATTATGTCTGAATTCAATTTTTAAAACAATTAAAATTTGGCTCAAAGGGTTGCTCACTAAGTCACTATGTTAAATTCTAGTAACATTCTGGTTCGAATCCTATGGGAAATAAGTATATAAGAGAAGATTGCTGGATTCCTTGCCACCGTGGGGTGGTTGATGTAACCACCGGTTGGCTGGCAAACTGTTCCCATACCTGACCTGGACTGGTGAGTGGTAACTGGACAAAACCCCACAATTAGCCATATGATTAAGTCGCCTTCTCGACTTTTCTGAAAATCACTATCAAAAATTTTTTTTATTCAGTGGTTTGTTTTAATATTACTAATATTAGAAATTATACAAGAAAAATATTGGAAATGCATTTGAAGGTATAATAACTGCAAAACAAACATACTAGTATAATAATTAATAATCAAAACACAATAATAACACAAACATATGGACTTTAAAGTAACAGTATCCTCCTCGTAAAAACAAGGTAGTCAAAGAAATCATGTCCATTCATGCCCAGTAAAATCCCCCTTGTATTCCATTACTTCACTGAAATAGATTGTCATGTTACCTCCCATTGGCATCTTCATTTCATCTTCTGTAAGATCCATGAAATGCAGAAGAAAATCACCCTCGTTTAATAAGAAATATCGCTTCACAGACTTCAGTCTCCATTTCAAATTATGTTCTTGCATTAGAAGATCAAGCAGTAACTGACTTGCGTAATTGTGAGCCTAAAAATTTCCAAGAAATTTACAAAAATGATGTTCAATAATATCGATTATTGATTGTTTTTTTTTCCATATGCCCTTGTGGTTGATGACTCAACTATAATGGAATCACAGGTTGAAATCCCACATCAGCAATCACAGCCAAAGTGTAATAAATAGGGTAGGCAATGCCTTCCCAGAAAAAATCCCGCCTTCCCAACCAGTGGCTACTTATGCAGGGCCTAGCTTGGAAAAAAGGAAGCATAAATATGGCATATAAAAATAATTACAGTGATACCTCGGTAGTCAAACATAATTCGTTTAGGATTGGTTCTCGACTGCCGATTTGTTCAAGTACCGTACCGAAACGTTTTTTTGCCATAAGATACAATGTAATTAATTAAATATGTTCTTATGCACTCCAAAATATACTGCATAGCAGTGTTCACTATTAGCGCACTTTTTTGCGAAAATTGCGAAGCACTTTCGCAACTTTTTTTAGGGACTGCGAAATAGCACTTTTTTCCGATTTTGAAGAGAAATAGCACTTTTTTCCGATTTTGAATGGAATAAAAATTCAAAGTTAACAAATATTTTCGAGTATTAAGTTGACAAATAAGTAACATACTGGTACTTTTGTAACTCAATTCTGCATATCATAACGATATTTACCGGAATTCTAACCTATGAGATGCAGACATAGGAGATAAAGCTTTTGCATTAACGGCAAAATCTTGTTTATAATATGATTATTATACAAGCACACGGATTCCGCTTCTCCCGCAAAAAACGCTCCCGGGGCGTTTCTTTGAACGAGAGTGGTCATGTGACTATCAATGATATCGATGAATTCAAAATGACTATAAAAAGTGTTAGTAACCTGTTATAGTCACTTTGGATGAATTGTGACCAAACTGCACTATTTTCAAATCAGACGAAACTTTTAGCAGCATGTCACAGATTTGCAAAATCAACAAATTCACAAAATACCATTAAGTGCCATTTTATTGTAATCACAATGTTGAAAGGACGTCATTGATATGCGAGGAGGGGTGGGCAAAATTCAATATTTTTTAAATCGAATATTTTTAAGGAGTACCGAATAAACGTGGTGGAAACATTAAAAAATCGGCAACAAAGCCTTTTTACTGGTTAATTCCGTTGTAATCGCTAATTGTTCTTGTCACCGATCGTTTGGCGGCGATATCCAGGTTTTGGGTAATCTGTATTCCCGCCCTCTCTTTTTTACAAATATGAATTCTTGTGGGTCGGCGGACATAGAAGTTTTATATTTCGGGTTTACCTGTTCGTTCACATCGGCAACAGCTGTTAAAGACATTGAGGACTCAAATTAACATTTGCGCTGGCTTTAATATTACCTATCAAGATTTGTAAATTTACCGTCCCAATTTCATGCGAATGTTAATATTATTGTCCATACCGTGATGCAGATATTTATTAAGACGATAATTAACTTTCTCATGTATTTCTATGGTGATAAACTTCGCAAATCTGAAATTGCGCCAATCCTGAATGTGGATTTGAAATAGTGATTGAATAATTCGGCTATAAAGGCATTTCTGCGTGGTCATAAGACGAGATGACGTTAATGAACAGCACTTCTTTTACAGGATATTTTACGTATGCGACTTAATGCTAAAAAGATTGGGCTCGAGTGCTTTTTTTTTCGAGTGCTCGAGTGCCTAATAGACGTCAGGCGCTAATTGTAACTAATTCCCTCAAGTTGCAACGTGTTTTCAACAAAACAATACCCCGGCGATAATTATAGCTAAAATGTTACCGAGCAATTCACAATTTTATTTATGGAATTTGCAAATTCACCAGTTTCTTGACGATTTTGATGTTGTCACGCCCTAATTATTAGTGCAAAAATACTCCCCTTTCTCCGCGGCGGTTTGACGGGTTCTTTGTTCCATTCTTCAGAAAGTTCTGACACGGGGATATAGAATACTGAATCCGGAGGGTTGAATCCCTGTCCACTTACTGGTGATTTTTCGTTTTGAAATGCGTGAAACATTCTCTATTTTAAATTAAATGACGTTTCGCGGGCTAGAGTTCTCCCCGAAAATGATGTGTTCCAGACGTTAGTTAGACGATAGATAAAACATTAGATTAATAATTTTCGTGACGCCCCGTTTTCGAAAATACAAAGTTATATCGCAAAAAAATGCGTTATGATACATTTGGAATGAAACATTATTTACGGTGAATTCAGATCACATTTTACTCTCCATGACACCCGGTATCTGAAAATACAGTTGTATCTCGAAAAATGTGTTTTGTTACATTTAAAATAAAACATTTTTGCGATTAATTTAGATCATATTTTACTTTTCAGGAAACCCGTTTTCGAAAATACAAGGTTATATCGCAAAATGTGTTTTGTTACATTTAAAATAAAACATTTTTGCAATTAATTTAGATCAAATTTTACCTTTCACGGCAACCCGTTTCCGAAAATACAAAGTTATATCACAAAACATGCGTTTTGTTACATTTATTTTGCATTCCCAATAAAATACATATTTTCCCTAATTAAGGTCGTCGATGAATCTGTTACTGTCGTTCAAGCTCGACACACGTTTGGACGAGTGTGGGGCGGTTTTTTGATCGACGATAAATTAAAAAGTTGCCTCACGTTATTTGTATAACAATAATAACTGAAAATTAAGATTTTATAAAAGAAGTGAATTTGTCTCAAGATGGTATTTTACAATTCCTGCCCACAGAAAATAAACACGCTGACAGGCTTGGTTATAATTGATATTCGTTTAATTTATTTTACACTATTAATAAACGCGCCACACCAATTGCGACCATATAAATTGCAGTCGCATCGGTATGGACTGTATGTTTTTGGCGCTCTCAAATTAATAATAATTTTCAACAAAACAATACCCCGACGGTCATTAAAGCTGAATTCGTTACCGAATAATTCGCAATTTTATTTACGGAATTTGCAATATCAAGATCTCACTTGACGATTTTGATGATGTCATGCCCTAATTATTACTGCTTGAATGCCTCAAAATACAGCAAGTGTAAGCATTTTCGACGATAACAGGCGCAACAATTCGTAAACGAGCCTTTATAACGAAATTCGCGATTGATTTTACCTCTCTCTTGTTTACAATTTTAACATCCCGCCGGCCATGTATGGCCGAATAAAATGTTCACATATTCGAAACATGACTTGGCCAAGGATGGAAGGGATCACCAAAGAGCTAATAGAAAGTACATACGCGAGGGTATGATATTAATATCGAGAATATTTGAGCATATCACAGGACGGAAATATTTTGCACCCGGCTGTTTGTTGGCAGAACAACGATACGCTAAAGTTAATTGATCGAATACAGGGAAGTATTTATTTATCATCTCACTTGCGAACATCGAGGTTTTGGCGGAATTGTACGATCATGTTGTCTTTCTTAAATAATAACTTTTTCAATAAATGTTCATTTTACTTTTGCGTCTTCATTATATGTCTGGTTTTCATTTATTTTAAATTCGAAATTGTCCGAAATACTCCAACAGGTGTATAGGTACAATAATAATAGTACTTACCAAAGTACCTACCAGGGAAGTTTAATACACACGATGTGTAAAGGGCGTCGTAACTCCCGTTTATTAATTATAAATTTTTTTACATTCTGCTTAAAAAACAAAGGCAGTCATCTCACGTAACTCTCGCGACCAAATCTTTTTTGTTTTGTATGGCATCGTCTTGGCGACGAATTTATTGCCGACTGAATTTTAATTGTGTTTTAGGTTAGTTATTTTCTGTTTGTTGGTTTCTAAACTTTACAAACTTGGGTAGCAATTACTATTAATGTGAGATTTGTGCATATGAACGATTGAATATCGGGACTGAATGTCCGATATCTGAGAATGCGTAATTCTCTTTCAACATTAATTTTCAGGATATCAGCGTTCATGTGGTCGAATAAAAATTATTTATCAAATGGATTGGTATTTCGAGACACTCTCAAAATTATTTGGGATCCATTATCATATCATTCGTTTATTTTTTATATTCATGTTTTTCTCAAGAATCACCCTCGTTATATTTAGTGTACCTTCGCAAAAGAAAACTCTTTGATGTCATCGTTCCTATTAGTGTAATTGAAATATATGGAAACCTCGCAAGTGGCGTTGTGATGCGAATATTTGATACTAGGTCAGCAGCATTACAAAGAGTGCTATTTATGAATGCTGAAAGTACATGACATTACTAAACATTTTGCCAATATATGATGTTTTCTGCCCGATTTAAACTAACTCGCACGCAAACCAAGGCATGTGGACATTTAAAAATTACTTGTCTTTGGGGAAGCTCTGAAATAGTATAATATAAATGTAAATGAGAAATTAGGTCACGCTAGCTCACGGAACAGGAGGATTTTCAAAGTGATCTTGTGTAATATTTCGGAGAAAAAAGTTTGAAAGGAAAGTAGGTCAACCTATCTCCTAAAACAGGGGAGTATCCTGCGTAATATTTCGGAGGGAACGTAGGTTAACCTATCTTTTAAAACAGCGGCTGGCGACTTTCAAAGCGGTTCAAAATCACAAATTAATAAAATTATCAGATTAGGTTTAGGGATGAATCGAAAAGTTGAATTTCTAGCGCACCTAACCCTAATTAGTTGATTGCTATTTATATTGGGGGGGGGGGGGGGATTATTTTGCACCGGATTTGTACAAACGATCCACCCTGTAATTAATATGGTTTCCAGCCGGCCTCGTGTCTGTTAGATGGAAGGAGTAACAAATGTGAAAGTCTTTGCTGTTTACGCGAGTAAGCAACTGACACCGTGATACATTGCATGAAAGTAGGTAGGCAGGTGTTAGCAGATGTCATTTCGTTGCCGATGAATTCGCTTGTTTTAATTAAACATGAATTCGCTTAAAGGGATTCCGTTAACGAAAAGGCTTCTCTTAAATTCATAATATTAACCGGAGGAGCGCTTTTTCGAGTATCTATGCCGTTTTAAATGGGTTATATGAAAGGCTAGGGCACCTAACTTGTTAAAATCGGCAAAAGCACTTTCGCACTTTTTTTTTGGACTGCGAAGCACTTTCGCACTCATAATTTGCTTAGAGTTAACACTGCTGCATAGACTCACACAGGGTAATCAGCAAGCAGTGCCATGACAAGTGTGCAACTAACACTTAGAATAAATGAACCCTCTGACCTGCAATGTCACTATACTTAGCACAATGCCTCCGGCACTTAGCCACCCAATGTAATTATTCTTCGAGTACTATCAAAACAAGTAAATTATAGAATAGTATGTCAAGTTAAACTTAGACATAACAAACAAAAGAAAAAACCAATCTTACTTCTTCAATCTGTTGAACATATTCTTTCTTATTCATATTATAAACAATCTCTCTTGCACCTGGACAATGTACTTGTTTTCCACATTCCCGAACCACATTCAGATACTTTCCTGTACTTAGAATCTTTTCTGCACTCTGAAAGATGTTTGAATAAATGAAAATTATACAATATTCACAAATATGATTAAGTATTGAAACATTGCTTATTAAGTTACAACATGAATGACTTAGTAGATCTAGATTTTTTTATTTCATGCTTCATGTTTAGGTTTTGATCTCAAGATAGATTTTTTGAAGTGTTTTTCAAAATATTGTTCTGGAAAAGTCACTGGACAACCAATTACTCCGGTAAGCGAACTTGTTTCGGGAGAACTGTTTGCAATTCTGGTGCAGTATAAATTACCGTAGCCTATTTATTATGCCCGAGATCTCCGAGCTGCAATAAAATAATACCAAGCGCAGGGTGTAACAACCCAATGGTCATGGCATCATAGAGACTTTGGAATACAATTTTGTTGGGCTCAGAAATCAGATAAAGAGCCTTTCAAGTGCATACTTTCGAAAACAAATAACTGGCTAACTAATTCCATACCCGACATGGAGTGGAAACCGGACGAGAGGTCGTGGTTTGCCATATAATTGGGCTGTCTTATCACCTTCCCTCTCCTCGGGGATAAGTATTTATGGTTACAAATAAAATTTCACACCTGAAGCAGAAAAACTGGTATCCTATCTCTGCATAAAGTGTATCTCATTTCCCAGTATTGGTCATTATATTCTTCCTGTAATTTTTCTTTACTTATCTTCTTGTTTTCTTCTACCATGAATTCACCATATGGATCATTGATTTGCCCCCTGTAAAAACCCATCATTTAACCTAATATCGAAGGTTATTGGTAGTTGGGGGTGCTGACTCCAACCATACAGTCGATCGCTCCCCCATGTCAATACAGAAAAACTTTGCATATGTTGTTGTATACCGTAATTTTATTATTGTTGCACTTGCAACGCTTTCGTTTTCTGGTTGACGAAAAGTAAATCTCTCTCTCATGCTTGGTTCAACAATCGAAAGCGGAAGTGTTCAATTCCCAGAGGTTTATGAAAGAGAGTAAGTCGAAATGATAACCATATAAATATGGATTTATTGAGGGGATATAAGGGGGTGAACGCATAATTAAATTTATAATAGAGTTTTTAGAGTTAGTCTAGATTAGAATCAAAGCTCACATTCCAGACTTTTCATTTGTCATAAATTCCGAACAATAACTCGAAGGTCATCATTTGACTGGGCATTCTTAACATACAATCAAGGATAGAATGCATACACAAAGCTGTTGTTATCACAATTCGGTTTTCACAGACTTAGGAGCTGGAGTCGAAGTCTGAAGATCCCTCGACCCATTGTCTGGACTCAATTATTATTCAAACTGGGAGTAAGTTGTCGTTTCTTAAATGGCTCGGAGTTCGAGCATTTCATGTAACGTAGAAAAATGAACAACCGATTACTGATTACTTTTCCAGACACAGCCCTGGTCGATAACATGAGTTCCAAAAAAAAGAAATAAATTTACCTATAAATCCATTTCTCCAACATTTCGAGGTATGGAACACTAGCAACTTGTGTTAAATAAGAACATAATTGTTCAGCAACTTTGTTTCTGTAAGATGAAATAAACATGTTTGTTAGGGAATACTGAAAAGTATCAATGCTTTGTACACGTTAGCTGTCGGCCTATGTCAAAATTAAAGGCTGAGGTTCGAGATTCTGTTAGATCTTTATTTAGTCCAATCCCACAGCATGGAGAGAATGGGGCAAGAACCCAATCAATAGATACTGTGTACAAATCAGTTCAACACAAGCGAGTGGAACACCTAGCGGGCCAGTGGCACAGGCAATTCAGTTTGTTATACATAAAATAATGAAAATTTCAACAACAAAAAAATCGGATTTCAATTTCACAGAATATCGATTACCTGCAACATGTAGGAAGAATATCACTCGATGTTAGGATTTTAAGCCTTAAATTAGTAGGAAATTGGAATTTTCGGGATCAAATCCCATGCCCACCACCTTAACTAGGGTGTAATAAACAGAGTAGGCAATGCTGAACCAGAATCATTCAAATAGTAACTGGCATGTAAACACCTGATGAAAAATACTAATTAAAGAATCAAATTTAATTTCAGAGAAGCAGAGATATTTCACCAGTAATACTAACCCAATACTTGATAAAGTTTTATTATGCAAGAGAGAAAGCACAGATCCACCGATACAATGTCCTTTATCAATTGCGGTTGCAATTTCAGCAAGTTTTGACATTTGAGCAAGAGTTGGTTGGAGAAGAAACAGAAGACGTTGCAATGTGAGATTTTCATTTCTACATAAATCATCAAGCTGTGCTAAACTCGACCTATGTTCCTGTATATTGGTAATAAAATATAAGAAGTGAGAAAATACAAAGGCTAAACAGATGCTTGATATAAAATTTACAATTGTATGAAATGAGCCTCAAAAGATGTCGTGATAAGCCGGTTGTGCAAGTTGATGCACAGAGTAAATCCATTACGCAATTTTTTATTATCAATTTTACCTTCCAATTTCTCGGTGTTCCGTGAGGCGAGATAAAAAGTGTAGGTGTTCCGGGGCAAGAAAAGTTTGACAAACGCTGAACTAGACTATGATGGCACTGTAGGTTAAAGTCTTGGGTTTAAATCCCATGCCCAATACCTCACCCAAGGTGTAATAATTTGGGTAGGCAATGCCTAGCTGGAAGGATTGGGGTCCTTCCAAACTATATTAACCCCCTTCGTAACATTGGCAGCTTGTGGTGACCCTTGTTCCGGGCGAAAGGTGTATGATTATGTCATAGATATAATATGTCTTACCCTTATTATTGCTTTCATAGCAGCAGTCAAAGCATGATTGACTTGCCCATACTCGAACCTTGACTTTTCTGTCAAATAAACAATAACGATTTCTTGGGAGTAATCAATGAAACAATAAAAAAAAAATAATAATGAATAAACTGCAATGGATTGATATGAAGCATCATTCAGACATGTGGAATGGACTTGATCACCATTTCAATGAACTCCTTTGTAGAAGACTATTGGGATTCCATATAAAGAATTGATTCTTAGAACAACTATCGAAGACATATACAACTTATACTAATGAAATGCAATGTTTCATGAGAATACCAGGTAGATTTCTACCCGATTGTCAGTCGTTAATCACTTAGCATTGTCCAATACGAGCAAAAACATACTCTACCTTCAATGAATTTGGTGACAATCGAATGAGATGAAGCAATTGGCAACAATAATTTCACCATCTCGGACAAAGATACATCTATAAAATAAATATATATGGATTGATTTTAAAACAATGAAAATTTGGGTGAATAAGTCTAAAAATAATAGTATTAACTTTAGGTCGGCTTATAGATATCGAAGAGCAGAGAAAAGCTGATATAATGACTTAGCCATATGGTTGTCCCGGCCTCTTATCAAGGCAAAATACAGGATACCATGCATACCATAGGAAATTTGAAATGAACGTATGATAATAGCCTTCTAATGGTTCAACCCTCCTTAATTAAGTGCCTAAAATTTGAAATCAATTGATACATTTGTTGCGAAAAAAAGTGATTTTTTCCCAGCAACAGCAAAAAGAAAAATATCAACATTAATAACAACAACGATTTAACAAAACTATTCATAGGTCAATTTTGTATCCAATGAAATGGAAGACTACCCAACAAAAATATGAATACAAACCCATAGAAGGGTCCAAAATGAATCTCCTTGATCCATATTTATCTTCAGGAGGTCGAACAAGAATGTAAATTGCTTCAAATCCACTGAGAATGGCAATAACATCTTTTACTATTTCTTGCTCTTGCATCTGAACTGAGAAATCATTCACAGGGACACTCTTAAAAGAAGTAATATATGAGAAACCCCTAACAAAAAAATGTAATTCCAATCTGCTGTATCAAAATAAAGGTGAAAGCTGGAAATAAACAAAATGTATATATTTGATTTTTAAACTTCTGCTAGTGAAGTGCGTTTTTTGATATCATCAAAATGACTGGATAAAGAATCAGAATATTACAACAGATAGAAAAGAAGAATGTAAAACAATAAAACTTTGAAGATTGAAACTCACTGGATGTTGAGTGCTTGAGTCATATACAAAATCAGCAGTTAAATATTTTCTGCTATTATCACCAGCAAGCCAGTATGATGATGATGGAATAGGATGTTGACGAGGTCTTCTGGCGTTGTGCTGTTCACGCAGTGTTTTCCTGAATGACTCTGCTGAAGGAATCAAACCCAATGCAGATGATGGTCCCGTGGCTTTTTCTAGAGTACTTCGCAACTGTAGAAACAAAATTTGGCGTCGGAAAATTTTATCAAGGCAAATTTCTCCTTATGAAGGTGAGGATTAGGGCTGAACTTTGTCTTGGTGAAATATTTTTCATGGGTGAATATTTCTGCAGAAGAAATTTTCCCAGCACCCAAACATGTTATGTCAGTTTTGATATATAGGATATGATATATTTAGTTTAAGAAAAATTAATAAAAAGGATTGTATTCATAGGTATTTAGAATCAACCCTTATAATTGATACAATTTCTAATACTATGAATGAATTATTCAACTCAGTATCTCCGTATGATTTGTCATAAAATCATGGTTCCAAATTTCAATGAAAAAAGGTGCAATGTAGCAAATTTACAGTAATTTATTGGCAATTTAATTAATATATACCAATTCAACTTCCTGAAGAAAAAATATGATTCCAATTTTGCCTAATTTTATTTGAATTAAAATAAATTGGAAAATATTCGCATTCGTGTATTTTTTATCACACCAGATCTAATTGAAGTTCTGAGTCAAGGATGTTCGAAACTACTAAACGAATATTTTAACAGATTCAAAATAATTGTATTCAATATTTTAAATTCTTGATTTTTGAATAATTCAGAATAATTAGGGTTAATTATGAGCGCTGTGTCCTGTGTGTCTGGGCGGTATTTTTGTGCAAACGATAAGCTGTAGCTAATATTTAAAACATGTTCATTGTTCACTATAATTCTGGCTTTCCAAGTTCATGGACTAACGAGATGAAAATGTATTTTAGTCGGCGGAGGGTAGGGTTCTTGGAATTTTGATATTCGACATAGTTGACTAGAAAATGGCAGGAAATTATGATAAATTTGGAAACTATCGAAGCTTTTTTTCGGTCACACAAAACAACTGAGACCCAATACATTTAGACCCAATACATTTAATTCTACAACAGTAGATATTATGTTTTGTGAATGTGAATTTTATTTATTCACCCCTATTCTGTTATATTCAAAATCAAATATGTACCGGTAAGCCATCATCTAGTCGGGCAACATTGGAATTTCCAAAATATATTTCACCTCAGATATTTCTTTTGGGGTTAATTTTGATCCAGATGGTGGAAGAGTAATATTTGATGTACCAAGGATTGAAGATGGAGAAATAGGAATCATTTTAGCAGCTTCTCCTCTCTCCTCTGCATTTTTTGTCAAGGTGGCATGCAAACTTGGTTTGTTATTCAGGTTTGATAGAAAATGTATCATAGAATCCAAGTTGCGAACACTGAACGAAATAGATTTTTGAAAATAAACTCAAACATGAAAACGTGTCATTTTAAATCTTGTACTGTCATAGGCAACAGCTGCATAAGCAGCTAGCATAGGTGACGATTTTGCACAACATACAAAGTTGCTCGGAGTTAATTTTACCGAAACATAAATGGGTTTAAGTCACGAAGTGATGGGGCTGGTGGTCAAAGGTCAGACATTACACAGTGTATTCTCCGACTGGTTTATTTTGAAAATCTACATCATTACGAACAAACTGTTGCATTAATATTCATATTGCAATTGAATTATTATATTTTGACCAGAAGGTAGGAGTGAAAAATTTGGAAATTTCCATTTGGAAATACCAGTATGTGGTAAAAGGGTTAAGAAACTAAAGGTTTTTAAATTTGCCTAGACCTATTCTACACCACATTTATCGCCAAATGTTAATATTTCAATGGCCGCTAGTCAAACACAACGGCGTTATAATATACAAATTTTGAAACGAAAAAGTGTTTATTAGCATACTTTTTGGACTTCAGTTCTTCATACTTTTGCAAGAATTCCTTGGGTTTGGAAGCTTTCTCACAAATTTTGACAGCAGAACTATGAGTGTTCACCTTCAATAAAAGTTATTATTCTCTTAAATGATTAGAACAGATTATAATTATCAGAATATACTTCAACACCATGAGTAATACATACTTGTGTTGTGACAAAAGGTGTTCGACTTTTCAGAAGAGTTTCAGTGTGTTCTTCAGCCTTCCCTTTGTCGACTCTGAATGATGATTAAACATTTAATATGAAAGATAGTTTAAAAATAATTTTCAACCGTAACACCATGATTTCATGAAGCATGAATATATATCTTCTTATTACTCTTTTTAGACACAAGATATTCTCAAATTACAAAACACAGTAGATTTATAATGGTGAATTTCCAATGTTCCATTCTAAGATTTTAATATGATGTTGTACAAAATCCATGGATTATAAATTAAATCATTTTTCTGATAAGATGGCATGGCATTATTATATGGCAAATCACGATCTCTGATCCAGCTACCAATCCATGTCATATAAGAGAATAGTATACAAGTTATTCGTCCCATATGCATGGATTTTACAGAAGAAGTCATAAACGACCAGCAGTTATTTATGTGAACCAACTTACGACAGCGGAGAGTCAAGCAATTCCATCACACTGAATTATACTCCATAGGACCTGTGAACTAATGCAGACTAATCAGAGGTGCAATTTCAAGCATGTTCTTAACGCTTATCATAATGTGCCAACCACTTGTGTTAGAGTAAGTTCAAAATCAAAATTTAAACAAATAATCAATACAGACTCACTTTAACAATTGTAAGAGTTGGTTGACATTATGATGAATTCGAAACTCTTCACTCATGTTGGAAATCAGACTTATATTGTTGTAATTTTATTTAAATCTAATGTATGATTTGAAAATATTAGAATGTGAAGGTTATCAAGTACACGTAAGGAACCAATATGAAATTTCCAGCACAACTTGATTCAGACGATTCATATACAGTATACACAGAAAAAAATCAATGTATCAAAATTGAGGATCACATATTAAGAACTATTCAGAAAGAAGAAATGGCTGTAGTCAAACACTAATAAAATCTAAGGTTATCAGAAAATCATATTTTCGTTGGAAACACTGAAAGGCAACAGTGGGTCTAGTGTCCGTAGTGTGGTGTAGTTTTAGTGGGTGTAGCGTAACAATTTTTGCATATTTCTGACCCCCACCTGATGTCAACCAAAAATTCTATCACTGCGACAACAACAATCGCAAGAAAGATTGCCAGCTTCAGTGAGTTCATTGTCACAGACATCCTTACGGGCCATCGATGCTATATTTTGGCAAGCTTGATTATGCGATTGTAATGTCACAGTGACATAATTTTTGAATGACATAGTCAAGTAATAAGGTAAGAGTCAGGAATGATATATAAAAAAATTTTATACCACGCACACTAGAAATACTGGTGGCACTAGACCCACAGCAGCTGTTCCATAGTTCAAGCTTCGTTCAGGATATTGTTTTGGGGAATGGCGGGTGAAAAAATTCATTTGGCCCTCCTGTCCATAGGCTACATTTCAAATTCATTGAAAAATTTTTATGATTACAGTTCATTTATTTTAAAATAGAAATATGTTGGGCAGAGTTAAATTGTAAGCAATATTCTGGTATAATTATATGGAAGTTCATGCCTTCACTTCAATGAAAAGTATATTCATAGTGGACTCATATTGTGTAATGATAGATTAGAAAACTACAAATAATCAATATAAAATGCGGGGCATTTGGACCATGCATAAATGAACTAAAAATATTTGCAACAATATTTAAGGTACCGGTAGATCCACATTAAACAAACGTTGCATACAGTCACAAACATGGCTTCAAAATAGCAACGTAACACGCCCTCACTCAGAAATTAAGGAGACTGATCTCTGAGCGAAGGTACTACAGTAGGCCAGTAAAATGCCAACAGTTACTGAGACTATAAGGAATTATAGTGTTGAATAGCTCATTGGCAAACACAATATTAGGGTAATCAATCATAGAAAAGTATATATTTTAATTCACAAATCACAAAATTTGTTCACTGCATTATCATTAAAGAAAATAACAAAATTATAAGACATGAAAAATTAAACTGCAAAATGAACTGAATTTGATAGTACTAATACCAAACATACAGCTCTCTTAAGTAATATAAGTAATTTTCATTTAAAAGACAAAAAAAAGATTTTATTATTCTCTGTCATCACTCATCGGTATAGTTTTAAGTCAGATTCGGCCATAGTTAGCATATCTAATGGCAGCAGTAGCAATGGTCATGTTGGTCATAATAATGCTTTAATAATTTATAATCACTTTACAGAACTTTTCCAATCAGGTTGAGCTTGTGGCATAACAAATACCTTGAACAAATTTTGCATGAAATAGAACTTGAGCACTGCAAACTGCGTTATAACATCAAACTTGAGTACAAAAATTTTTTCTCACGGCATGGTAAAGTAGCAGTATAGAGCATTGGGATGAGTTACGATAATTACGTGGAAGAATTGTTTTACTTGCTATCTTGATTTATTCAATTTGTTATTCAAAACTGATGAACTAAACCACATAACTTTTAAAAAACAATAGTGAAATAAAAACAAACTCACTATTCTAGAAATAATCATTTGTAGACTATTATTGAGAAAGTGCACCTTTTCCCACTAACAATAATGGATTTTGGTATATCAATATTACTTGCAAAATATAGCCATTTACATTATTGCCAGCAATACTACTAGATAGGTAGAATTCCACAATACATGATTACAAGTTATATAAAATGTACTGCTTCACCAATTGAAAATATTTTCACTTGAACTTTTTGATAGGATCAAAATGAAAAAACATGTTGAAAACGAGCCCCAAGAAAATTTTCAGACCCAAAGATTCAGAAAAACTGGTATATTGCACAAAATGATGCAATTAATTAGGATTCAAAAAAATGAAATACCGGTAATATATTCTACTGAAATCCAACAAGCTTCAGAACCCAAACCCATTTGTTGGGAATTTCAGTTGGCTTGATGCTGTTGAGGTTTACTGTAATACCATTTGACTTGATGGGCTCCCATGGCAAAGATATTGAAGTGCCTAGAAGAGAAACTTTTGAGGTTTCAGCTACGGGAATCGCAGAACCTAAAGTCAGAGATCCAGATTCCGGCCATGTAAAAAAAAATGCATACACTGTTCCTGGCTTTGCTGTATACCTGAGAAGGAAAAGATAAAGCAAAATTATTTTTTATTCAGGGGAATTTCCGTTTGCTCAAATTTGAAACGAATATACTAATTATATATTAGTACAGTGGGAAGCTAATAAAACAGCCTAATATTGCGAACCACGACCTCTCGTCCGGTTATCAGTCTATGGCGGGTACAGGAATAGTTAAATAGTTTCAGTTTTAGATGCATGGAACTGATAGTGGAAAATGCTATATTTGACCATTGGTTATGTAAACCACCCCGTGATGACAAGGAGAGCAGTAATACAGGGACACATAATTATTCCCCATGGGATTTGAACCTGCAAACCCCACGAGGTAATCGGAGGTGCGATGGCAAGCGCATTCCTAACGCATATTATGCATATTATGCTGAGCTGAAATTTACTTGTTACTAGTTACGTACCAAATTCCCTTAGACAGAGTATCATTCTGATGAGTCCAAGGTGTAGAACCATACACAGCTTCACCGATAACACCGAGCCATTCTCCCATCTGCCTCAATCTTTCTTGATAGAGAGCTGGAATAGTTCCTTCTTTAGTTGGTCCAACATTCATCAGCATGTTACCGCCACAACTGATAGTTGTCACAAAAGTCTATATGCCAAAATATGAGGTTAACTTCATATTCCCAGTGGTGTTAATCAAAGTCAAAATTTCAAACGAAAACTCAAAAAGGATTGAGTAGAATAATCACTACCTATAGACAATCTTAATAGTCGACTTTCATACACACAAGCTTTTGTTAGGAATAAATCGTTAAAAAAAATAGGTGCTTCTGTAGTGTGTGCACCAAGATGACGCACAACCTGAACCCTAACCAGGTACACATACTATGTTCAGGTAGTGCTCCATCTTGGTACAGATACTCTGGGAGCACCCAAAAATAAATCCTCAAAAGACCATTCTGGGAGACAACATATATTTTAAAACTTTTGAAATGTCAGCCAACTCATACACTGCTAAGTTAATTGAGTTAGGTTAGAAATAAAGAAGTTAATTGTTGTGGAGCAAAAAGATTCAAGTCACAGAGAAATGTGGTAGTTTGAAGAGAATAGCGTGTATGTACTTGCTCTTACTCAGGCAAAAAATAAAGAGGGTTAGTGTTAGTTTGATCTGAACAGGCATCTCCAAAGATTAAAGCACCTTTTTATCAGCTGCAGCTTTCATTTATGGCCATATTACAAGGTTCTATACAAGCAGTCACTGATATCGGGCAATATGTGAAAATTTACTATTATTTGGATGGACTGGGATCTTTCTGATTCGGCATTGTCTATTCAATTTATTATTTCCTGGGTGCATGGGGGCATGGCATTTGAACCAGAGATGGGTAATCTGATGTCAAAACAAAACAGTTAAGTCAACATTTTAAGCGTTAGGCCAATGTGCCACCCATACTATGTGTCTTTTCCCAATTTTGTTCCTTGTCATATCTCATTGAAGTAACAAGACACACAACATGGTAAGAAGTCAGCTTTGATTTTATTGGGTTATCTTGTCAATTATTGGGCGCTCCAGAAGCATGTGTAACAATATGGAGGAAACTAATTTTGTTTGCCTACTTTACATAAGTTGTGTACAGGGACTGATCACTATGGTCTATGGGCAAGGGGTGTATTCACTCGATCAACACAGACAGTCCCCGAACTCATGATAGAACTAAAATAAGAAAATCAGAATAAAATTATGGCCTAACCTTAACCTGGTACACATACTACAGGGAGATTGTATAGAGGGAAGAAGCGCAAACGACACACTCTCCCATAAACTATTCATTCGTACCTGGATAAGGTTCTCAATGGACAAATAATCAGAAAACTTTGCATTTCTTCTGAAACCCCAAGATAATCCATCAATTGTCATAGCATTTTCCCACTTTCTTGGTTGCAGAACACCAGGATTGTATCGATCATTGCAAGTGAAAAATCCACCGTGTTTACATGGGGTCAACATACCCCATCTATCATTGGTTACAACAGTGCTCTGCACAGAAAAATCAGAAAAGCTTTGCATAAGACATCATAAACACTGGCACAGTGGTGGCGGAGAAACATAGGGTTGCTATTGCGAGCATGGTTTTCACAAGATGCTCAAATTTTTATAAGAAAGGGGAACTGGACAAATTACCGTAGATATTTTTATTTGAGCATTGTAGTACATTGGCTTACTGGCCAAGTTTTTATTAGAAATACAGTTTGAGAAAAAATATGGTCATTGCTGAATTGAGCAAAACTTCAATTAATATTGCATGAGACCTAATTACATGATTAATTAACGTGAATCCAAGAAGAATTAAAATATAAATTTCTGGATGCCTGAAAAATCAAAATAAATGCTGATATAGGTTTTCAGTTGGCCATCCTATTTTAAGTTGATTTTATACTTTTTATTTTATTTTGCAATTTATTATTGTAGTTTTTTCAATTGTTCATTTGTTGTTATTACTTCCGCTTACACCCACCTTGACAGGACTATCATTATAAAGCCATGCTAGAAATTCCGTGCTATTCCAATATTTATAACTGGCTTCCCATTGTCCATCAGACCAAATTACTTCAGGCTTGTATTTGTTAACAATGTCATACAGTTCAGGCATCGTCTTTTTGCTAATAATACATAGCAGAATATTTGAAAATGGTAAAATGAAAAAAATAACATTAGAGAGAAATATAATTTTTTTTTTGTACTTTGAAACATTAAAAACATGTTGAAACTAAATTTGTGCACACCTTGAAAAAAGTTGAAACACTGTAAACATCACATATCAAAACCAAAAAGCAGTAGCTTTCGGGGTAGCTGGTCTCGGCAGAAATAATTTCAAATTGTAGACAATGATCATCAGTGTAATAAAGATGTCATATAATATAGTTTGGGAAATAAATATGAAATATATAAATCATGTCAATATATCAATAACTAGATATGATACCTGACAAAATCATTCGTTTTGAAAAAGTTTTTCCTATCATTCTGATACATTGGATTGAACCATTCAAAAAGGGAATGATAGAGTCCAAATCTAACACTTGTGTTCATTCTTATAGCAGATGCAAGTTCACCGACCAAATCTCGATGTGGGCCGACATCCATTGAATTCCAATTCCAAGAAACAGCTGATGGCCAGTTTGTATAACCTTCATGATGTTTACTGGTCAAAACAATGTACTTTGCACCAGAAGCCTAAAAATATTCACATTTAGTTAAGAACTTAACTAAAAAGATCAAAACAAGACAAGCATAACCATTACATAAAGAAATAGGGATAATATTATAAACATAAACCTATTTCAGACAAGTGCTTAGAAAAACAAAAATACCAAAATGTGAAATGCTGAGGTAATTGGATATTATATGAATATATCCGACCGGCACAAAGTTGACCATGATATTTACCTCAAAAAGTTTGGCCCATTCAACAGCATCAAAGAATTCTGTTGTAAACTGAGGAGCAAAATCTGCATATTGAAAATCTGGAGGGTAGTTTTGTTTCATGAAATCAGTATGTGTTGTATAGTTTTCACCTTGCCAATACCACCAAAACCATTCACCAGCAGTTCCATTCACTGATGTTCCAAAGCTAGGCACGGAAAAAACTCCCCAATGTATAAAAATGCCAAGTTTTGCTTCATCGTACCTGTATATATAATTTCAATAAATTCATTATCAGATCAGTACAATTCTTCTAGATAAAATCAGGAATTTTCGAGTTGAAAAATATCTTGAAAATGAGAACCTCCACCAGTCAACTACCTAACCCCAGCTCAACTACTGTGTTTACAACAACGGGTCATCAATGTCGAACCTAAATAATTTTCCAAATTTTCAATCAAAGATTCAAAGATAGTAGTAACAAGAAAAAACGGTCAAGACAAATACCATGAACACTAATCTACATATCCTGTATATAACTGAATATATTTAAAAACAGAAACATAGCATAACTTACCACTGAGGTAAAGGTCTTGCATCAAGAGATTCCCACGTTGGATCATACTTTCCAAGTGCTAATGAACAGCATACCAAAAGTAAAAATGCAACAAGAGAAGCCATACTACAAACAATATTTAGGCGAGTCTAGGATGTTTAAGAAAATCTAAGCAAAAAAACATTAGCAGTCAGAATCAGAAATAGATACATTTCACTGTTGGAACATGTAGCACAAAAAGGGGCCATTTCCTAATAAACAAAAGAATTTTCCAGATTCGAAATTGAGCAATTCTACATATTGAGAGTGAATGCAGTTGAACTTAAATGTTTAGATAAATCTGAACAGAATCATAATGTTCTATCCATAAACAATGGTATATCAGATAATGGAGACATATTAGGAACACAAGAACAATTGAATCAAACATTATATGATAAACATTCTCGGGTAGAAATGAAAGTTGAAAATTTGGTTTTAACAAATAATTCGAATTGATGAGAATCAAAAAGTGCATGAGCATTCGGACTACTGAAACTACTATCTTTTTCTTGTAAAAAATCACAATTTTGCTAAGCTTTCGTAAATTTTGGATTATAAATCTATCTTAGATAATGATTTTGTTAGACAACATATGAACATTGAAAATTCTAATAAACTGCAAGGCCAGATTCATTAACACACTACAAAATTCATCCCTGTATTGATATCCCCAAATTCACCAGAAATAAACATGGAAAATTGTGCTTTGAGTTCAATAATTTCATTCTTTATACAGCATGCTTCATTTCTTTGTTTCATAATGGATTTCTTTAACATCTGTTTGTGAAATAAATTCCCATCCAGTTTCCTTCATATGGTAGAGATTGACAACACCTCCACTGTAAGCATCACGGTGTGTGGCGTGATAAATTGAACGTTTTCCCAGATCCAGAGCATCCGCAACTTCCATATCATATTTGTATCCTGAATCCAAGACACCATAAGCATATGTCGCTCCAGATCCAACTGAAAACATGTTTCCCTTCAAACGTTGACCATCGCTATCAACATAATAAAGCCCGGGTCCTCGCTTGTCCCAACCACAAATCATTGTACCCATAGACAACCCCATTCCCTTGTAAGCGTATACCATATTTGCTAGAATTTTTGATGCAGCGGCAACTGAAATTCTCTCTTTATTTCTCAACTCATAAATTCTGCATTGCTTTGCAAGAACTCTTTCCCAGAACATACAGTCAGCAGCCCCTCCTGCCATTGTTCCGAGGAGATATGGGTTGATTTCGATGACTTTTCTAACAGTCTGTGAAGCAATGTAGCTTCCCGCGGTAGCTCTTGAGTCGACAGCAACAACCACCCCATGTTGAAACTTGAATGCAAGAGTAGTCGTACCATGACAAAACTTAATTTTTTCTTTCGATTTTGGATCATTGAATTGCGCTAAATATTCCTGTGGATTAATGGCTTGAGGAATTTGGAAACAATCAATTGGATCTTCAAGCGTTTCAGTATTATATTTCTGGAATCCTTTCCAGTTGCATTCTTGTAACATGGCCATCTCAATTATTATAAATGTACAATATATCACTATAAGAAATTGAATACAACAGTATAAGGTTACAGCAATTTATTCGACACATTACAGCATTAAATATGATAACATACAGACATAGCTATTAGCTAATCACATTTTCCAAAATGGCAAACAGATACTTAAATTATGTAGTAGCAGTAATTTATAGATAGATGGAACCTTACAATTTCCACTTCAAGCGATATTAGTTAGGATATTTAAAATGTCATTGGCTCCCAGAATTCAGTTCTGCAGTTAGGCCTAGTTTATAAATTACAACAGTACAACATTCCGACATTAAAATATATCTATCAGTTTTATATACTACTCATAGTTTCTACTGTTTGAATATTTTACTATTTCCACATTATTCTGTTTTATTCTGAAAAATATGGTAAACAAGTAAACAAACCTACAGGTGCCCGCATCCAGGCATCTGCTGCGCCGCATCTGTCAGCTCTGTCTGTCTGTCAGCACAAACTTACCGGTACTAAAGCATCGTCTTCCTGGTTCGGCATATAATAAACTCATTTTTTTTATGATTCTACTGCTGTCTTTTCCATCTGTGCTACATACGAAAACAATCTTTCACAAAAAAAGAAGGTACCGACACTCCTGACAGCTATTACAAACGTTAAGAACGAAAGAAAACAAGCAGCTCGGTTTGAGATTGGAGGACGAAAAATGTATATAATATGACTAAGCATTATTACAATGCTATTCGCACGTTAGTGTTCCCAAATATATTTGCTAGAAAGATCAATTCAATTTTTTGATGACAGTAGTTGATGTGCTAATAGTAAAATACACTTTTTGTTTGATTACGATGCATTTGTTTAATAAATTAGACGTTATAAACATCTTTCTCAAGCTTTGCTTGTTATTTGATTTGTATATTTCAATGAATACAGTGGTTTCAGAATTGTTTACTATGTTGTATCTATGTTCTATTAGTATCAACGGTTAATATATTCACGGTTGCATTGTACAAATTATTTGTCTGTAGTAAATACAGAAATTGGTATAAAGTCCAAATGAACTCCAGCTTACAAATTTACTTCCATATTCAATGTGTCCGTTGCGAAAAAAAAATTTCATATAGATTTGGCATGTCTGTCTGGAGTTCACTTTGTCATGTGATGTTGTTGCAGTAATTTCCCCCTTAAAATTTCAAACACCCCCTATTCTTCAGGTGTGACACCTACTTTAATTCTTAACGTAAATAAAATTGTACTTGAATATCCAGAAAGTGGCTCATATTCCGGTGAAGATGATCAGTCAAATACATAACACATTTTTTAAAAGTTACAAATAGTTTCATCACCAATAACAGAATATCCACCGTCCCCTAAACTTGGAAACATTCTCCCTAAAATAAAAAGCGTGCTCTGTCAATTTCGAACTAAATTACCACTACAGTTTCATGTAGCCTTCTCTATATTATACTTGATGATGTTAATTTGAGATTATTCAAATATTTGTGAGTCAGTGTTTAAGATTGTCCCAATGGATATTGCTATTTTCTGATATGTAAATTGCAATTTTTATTTCACATTATAGTTAACTTGTACCTTTTTTTATTGAAATAATTTTTTTGATTGAACAAAGCTCAAATACCATTGGGAACATTTTTGACATGTGAATTGATTTTTGCCGCGTCATGTTAAGTACAGAGATGCGCTGTTGCATGAGTCGTAAAGTGCAATGCGTGTTAAACGTTCGCCCAACAGTGCCAGTAATTGCAGGACTTCGCATGTGATGTTTATCTGACTTGCGTGTTAGCGGATTGTACAAATCCGTACCATAACAGGTTGGATGTACAAATTAGATGAGGATACTGCCCTAACAAATTGATTATTTTATTTACTAGGCCTACATACACAAAATGTGATATAGTCTAAGTATGAAACATTTCTGTTGTGTTAGTCTTTGTTTCTTCTCATAGTGAACTGTGAGCATGATAGTGCGGTTTTAAACTATACCATACCCAGCATAGCCTAACTCTATTTTAATTATTTACACAAATTTTCCGATTCACAGAGCTTGATTAGAGTATTGCAGTACTGTATAATTTTCTCTATAAAACATGCAAGTGGCACCAAAGTCTTGTATTGTGGAAGTTGATGCTCGAAATTTTGAAATAGTTTGGCCGAATTTACAGAATGACATGCGAAATGCCACATTTATGTCACTGGATACCGAGATGAGTGGACTGGGAAGTAATTCGCATATCTTTCAGAGTAATGCAGATGATCGGTACAAAGCTCTAAGACTTGCAGCAGAAACAAGATCCCTCATATCTATTGGTATTTCATGTTTTAAATATATAGGCAACAATGAGATGAATGAAACCGATTGTACGGAAACTTCAAACATGATTAGTTACCATGCAAATGTTTATAATATATTATTACTCTGCGATGACAGTTTTACAATAGATCCTAGCGCTGTATCCTTTTTGGTGAAGCATGGGTTTAATTTCAACTTGCAATTTTCTAAGGGTCTGAAATATAAGAAAGGTGATTTTAATCCAAAGAAAAGTCGTTCTGATGATTCACATTCATCAGCAAGAAAAATCTTCAATGAGATTATTAGGGTACGGAAACCAATTGTTTTTCACAACGGTTTTGCTGATTTGGTGTTCCTTTATCAATGTTTCTATGCGTCGTGTCCCAAAAAACTTTCTGTATTTCTTGCGGATGTCAGCGAAATATTCCCAAGCGGCATTTATGATACAAAAGTTATCGTTCATTTGCTCGAAAAATTTAATTCATCATTTCTGGAATATGTATGTAAAAGTTATCAGACTTTGAATCACAGACGGTCTGCAAAAAGTAAGCCACATATTTTACTTACCCTGGGTGAAAATAATTCTTCTATAGAAGAATTTATTGGTTTAGTGCCATCAATAGAATCGGAAGCCATGGATTTCAAAGTATGTTTGAATTTTGCCAAATATGGATGGTGCAAAAATAGTGAAAAATGCAATTTGAGTCACAATATTTCTGATATAATTGCCCAAGAATTAATTGGTAAACGCAAGAAATCTAAGAAGAGAAAACATTCTAATGAGAGTTCTGATGCGGATGACTCAACACCTTGTAATGGGCAAAGTGACACAAAAACCATGAAAATGAATGTTGAAGAGCAAACCTTAAACCTTGAAGATAAAACAGTTGATGAAAAGCATACTCAAGGAACAGTTTGTCATAGAGCGGGCTTGGATTCATTATTGACAGGATATTCTTTTGCAGTTTTTACTGCTATTCATAGTACCAATGAGCAAAAACATAATGAAAGCGAATCCTTGACGCCTAGCACATTTTCATCCATACTCCCACATTTATGTGACTCTTTCAAATCATCCATTAAAAATAAGGTATACTTGAATGGAAAAAATAACACTTTATGGATCACGAAAAGCCATTTCTCAAAAACATCACAGAGTCATGAAGATAATATTTTAAGAATCTTTCTTGAATGATGCTGCAGTAACTGTGTTAATCTCAAATATTTGAATTTTTAGTGTAAGCCATTCAAAATAAAATTAATTCATAAATCTGCCTACTCAAAGTTGATAGGTCAAACTCAAATAGATGCTTTGCTATTAATATCGCCTCCAAAGACCAAGTATCAAAAAAATTATGGTTTTGTTGTTACCAATTTTATTTCTGCAATGCTAATTTGTGGTTGTGCAGATAATTTCTAAGGGATAGAGATTACTTTAAACCCGGAATATGTAAGATGTTTTATGCTTTCACTTAGTGTAATTCTTAACGAGGTTTTGGACTTCGATGCAGTTTGCATCTAACATGACTAGTAATATGGTATTATCATGAGTACCTGTCTTCTCCATAAGTTTTAGTGTGATGCTGAGCGTCCCAAATGTAATAAAATGACAAGGAGGGGAGGTTCGTCCGACCCTCACAACATAGACGAGACGTTGGATGCCCAGTCAAGTTTATTTTTTTCAGCCAGTAAAAAAAATCGCACACAAATTAGGTTGAAATGATATTTACAGTTATACTAAATAGGGGAGGCCGCGGGGGACCAAAACTCGCAGCCCAGGGTTCTAATATCTAATTTAACAGATTGGTAATTTCGGAGTTTCAAATTACCTATTAATGATGGTTATGTACCATATGAATTTTGCGAATTAGCCAACCAACATCGTTTATTAATTAATGTAATGTTTATTTATCAATTATTATTAATGGTTATTACTAGAAATTACACCGACGAATGAACGTGGATCCCCTCTTGTTGCATTTCCTGCGTGATTAATTTCAAACCACCTTACGGGGCTGCATGTACTAACTCTTTCACGTCGATGTTGTTTCAAAATACTTAATCAGTTAAACTTAAAAAACACCGACAACTAAATTTAGAGTGGTCTTTTTTTAACCTTTGCCAGACAATAATCGGAATACCCGATAATGGCGAACAACCTGAACCCAACCTGGTACGCATACTACACATACTGTGTTCATCTTGGTGCACAAACTACAGAAGCACCAAATTTACTAGGAAATAAAATCAATAACTTTTAGGTATTCGTTGAACCCATATCAAAAATGTGAGATCAAAAAAGTTACACTACATAAGACTACAACATAGTCAAATGTGCTGTATTTACGATATATATAGATTACAGGTTTACCAAGAAGCATTAGGCTACATAAAAAATGGTAAAATAAAGATCAATTCAGCAATATCTACTTAGGACTTGGTGATATGCATCTGTTGATGATTTTATGTGTTAGTTTCGGAAGTTTAATGACAGAATTAATTGTCGTTGTTGGGGATGTTTTAGGAAAAGGTTGATTGGAATAGGTTTTCATAAAATGGAAAGGTTTGAGATTAGTAGAGAAGTAGGAAAAATACTTCCATGTTGTCTTCATTTGACAACCACGCCACAGAACTTCTCCGATAAATATACGCAGCAAGGAAGAGATTATACCTATCTACACACTCAAAAAACTATGTCACATGAGCGTCATATCATCGAATATCAGTAAAGGAATAGTGCAATGGGAAAAGACATATAAGGCATAACTTTCCGTAATTTGCAATCAAATAATCTTATTGTAGACTATATATTCAAAAACATTTCGTCACGCCAACCGCAGTCCAAAACTTTTTGTCTCTGGCTGAGCTTAGATACCAATTGACACTCATGTAAACTGGTAAGAGGCAGGTTTCATATATTGAAACGCCACGCGATGGAGCAGGTAATATGGGTATTCATCCCCCAACTGTCATTTGAGTGGGTACTGCTGTTTTTATTATTGCAGATGATGCTGATCTTACTGTATTACAGATTTACTGGCAGCACCGATTTAAGGATGTCAAGTGATGGATATAGATCAGGGGTTCCCAAACCGCGGCCCGCGGGCCAATTACGTTCATCTTTGTACGTCAATTGTTAGATGCCGTCAATTGTTACGTCATTACCACAATTCAAGCCCGTGTATAATCATAAAAATTCAATTATACCGGCACCCTATATACGTACCGGTATTATAGGATTACGTACGGCAGTATTTTAGTTATCAGCCCTATATTAAGAAAGCTTAAAGATGTCACAAAAACGGAAACTAGACACTGAAAACAGACGTTTTTTGGATAAATGGCAGCGTTCTTATTTCTTTATTGAAAAGAATCAAACTTCAGCGATTTGTCTTCCTTGCCAACAAACTATTCCTGTTCTGAAAGAATACAACATCAAGCGCCATTATGAGACGAAGCATTCTTCAAATTATGATCATTTGACGGGTGAGCGGCGTATTTCAAAATTTAATTCATTGTTAGATTCATATAAAAGTCAAACGAACATGTTCAAAAAAAGTCAAATAAAAGTGAATCCACGTTATTGACCAGTTATATTGTAGCCCACAACATCTCTAAAAAAGAATCGTCCGTTTGTTGAAGGGGAATTTTTCCGCGAATGCACGCTGCAAGTATTGGATGCCATTTCTAACAAAACAAACCATGATTCGCTATCTGGGGTCATCTCGTACAATCTCTGTGTCATTGGATAATATTGGTAGTTCAGCTGCCTAAGCCGTACTCACCAGAGATACCAGTGTTCTAAAAACTTCAACTACAAACTTAATTAGATATCAAACCTTGGGTGTCGCTGCTTAATAATCAGTTCCTAGCGACTTTGCTTCCCAGTAAAAATGTGTGTCAATTTTACTTTTCTTCCTAATTTTGTTTGTTATTTTTACTGGATGGAAAATTAAACTTGACTATGATATGAGTAGCCATTTATACGAAGCCGTATTTCAGATGAGCAAGTAAGTCGTACTTGGTATTTCTCGGGTATTCTATCATCTAACTATTATACTTAGGCCTATTAATTTTATTACATAACAAACTGCGATACTGCGTGTATCTAAAATCAATCTTGCGGCCTATTTTGATGCCCATTTTTCAAAAATTTTTCAGGGCGCGTTCAAACGCCAGCCGTTACGTCACGCTCTTTTGGTCACTCCCCTTCACTGGCCCGCGAGTATCCTCGTCTTGAAATTTTGGCCCGCGACTAAATGAGTTTGGAAACCCCTGATATAGATAAACAAGTTGGAAACCAACACGCAATATTACAAAACTTACTTCCAACACGCGGTTTGAATGAATGAAAAAGCAGAAACTAGTATTCTTTAGAACAGCATACAAATTCTATGAAATGAAATCCTACACAAAAGCTCGTCAAATCCTATAGGTCAATGAACAAGTGGAATTTGATACATGTGCACAAAAACGTGCGCATTACGTGCAACCGAAGCACGCAGGAGAATGTGTGTGATGTTCTAGTGATCAACATGTTTGACTCAACTATGTTGGCATAACAGATGCACATCTCGGTTTCGCATACGCATACCTTCTATCTCCACAAGGATATATTAATTTGGCCAAAGTCAATGTTGCACCTGAAGAGTTCCGGTTCTTCCAAAAGAAAACACGTTACACATCGTTAGATACCAGTGGATGGTTTTACATGGCTTCGTCCGGAGTGAAAGTGGAGGTCGAATATTCCAATCCATTTCAACTACTAAAATGTTTTCTAAGTCCTTAACCTCTGAGCAGGAAAACGAAATGCCCGAGGCAACCCAAATGCAGTTTCAAGAGTGCAAAAGAAAGTGGCTAGATGCTGTCGATGGGTCTTGGCTTATATCGGTGAAATAACCTACCATTTATTCTACTAAAATTGAATTTCTGACATTGTAAGGAGATTTAATGTTACTATGTATCCAAATTTAGCCCATGTAGTCATGAAATAATTGTTCATATTAACAAAAAGGTGCTCCCGAAGTATCCGTACCAAGATGGCGCACAACCTTAACATTGTAGTGTACCAGATTGAGATCCAGGATGTGCTTCATCTTGGTACGAATACTTGAAAACACTTAAAAAAAAATTGTTCAACATTATATACTCCACACCCATCTGGGTATCATTAATTATGTCATCGACCTTATATCTTAAAAATAAAATTATGTCCCAAAACAGTGTTAAGGCCCGATTCATACGGACTGGAAGCACCATGTATTTTTTCGTATATTTTCTATTTTACTACAAGGAGAATTTTATTTGTATAAGTATTTCAAAGCTTAGAGATAAACAAAGAATCCGTTGTTATTTGAAAGCGAAGTATTTTAAACGCGCGAGCAACCGCGTTCTCCGGAATATTAAAAACTTTTTGAAACTTGTTTTTTCACAATTTAAAAATGGCTTGAAATGAATAATAGTACAAAATTGTCGAGGCTTGGGGCCCGCCGTCTTCTGCCTACCTTACTAAATGATAATGATGAATCCGACCTGCCAGCAGTTTTCGAGGAAAGAATCCGCGTGGTAAACTAGCGGGACTTTGGATGAATAAAATAGAATACAGGTAGGTAAACAATACAAAAGAGTTTGAATCTATCAAGCTATTTATTGATGATAAACATATTTTTAAACTATTACCGGTACAATACTCAGTATTTCACAGCCCTAGGTTCGTTGATCCCGTGACGTGGTATCGAGTTAACTAATTTGACTCCAGATTGATTTCCAACTCATCCACTACAAAAGTTATCGCGTTGGTATTTGTGTGGATATCGTGCGAATCATCGTAACTCTGTTCTATTCACCCCTAAGTGACAAACTAGATTAACCTATATATATCCATTCTTTTACAATATTTCGCGTTCAAGATCAGAATTGTGGGAAACCACATCCAAAGTGTCCCTGTCATTGCGTGTCACAGGGAGGTGATATTGCCGTGACTTGTTATTTCGGCGCAATCGCCGTCCACAGATAACAATACTGGATACACCAAATGCAAATGCGATGACTCCCGGCCCAATAAGAGCATACAAATACGTTGCGGCTCCTACTATTATCGTGATTGTTCCAATAGCAGCGAGAGCAATTCCGAAACCAATACAATATTGTTCCCGTTTCTCAAGTTCCCGGGGAGTTACCGCTTTGCTGCGTAGTCTGGAAAAGATAAATTTCATTAAAACCCGATTGAATTATGTAGCCTACGTGATCGGCCATAGCCTAATAGACTACAAAACTAGCTTTTCGTTAATTCAGGCTGCTATGAGCGTGTGGGGTTTGCCCAGTTGAAATAACCTTTTTGTAACTGATAATGAAATGAAATGTATCGAAATTCGAATAAATCATGTGATATATTTTTTTTATTATAAATAAAAATTGAAAAAAATCGTGGTTAAATTACAATGAGACGACTAAAGTCCTCAAATAACAATAAATTAAATAGGGTTGGGTTGAAAACAGAGAAAATTTCGCCGCATTTCAGGCCCTTCAATTTTACTTCATTTGAATTAATGGTGGCACATTTTCATACTGCAACGTAGAATAATCATTTTAACCAATGTTAGGGGAAATTTCGCTTTCAATAGTAAAATAAGGCCGCACAGAGTACAATGTTAGAAAATTATTTTTTTATTCCTAAATATAAAATCGAATTAAACACGTTTCGCACGACGGAGCATATTTTCAGTCAAAATCAATAGTTGTTGTAACGGACGCGTCAAATTTGACAATTGCTTCAATGATCCATCCCCTCGACAATTTGCTGTATATGGAAATAGCTGTCCGCGAGGCGCTAAAGCAATCATCATTGAACCTAACAACAATATCCTCCCACAACTAATTATGTTTCTGTATATTCAATATTACTAATACTCATCAATATATTATTACTCATACTGTATAGTGTTATTAGGTATTGCTGCCAATACGAATCCCCCAAAGACAACACCATTACTTCAGATCAAGTGTTCGAAATAATTGGACTAAGTTTTTCTAACTTACCCATGAAGTAACTCAACTTCTACCATAATATCGCTTGGTACTGCACCTTCTTTTTATACCCCAACACTCCGTTTTGTCGGTATTTTACGCCAAATACTATTTCCAAGTTTTCAATTTCAGAAATTAATGTCGACTGCTTGCAATTATGTAGGCTATATCACTATTACATCCATCACATCAAGAAGTACAGAGTGTGAAAACACTTACCGCATTCATGATAATCGACTTTGTTTGGCGATCTACCTTCTACAAACAATATTGTAAATAGTACCTATTGTCATCTGAGATAAAAACTAACAATAACTCGTGTCACCTCTGACGTAGTTATATATATATTTACAAACTTACCTATTAATAAAAATAAATAAAAAAGTAATAAAAATACAATATATTGTATATAAACATACAATTTATAATAAGAATAATGCAAAAGATTTAGATTGCAAAACGCACGATGAAAGTATACAGCTGAATATCAAATTTTTTGCGGTAAACACTTCTGTCAACGTTTGCTGTGCGAGCGACAATGTATTCAGAATTGATTTTCATTGTTCACGATAACAGACACTTTATTAGTATTCATAGCCGGAGTGGGTGAAAGTGCTTCGCTTCGCCGATGGCTGGAAGCCTACCTAGCTATTTTACTTTTAAACAATAAAGAGTGAAAGAGCCCAATTGTGAACGCATTAATATATCTATGTTTAATACTTCAGGCCAGGTATCTTACGATTTAATTCACTACCACTCACGTAGTGTAACATAATGAGTAGTTTATGTAGCCTACGATATTCATTCAAAATAGCTTGAAATTGAAGTGGAAGAATATTTAATGCCCATTTTTACATACAAAAAGTACAAATTCATGTGTCTATCTAGTTATAGCTTCGAGATAAATGCTTTGATTCTTGAAAACATATGACTATGGCCTAAATTACTCTAAATAAACTTCGAAAATTATCGAACCTGACAATAAAGTTTTATTTCCAATTTGTGTAACCTGTGACCGATTCGTACGTTGGAGGTGCTGCATTGGTACCAGGACTGGTGTATCCATATGGCGGTGGCACCGGAGCGTTTGGATCGAAATAAGAGGATGAATTGTCTCCGTATTGATTTAACCCTGCATTTGTGTATGCTTGAGGAAGCTGCGTTTGTCTTTGAGCCTCCGCGTGACTTGTTTGTGGCGCCCTTGAAGCATTGACGTACAACTGATAGTACCTAAAACTTCCACATCCACATAGAACACTCCATACGATTAATGTAGTTCCAGGTCCAATGAGATAAAATGTTCCAAGTACGATGGCCACAATTATCATAGAAATTCCACCAACAATGAACAAAATGGCAAATAGCAGGCAACACTGCTGGCGCCGCAGCAAATTTTCCTTGCTTAGTAGTGATACGTTCACTCTGAACGAAAACAATTACACATTTACGAGTTGACAAATTTTTACGCCATTGTCGTGCGGATAGCAGTTGGTAATAAACCTCAATACAGGGGAGGGTTAGTGAAATAAAACGTGTCATAAGATAAGAAAAATCGCACTTCAGAAGTGTGTGTACCAATAGGGAGGTAACTAATTTTGTCCGCCCACTTTACATCAAGTTGTGTAACGGGGCTGAAGCCTATGGGCAGGGGGTATATTCACTCGGCTAACACAGACAGTGCCCGAACTCGTAATAGAACTAGAATAAGGAAAATCGAAATAAAATTATGGCCTAACCCCAACCTGGTACATATACTATGGGAGTACCGAAAAATCTATTTACGTTCAGCTGCTTACCTTCGCCCCGTCCTTCGCACCATATTGAAGTTTTATCCGATTCGCCCTCCGATTCGATCCAATTGTTAAAGTGTGTTTTCTGGAAAAATGAAGAATTAGCAAAAAAAAATATAACATATTTATGTATTATATGGGCCATCTTGGAACTCAAATATTGCGTTTATGTAGATAGATCAGATATTTTAGTTTGAACTTCGCCATGAAACAGAATAATGATTACAACACACAAGACGAACACATGGAAATTCGAGGAAACTGACAAAACACCGAATGGGGTTTGAAAACATGAGTAATCTTACCTTGTGACACTGAGTATAAGTAAACAGGACGATGAGGTACTCTAAGCACACTTTAAATTTGTGATATGTTAACTCTGTGTTGTGTTTAACATGGTCTTATTAGACATTTTCTTAAATGAGTGAGGTATTATACCCTACCATGTTATTTGCAGATGGGTAATTGTTTTTGAGCATACTCTTATGTATGAATTTCTCAACTTCCCCATATAGCATTTGCTCACGGCATTTATAAATCTACAATTTTCTTGTTTGTAGTTTAATTCAAAATCATTTTGCAATATGTGCTTTGGTCAAACTTCATAATCTTATACTAGATCTCTCACGGGATTCTAGGTAAACGGCGATGATGGAAACTCGCATTATATAAACTACTATCGCAATATATTTTCACATGATATTAATTTTAAAGTTCGAACTTCATCTCAAGCATATTCGTCTTATACCGTATAATATAGCATACGTGGCCCATACTTGTCCCTCATGAACAAAAGTCCAATCGGTGACGATGAGTCCCGTGACCTATTGTTACGGCATGACAAAGCATAATATTGTTCATAACGTGATTTTATGAGTGAATCATATGTTACGACGAATACTGCAATTTCATGTGAAGATTTGAATACTGTTTGTACGTTTATTGCATTGTAACTACCATCAGACGAGTTGGCATAGAATAACATAACTGATATTAACATTTAACACCTACTTCGAAACGCTTATAAGCTTATTTTCGCACTCAAGTCTTATTAACTGTGCTCGATAAAACCTCTACAGAAAAGGCCAACAAAATGGCGATTGGAATTATTTATCTACCCCTACTCCAACATATACATTATTCAGTGTGTCACATTAGTATTTAATAAATATCATGTGATTAAGAAGTTGGCGCCATGCTTTAAGAGTCGCATGATAAGCGGTATTTTGAACGAAGAAATATTCAAAATTTTAAAAACATTCCACGTACCGCTGGCTCACAACTTCATATATCGTGCCTGCAAATTTCTATTCAAGTTTTGGCAATTTTCTGAGAGAATACTTAAATTGCAATCAGACGATTTCCTACAATGCGTTCTACAATTTAGTCGGAATGTTTTACTTAAAAACCTACAACTCATCTTTATACCGATCCCTATGTTCATACCTGTTAGGAAATAAAGATAGCGACATATGTTGAAAATGAGACTGATATTACTAGTGTAGAAATATTTAGGTGCCAATTTTTATTGAATGAGTTTACACGATGCTTGGCTCAAACACAATTCTAAATGAATTAAAGAAACACATATAATGGTACTGTACTGGTAGAAAAACGAACTAATCTGCACAACACGCACGATATGATTTGCATGTTTGGAATAAAAAGGACGAAAATAAAAAAGTCGAAAAAAATCGTATATTTGGAATAAAAAGGAATTTTTAATTAAATTGTATAATTACTACACTTACTTCGAAAAAACTAAAACAGCAGCAGCTTTTCAATTCAGACTCGTTTCCCCGGCGTACGTTCTGAACAGAAGTATGAGTCCACTTCGAATCTACAAATGCGAGAGAAGACATCCAGGGAGAACGCAACCTAGCCTACCGAAGACAAAAGGCGTCGTGATAATAAAGCTATTGTAAAAACTTTGTCCACTAGTGATAGAAGATAGAACTTGGCGGCTCATGTTTCGTTCTCGGTGATTTGAAATGGTAGCTTGACAAATGGCTGAATTTACTGCTCATTTCGCATGATTCAACACACGGGTATCGTGGAGAATGACGGGTATTTATTTAAAGAGCTTAGTCTGCATAGAAGAGACAGAGGACAAGCCGCTGTTGGGAATATGCATACAATAGACTTTTGCTGGGTGGAAATTAAAAATGAGGATTGCCTATAAGTTGACTTATGAGAGCTATCGAACTATTTCATACAAAACAATCATGAAATTTGTGCGCACCTCTTTTTAGTCTTGTTCGTACAACTCATAATAGCAGAGGTTGGGACAGGGTGTTCAATGGAATGGACGCGCAAATCAAGTGCCAATTTAGTCCGAAGATCAGGCGTTCATAAATGCGAAAACTAGCCTAAGACTAGTGGATCCAAGCTGAGAAAAATAAACAGAAGTCAGACGCGCGGAAGTCCATGACAGTGCTACAATCTGTACTAATAGTTTTTTAGACTCATTATTAAAGCTAAATTATTAAAGCTAAAAACCATTTTTTCATTGAATATTTATGGGTTTGCTGCAACTTCGAGTACCCTGCTATACATATGCCTGTCCGATCGTGCAGTTCATAAACAACGGAGTTGACAACACAGATTTGAAACAGGAAGAACATTATTGCTCCAACTGCCGGCCCACTGTCACACAGAAACATTTTCAAAGTGGCCACAAACCTATTAAATATTACTAAAGTTATTGAAAAATTTAGTTTCATTTGTGTCGCTATAGTTAAATTTCAATTGTGGCAATGAACTATGATGCTGTGTTTTGTTACTAAAGGGGAATTTGCATTCTAAATATTAAAGTGAAAGTGTCTACTGTCTAATTCTGTAAAACATCGTTTTTTCCCTCGCATGAAAAAGTTATTGGGCAACAGAATTTTTGTGCAACGAAAATGGGCCACGAAAGAAAAATAGGTTGAGAATCATGCGAACAAGTTAAGCATGTAATCATTCGAATATATAAATTATAGATGAAAGGTTTCGCGCTATACGCTTCATTCTATTTAAAATTTATATTTCTGTGTGTTTCAAGAGCAGTTTTATGAAATTCAGACATGGCTTTGAAAGTGCTGCATATATAACATAATATGGAGATTTTGTGTATTTCAAATTGAAACTTTAATATTTTCTACAAATCAGTCGGAATGTTTTAACTCATCTTTATACCGATCCCTATGTTCATACCTGTTTGGAAATAAAGATAGCGACATATGTTGAGAATGGGACTGATATTACTGGTGCGTAGAAATATTTAGGTGTTCTTATTAATTACAATTCAGGGGTGGGCAATTACTTTCCTGAGTGGGCCAGTTAGAGATAATAGACCAATATCAAAACTATGTATAAAAAAAACAGTCTATTTATAAAATCTAGTCCAACAGCTACAATAACGTTTGTATAATAATGAGCACAATTTAACAATCGGGGTCATTATGCTGTTATTTTCAACGAAAATTTATATCCATAAAAATCATGGTCATAATTTTAGCAGACGCGAGTGGGCCGGATGAAACAATTTGATGGGCCAGATCCGGCGATTGATCCGTTTACATTCTGATTCACCTTCCTTTCTCAACTTCTCAATAATAGTCGGCATCTCTGCCTCGGTATTTTCCTACATTTATTCATTCTTTTTTCTTCTGCTACATTGCAATATAAATTCAATGTATTACTAAATATTTAGCACTCAGCATATTATATCAATTTCAAACGTTTAGCAATTTAGCTGCACCGCAGCACAGAATCAGAACATCAATTTTCACAAGTCGGCGAAAGTTTCTCTGAAGCAAATAACCCAAATTTTGCAAACAAACAAATGAGGTACATGAAAGGCCCAAGAAATTTCCACTGTCTTCCAATTTATTGCAACTACTCACATCTGCCACCACATTCAGAGTACAGCAGGGTTATTGCGCAAAACAAGTGACATTAATGAGCGAAAAAAGAAGACGGAGATTCATTTCATTTTTGAAGCATCATCATACGAAGGTGGTGGTTCCGTTGGTACATTGCTGAGTGGTGGTGGCTCACCCAGCGTAGGCGTCAAAGTTGGATGAGATGTTGCTGGGCCTGGAACCCAGTACGTGGCAAATAACCCAAATTTTGCGCAAACAAACAAATGAGGTACATGAAAGGCCCAAGAAACTTTCCACTGTCTTCCAATTTATTGCAACTACTCACATCTGCCACCACATTCAGAGTACAGCAGGGTTATTGCGCAAAACAAGTGACATTAATGAGCGAAAAAAAAAGACGGAGATTCATTTCATTTTTGAAGCATCATCATACGAAGGTGGTGGTTCCGTTGGTACATTGCTGAGTGGTGGTGGCTCACCCAGCGTAGGCGTCAAAGTTGGATGAGATGTTGCTGGGCCTGGAACCCAGTACGTGGATGTTACAAATGAGCCTTGTTGATTGTTATATAATTCCGCAGAGCTAGATTGTTGACGTATTAGAATTGGCGGGTGGTTTATGTACGGGGTGTTTACGTCAGTTGGGCACTGGAGGTTAGGGGTCGTTAACATTTGTCCTTCCGTCCTATTTGCCTCAAGAGTTTTTCTATGCCCTGCAAATATTAATAATCCGCCTGCAATAATCACCATAATACCAGGTCCAATGATAAACACAGCAGAGATAGCGCCAGCAACCAAAATTGCCAGTCCTATGGCGCTGAGCACTAGACCAATTGTGGAGAGTGTTCGCGCTCGTTGTAAAAGAATTTCTTTTGGCGGAAAGCTAAAATAAAAATAGAGGTATTTCAATAGCGACATAATGAAACAAATATAAATCTCGAAATTTAATCCCGTGCCCACCATCTTACATAATTTGGCAATTCTGAGCCCAAAAGTTCACGGTACTTGCAATCTAGTAGATCATAAAGCAGTGGCCTCGTGTACAGCGCCTTAAACATTTAAACGTTAGGTATCAAGCAACTGAATTCTCACGCTAAGATTTTTTCAACCCATGTTATTACATTACTTTCACTGAAATGAATAAACTCACCCAGAATAGTTTACATGGCCGGTATGCATCTGGAGTTCAATTTCCAAGCATGAGCTAGGTAGGTTAAATAACGTCGGCTGGAATAACTATAAATTATTCTGCAAATAACTGTAACTACAAAAACGGCAAATAATTACCAAAATTAATATGTTCAAAATAGAACTTGTTTAACACAAAAATAAACCCGGAATCGTACATTATAACTTAGTTACGATTCATATTGACCAGATGTTCTACCAATCCGTTAAGGCATTTTGAACTGAACTGATCAATGTACAAATCACAAGTACATACTTCGTGACTTGGTTCTAGGCATGTAGTTGCAATATTTTATTAGATTATGGCTACCTTGTCTCTATTGATGATTACACATAACGCTGGTTTTATGATTCCATTACAATATGATTCAGCTATTTAGCAATCATTTTCCAATGTTTAAACTTGGTACGGAGAGAGTTACGAGTCATACGGATTTAGTAAACGCATATACGGTATATGCTTCAACCATGTCTAACAAGATAGAGATCGGAGACCGCCGACTTATCGACCTTCCGCATGTTCATTCGCTCTGACTCAATAGCGACACCGCGTGTCCCATCACTAATTAAATATCAACTCACTAATTATACGACATAATTTATCCAATCAATAAGCTTCTGGTCCGAGATATGATGAATGCACATGCAAAATTAGGAGCAGATTCACCCTCGCTTTCGTGAGATATCGCGTAACATACGAAAGTGTCTAACAGACAGACACACAGACAAATACCTATCAACATACTTACCGATCGAAATCGATAAATAAAAAGCATTCTTAGTACCTTTAACACTGTCAGTTGACATACAAACAGGCATATCTCATACAGTTAGACGCTGATGTATATAATTTGTATGAATCTTCCTTTCTCCCTTTTCTCGATACTGTTCATATTTGTGATTTTTGATCGAAATGGAAGATGTAGCAATACTTGAATAGCTTTCACTTTTTCATCGACACTAATCACATTGAAACCTAACCCCGATTCATGCATAGTCCGCCGACAATCACCTTGTTAAAGCGTACGTGATACGTATTTGTTGTCGGTTCGTTTGGTAAACCTGTCGTCTGCATTAGTTACTAGTTGTCCACATGCCTGTATCGTTCAGATTAGCTTTCACGCGCATCAAGTTCCGTTCCACACGATCGCTTGCAACGCAGCATTGAATGTGCGCTCGTAAGGTTTCTACATATTTGTAATCGCACGAACTCGACTTGTGCTTTGGCGCGCGTTTGGCTCAATCATTAAAACCAATAACACGTTAAATATTACCTAATGCGCTTCCATTGGCAAATCAACAGGTATGAAATTGATATTAGAGCACTCAATCAAAAACGAAGCTGAAAGGAATATACCAAAATGTTGTGATCTGTGAGTGGACGAGTTCGATTCCTGTTGGGATAATTATTTGCGAAAGGATTGCTGGACTCTGGACTTAGTGCTCCAATAAGTTGTCAAAATCTGCTATGTAGTAAGAAAAAAGATATGTAAACTGAAATTTAAATATTAGGAGTATCAAAGCAAAAGCAATTATTAGTCTGGTCCCATTCCAGCTGCAGTCAATGTCAACTATTTTGTGAAGGAATCCACCGGAAAAACGTGAAAGCAGAACTGGATGACGATAACAACCCCAGGGCACGTAATACTATAGTAACAAATACTAGAGAATTTCAATACATTTCGTCACCTTAAACTTCACTGTCGAAATTATCCAATGTATTATGAGTTGGCGTCCTGCTCAAATTTTGAAAGGAAATCATATAATTACTAAAAGACCCTAGTTATATAAGTTTATCCACAACACATTGTTTATGTTCATGTAATCAACATTTTGTTATGTTTATCAGACTAAGTGTTATTTTGGTATGACGAAGCGTTAGTATGTAACAAGACTCATGAGCCACCTATACAATACATATGTAAAATAACACAAAACTACATAAGCAAACTCAAAAATATTTTTAGGTTTCCAAGCGGGCAGAAAAATTGAAATAAACTATACAATTAAACATAGCCCGCCATCATCGACGACATGCTGCTATATGGACTAAAAAAATTCCGATTGTAAAGAAAGTTTCCACTAAATATATTTGATCGATTCAAACTAAGTTTGACCTATTCACTGGCCTGACCTATACTATTTCTCTGTGACTACTCAACTCCCTGAACCCGGTGTCAATTTGCTCTGCACTTGCAATTTTAAGAAATCACCAGTATATTTGACTGTTAAGCATCGAAAGGATGTCGCTGTTTCATTATCATTGTTTCATTACCATACGTCATTTTGAGATCATGTATGCAGTATTTTTATCCAGTCAATTGTGCTTCTATTTTATCTAACCCAGTGCTCTTCAACAGGGGTTCCGCGGAACCCTAGGGTTCCGCAATACATGCAGTGGGGTTCCGTCAGTTTATAGGGTTTTTTAGGGGTTCCGCGTTTTTTTTTAGGGGGAATCATTTCTTGCTTCAGCATGTTGATGCGTCGTTGCAAAGTTGTATAAAGAGTGTAGACATGAGTATGAGAATTCAAGACTATTGCAAAGGAAATGCAAGAACAACCTAGTCATTAAATTTCACGCTTGTTGCCTTCTTTCTGTTCCGTTGTTGAAGTAGAAATATTTGAATTATAAATATTTCGTGTTTTATTTTAATTTTGTTAATTGGGGTTCCATAAAAATCGAAAAATTATTCAGGGGTTCCACAATGACAAAAAGGTTGAAGAGCACTGGAGACTCTAACCTTAGTAAAAAACGTGAATGGGATACTCAATGTATATATACAACTAATTACTATCCGCTTTCCCATCCCGTCTCAGTCCGTTATAGTTGACATCAATCCCTGTATTGTTTGACTTAACATTAAGTTCACTTTTGAAACAGATTTTACGTGCACTGTAGCTTGCCTTGAGCAGGTGGGTAACAAACATTTTTAAACATATATGATATATCCGATTGGCAATACCATTTTTTCAACGAACTGCCAATTTAACCCAAATAGTAAAGTTTTGTCGTTCGAAATTCATGCGTACCTACCGGCGGGGCTGTGGAGTTGGTTAAAAATACCAATGCTTCCGGCTATAGTTCCGGAGCCACAGCATATTTAACCTGTGGCTCCAGATCCGAAGCTCTATTTTTGCAGCCCCGGCACCATACCATCGATGTTTTTTGCTATTAAAACTACAATGAAGCCCAAGTTGTAAAATCTACATATAGTTTCAGGTATACAAATTCAACTTGAAATATATGTTATAAATTTAAAGCTGAAAAGGATAGATTTCGATACTCACATAGCGCATTACAAAGTTATCAATGTGAAAAAATAATTTAAATTGTTGGCAGCTGGAGCCACTAAAATATCTGACATCTAAACTCCATCTGTTATAGCGAGCTCGGCACGGCTACGTGTTTTCATCTAATTTCGGGGGTTTCTGACCGAGTTGAAAATGTTGAGACTGCCATTATTCCCCATTCCATCACGTTTTTACACCTTCGCTCAGACTGCTTTGTAAAATGAGCCACTGATAAGTGATAATCTACTACCTTAGGAAAGACCGAAATCTTTTTACACCTTGGGTGAGGGGTGAGTTTGACCGATGGCGCAAATAAACAAAAGATTGGTCTTGACCGTTAATTTTATTTCGGCATTTATGTAAAGGATGTAGGCCTAGTTTTGATGGAACATAATAAATGAAGGAGGACATTAATAAAAATAGGAAGATGCAAATAATATTTACACTATAAAAAGTTGGTCATGATTTTCTGATTTGCAAACCCGAGTCAAGGTAAAATCGGTACTGCTGAAGTATGCGCATCAAGATGTTGGTGACCTGAACCCTATCCTGGTACACAACCCCAGTTCAGGTTGTGCGCATACTTCAGGAGGTCCGTAAAATCTAATATCTTTGGATACCAAATGATCTCTTTGGACTTTGGAAGACATAATATGCTTCGCTAGTTAACCGGCAGTTGAACATCGTCTTTAACTTAATATTCATAGACCTATTATATTTCATTTAATGTTCCCGATCATATGATGGCGGTAATTTTGCCTTTCCATTTGTTGTTACATGTGAGCTTTCTGATTGCTCGTCAATCTGATCAACGTTGGCTGGTATTTCAGGATCACCTACTCTCTGATACGATGCATCGACTTCTGGGGATTCCTCCATTTCAGCTTGTCTAGCGTCAGACTCCTCGGCGTACATTCTCTTTGACCGCTTGTACTTGTTAAATGCAATGCAAGTGCTAATCATTGACCATATAAACATAAATATTCCGGGTGCATAGAGCGTCCCAATTCCCATGAGCGCAGACGATATTACCATGACCAAACCAATTCCTATTGATCCAACCGTCATAGCTACAAAACTCCAAGCTTGGCAGCGCACTTCACCAGCGGTGGCAGTCCTAAAATTGAATAATACGTTTAGACTCATTAGATATATTGCCATTACAAATACCAGAGTACGAGAAGCATAGGATGTTGAAAACAATTTTCGTTTTCATATGGTTGAACCATCGCCACTCACATTAGTAAATGGCGTGTGTGTAGTATTCTGACGTACGCAATATAGTAAGTGATAATTATTTTTGACGAGTTATCCATATTGCGAACGAATCTATCACATGAGTAATATAGACCAGCACATTTCCACCGCCTCGAGTATTCAGGTAGTATTATATTGCGACACCAACTGAAAGAGTTTTTTGTAGATATTTCGATGTAGATCGAGTATGCGTTAAAAACACCGATAGATCAAATGCTTGCTGGAAGAAATGTGTTCCACATTGCCATGCAAGCAACAATCACCAAAGAAAAATCACAAACTTATTTACGTTACAACAAGATGGCGGACATCTAAACATAGTATGTCTACCAGGTTAGGGTTATGCCATAATTTTATTCCAATTTTCCTTATTTTAGTTCTATTACGAGTTCGGGGACTAGCCAAGTGACTCCCGTAGTATTTGTACCTGAAATGATGGCCTAACTCTAACCTGATACACATACTACGTTCCGGTGTCAGTCATCTTGTTGCACATACTACGGGAGTACAGCACAAACTATATCAATTCATTGGTTATAATTTGCATCCAACATGGAATAAGGGATCATAACTTACTCTTCGTCATCTAACTCATCATTCTCTTCAATCTCTTCTAAATGATTTTGATTTTCTTGTTGCACCTCCTCCTCTTCATGATTAGGCGAATTCTGATTCGACTGAGAATTTACTTTCGATTTTGTGGACATATTGTACTGCTTTTTCCAATCAATGATTTTATATCAGTTATTTTATTTTGCCTTCTTAAAACTTAAAAGTTCAATTTTTTATCCTGTAAAAAGCAAATTCGTTTTTACAAAAATAACATTATTTGATATTGAGCAATATGATAATAGTTTTTTCAATAGATATATACATATATTATATATAAAACATATATATGTGACATGTCAACCTATATCTGTATACAATTTTCATCGCATCATGTCAGGTAATGATCGTAAAATATTTAATATTAATACGTAACAAATAAAATGTTGGTTAAATATGAATGTTCATTCTGTCTTCCAATTGGCTCAAGTTTAGTTGTAGTAATCAAAAATTAGTGCCGGAAAGACTGTAATAGACAAGACTTGATCCAGTCATCTGTATGTTTAAATGCTAAGTGGTTAAATACTTCAAATAAGAATAATGTTTATGAATATGCAAACAAACCAGTGAAAGCTTTATCTCACCAAAACACTTTAAAAGTAAGCAATGATAAAGCACAAGGAAATTTTTTCTGAAGTTAAGGGTCTGGGAATACATTCCCATTTTAGTCTATTGTCTTGTATCATTTTTTAGCAAAACGTAAATTGATGGAGGAAAATGATGACACGAATATTGCTAACTAATGTATCAAACAAGCCGGTAGGCGTCCGGGATCTCCGCTGACACCCAGGCCCGCGGCATACAGTATATCGCGAGGATCCAATTCATTTTAGTCTCTGTAGCACTTTAGTGGTCGGCCTAACTTCGTTCAGATTTAAATCTTTTTAATTTGTGCGCTTGGAAGTGAATTCATGAAAATTTCCTCGCAAGAAATAGGCGAGAGGCGAGTAGGTTTTGCACTAGCTGACGATTATTTGTTGCGGGGCAATGACGGCGTATTTCAAAGATTGTAAACGTGATGCAGAATTCATAGTTTGATTCGGATATAGAAATCCTAATTTATAGACCTAAATAGTTAAAAAAAACTGTAGCCAGCGTTTAGGTGAACCACCCACTAACAGCGAGAAGTACATCAAATCTCAAGCAAATAATAATTCCGTATATCAAGAACACCTGCACCGGCTCACCAGTTCCGTTGAGTTCATTTTGAACGCTGCGCGTTCCGTTGACATACTCACGTGACTGATATACTGTGACTAAATGGGGAAATTATGTTCACTGAAATCCCTAAGGTTTCTCCAGTTTATGAAGTATCGGGACCAAAGACGACTTATTGGAAAGAGTACTTTGCCATGCGGAAGGAAGCGCTCTTGGAATTTTAATTTTCGACTTGGTTGGCGAGAAAACGGCGATAAACTGTGAAAAAAATAGAAACTTCATAACGATCGGAACGTTTTTTGTTGTTACCATGGAAACGAAACATTTATCTGGACTTTCTATAAAACGCACATTACTAGGGTGACAGGATAACCCATGTGAAAAATTTCATCCAGATTGGTCCAGCCATTAAGACGCTACATCTAAACAGACAGACAGACAGATACACAGACAGACAGACAGACAGAACGACTGATAATAAGGGTCTCCTATAGAGCGGAGATCCAATACTTGACCAAATGTACGATTCATGTTCGCGACTTCAAGCTGTAAATATCAATATTCGACTCGGCGATGTGGCGCATCGTGCTAAGCGTAAGGAATACGCTCACCACCGCACCTCTGATTACTCTGCGTGGATTCGAATCCCATGCGGGGATGGTTATATGCGAGAAGATTGCTGCACTCCTCGCCGCCGTAGGGTGGTTCACGTAAGCGCTGGTCGGTTATGGCTTCCTCTACCATCAAGTCCATGCTTCCGAAAACAAATAACTGGCTAACGAATCCTATACCCGATATGGACTGGTAATCGAACGAGAGGCCGTGGTTCGCCATATGATTAAGCCGCCTTAAAAGCTTTCCTCTCTCCCGGGATAAATATGTAAATCCTAGCCTATTCTAGTATATATATCACAGACTGAAAAAACGTGTAATAACATTGCTCATTTGGCTGTTTTTTTTCTTCTTTTTTCGATAGGCATACCCCACTTGGTTTTCATTAGGCGATTCCTTTTTTTTATCTCTACGTCGATAGGTTGTTTCACAATGCATTATGAAAAAAGTGATTCGTTATTTGAAATCATCAGTTTCATGAACTTTTTCATTAGATTCTGTATCATTTTGTGACGTATCAGAAGTTTGAATAACGACGTTATGTAATGTTTCAGAATTATCTTCTTTTTGGTAAGATACAGCCGGTTCTTGAGTTTCTTGTTCTTGAGTTTCCTCATATTTAGTCACAGAATACTCATTATACTTCATAGCAAGAAGACAAACAAAGATCAACGACGAAGCAATAATCATTGCGGCAGGAATTATGATTGACATTGTTATTTTTGTAATCCCGGTTGCTAACAACGCGACACCCAGAACTATTGCACCTAGTGAAACTATAATGAAAGTGCACATTTGCCTTACAAGATCATTTGCTGTCGGCGGAGGACTGTAAAAAACAAACAATTACGTTAGTTTTATGAGTTAGGAATTCCATATGTAAGATGAAACCACATGTCATGATTTTTTCAGTACAAGTTTAGAATCATAAACATTCTTATTCCGTCTACAACTAGTAGTACGGTACTCACGTACATTTGAACCCATACATTTGCACCCGTATATCCGCGGGTTCAATCTATATGCGGGTGTTAAAATCCATGGGTTTGGGTTAGTATGGGTTCAAATATCCGTAGGTGCAATAGTATGCAGGTGCAATTGTCGTGAGTTCAAATTACCGGCAGATGTACGTGGGTTCTAATGTAATGGAACCATTTCATAACATTAATTTTTTTGATCATATAGTGTTATTTATGTACTCCCGTAGTATGTGAACCAAGATGGCGGACACCGGAACGTAGTAAGTGTACCAGGTTAACGTTAGGTCATAATTTTATTCCAATTTTCCTTATTTTAGTTCTATTACGAGTTCGGGGCTAGCCAAGTGACTCCCGTAGTATTTGTACCTGCAATTATGACCTAACCCTAACCTGTTACACATACTACGTTCCGGTGTCCGCCATCTTGGTTCACATACTACGGGAGTATCGTTATTTTGAATACTTTGTAATATATATTAGAGTATATTCGAAGACCTTGTGGTTCACAGACTTACACATGTGCTTACTATCTTAAGAGTGGTGGTATATGGCATGACATCCTCTTAAAAACATTTTTCTTTTCGCGTGAAATATCATATATATACATTAGAAACGGCATGAACTTACAGATCTTCATTTTCCCCGTTTTCACTTAGATCTTCTATTTCTTCCTCATTTTGACTCGCTTCTTTTTCTTCTTCTAAAGTTTTATCATTTCCGTATCCTGCTTCGTTGTTTTCCACCGATTCCACACGTTCCTCTATATCCACTTCAATTACATTGCATATGCCGGCGTTTTCCGTCATATTGAAAATAATTTGGTAGTTAAATCTCTTTTTCTATCAAATTTTTAGCGTCGAACACCAAAGTATAATTATGTACTTTTAGATTACGTCACATAAAATTTAGTTTAAAGAGGATAGCTCAATGACCACAAGTTTGCTTGCAACTTCATACTTAAAACTAAAAAAAAAAACGTTATTTTTTTTTCTACCAATTTAATCACTCAAGTATTTGAAATAATATAGGTTTTCGGATATTTTTATATATCTTTTTCCGAAATAAACCTTTTGTCATTTGATAATAAAATTATTTTTTATAAAAGGACACACCGAAAAGACTAAATCATTCAATAATGATTTTTGTGTATGGTATGAATATTTTAGAATGACGTAGTTATTGGAAAAGGCGACGATTACATAAATCTTGCCAGTCAGTCAGTCTTCAATCTCTCTCTCTCGACTCAATGGATTTTTTTCTAGGCTTTATAACAGTTGATATTTTGTGGCGTGATGTCAAGTGTTTTCTTTCGAGCTTTAACTTTAGACTTGGGAAATCCGAAACAATTTGTAAATATATCTTTAATGCAGGCCTAATCCACCTAGCCCGTACAACCTTTCCGCTCGCCTATGTTGGTGCACCGCAGCTGCTTTGTTACGGAATGGCGAGAAATCGGCGTAACATCGCCACACTGCTCATTTTGTGAACAAAACAACCTTATTAAAACCAGGAACGTTGGGTTCATGACTTCGACGTTACTTCTTGTTTACGTTACTCTCATATCCACTCCTTTCAATCGTTTTTTTTTTTTCTCGTTTTAGTTTAACTCTCGTCAGTAGACAGTAAGTGCAATACCTTTCAATTCAAAAATTAGCGAGTTTAGTGTCTCTGCATCTTTTATTTGAACTTGCTAGTCCATCTATTTTAACTACTAAGATGACTCACTGACTCCAGATTCTAATTGTTCAAACTTTTCTTTTCATAAATATACGTAAGCGCGTGTTGGTCGAATATCATCATAACAGAAAGAATGTTTTTTTGCAATCCGATATTCTCCGGAATACGAGAAAATACATTTTTTTCGAATCCCAAATGATACGGTTTGGCATGACAATAGCGAGGTACTTACTTTCCAGTGACTTGCTTTCTAAACTTAAAACAAAGTACGTACGCGCTCTTGTCAAAACAACTCGATAATAATATTTTAGTTCGCAATTTTATAGCGGAATCTATATATAAATAAACTTATTTTCTAACTTTCGTTTTTGACTGTTAAAATATTGCACAGTTGATCAAAGATGAATGCATAAATGGCATCGTTACATTGGTCAATCAAGCGAATATGTGTTTGAAAGCAATCACACACTATGATATGACGAGTTCAGGATATTTGCGAGGAAAATCATTTTTTCGTGATGTATATAACGAGTGATTATCACTAGAGGCAACTTAAAATTTTCGATATTCCGTTTTTGGCTTAGAAGCTTTTCAGATTTGAAATTTAAAACTCGTGTCACAAAGGAATTGCCCTATTCCTGCCCCCTATTCGAGTGTTGCCTTCATCTAACCATGTCAGGTGCGGATAAAACGCATCTCAGTAACAGTCATTGAAAAAATCCGTACTGAAAACATGTTCAATGTAATCCTGAGCCAAATACTAGCTCAGGCGAGGACAGTATTTGAGTCACATACTTTATTGATTCGTATCTATTGTTTAGAATGATTCAAGTATTGGACGACGACATGATGGTCCATGATTTCCGCAATGGGTTTCATTGGTTTTCTTTTTCTTAGTTTAGTGATTTTGTCAAATATTCTATTACCAGTCTGAACTGAAGATTCTAATTAGTTTACAAGCGAAACTCGATACAAAATCCGAAGTTCATGAATTGTGGCAGCCTTGCAATCCTTCAGTGAGATTGCTTGCAGTACTTGCAGTACATATATATAAATCATTTATGTGTTTAATGGTAATTTAAACAACGACGTCAGTAATTGGTCTTTTCTCTACTTTCGTTTTGACGCGAAGATAAAAGTGTTGCAATGAACTGCGCATGAAGTGAGCTTTTACGTGAATGCATTTTTGAACACGAAGTGGACGCATAGATCGTTTTGTTGTTATGTTGTTGTTGTTCTTCTTCTTGGTAAAATCGCTTCTCTCTTCGACTACTAGACCGATAGCTTTGACATTTTCAGTGACGGAAGATTGTTGTTGTCACTTTTATCTATTCCTAAATCCTATGATATTTTATAAATCCCGCTCTTTTATCTTTATTCCGCTATGAGTGACGTCAGGTTTGTCATCCGTTTCTATTTTTCGAAGTCAGTGCTCGCTAAACGGAAGAATAGTATACGGTAGACGACCAAGGGTCTAATGTAGTTTAGTACAAGTACTTCCAGTGGGCGCTGCGTAACAGTCTTGCATATTTGATGTTATTCCTGACCCCCCAACTGCCTACGTCATCCAAAAATTACGTCACAATCACGTGAGGTTTAATAATTTCGTTGTCGCAGACGCCATTACGGGCGATCGTCGACATAATTTGGCGCACTGTATTACGTGATTTCGACGTAGCAGAAGGGCTGGGCGTTTCGAAACACTGATATGTCGAATCAGCGCTGTTTCGCCATTCGAAATGAATATTATGGCGTCATAGAAAATGCAAACTGAAATTCGTCAAGGTATCAGGTTTTGACTCAATAAAAAATATGTCAACGTCATCACTTCTGTCAATATTAATTTAGATGAGTATGACGCTGGTTCAGAACAATATATGGCATCGGATAAGGTAGCAAATGACCCCAACCACTACTTGAGATTCTATGCTACTAACATTAATTCACTTACATGGTGACGTGGTAATTAAATGCGCTATCCCAATTTGTCACAGCTTGATCTTAAATATCTATTAGTTCAATCAAACTCATCTGGCTGTTTTTGAAGGGAAGTGCTGATTTATGTCTGCATGACGTAATTAATTGCCTGTAAGTAACGCCTCTTAACTCTGAGAAGCTATGAAGACGACAAATACGTTCCGACCGAGTGGGTCGGCTTGTAGACTATGTAGCTGGTTGTTTCCCCAAATTTCTTTGTCTCTCTAATATGATTGCCACTGACTTGTAATATATTAGATTTAGAACCCGCTAGGTGCACGATATAATTTTCTCCAGGGTTGAACGCGAAAAAAGTGAACAGTTACCGCGAATATACTTTGTTGTGACAGAACATCTATCGAAGGGTGTGCAACAGGCGGCCGCGGGCCACAATCCGGCTCACGAAGTCATTTAGTGTGGCCCTTGTCAACTCTCAGATTTTTCCCCAGCAAGAATAAAATCTTAATCCAATAGTTTATGTTTAAAGGGCGCTCACATGGGTAAAACTACACAATGTTTCTTTGCTGTTGTCGCTGCGGAAAATCTTTCGCCGTTTTGCCTAGTGCATTTATTACTGTAAAGCTAAGCGATAGCCGCATCATTTTCTCTTGCCTTTCCCATTGAATTTTTTGTTTGGCCAAGCTAGACGTCTGAAGTTGATTAGGCTATAGGGCCCACCGAAAAAAATGTTGCACACCCCCGATCTATATCCTAGATGCGAATAATGAGAAGATTCATTTTTCGTCAAAAACAACGAAAGACGTGAAATAGAATGAAAAAAATAATGATTGACACGAAAAAAAATTTTTACGTGTTAAAACGAATGACTGTTTACTCGACATAAACTGGTGATCAACGACGAAACGTCGTAGATCGAGGGTCGTATAGTCTCAGCTTTTCCTTACCCATGTCAAGATGAACACCTCACTCTATCATATTAATAACATAGTGAATATTTAATAAATACACCATTCGGTCCCTAGACGATTTGCCCTCATTTTATCATCAAGTCAAGTACGGAGCCAATGTCAGATTATTGCAAAGAATGCATTTTCCTCATCCACTAGAAATAATAATAAAAAGAAATAATATTTCTCATCAAATTCCTCAACACGATGTCTTTGGTAGAGATTTATAAAACACATATTAAAATTTATTGGAAATTCACATACATTCATCTCAATTATTTTTCTGATTTTTTCATTTAGAACTATTGCGTAGACGTTCTCATAGATTTTCTTTTTTGTTGCGTCAAAGATTTATCATTGGTCATAATTTTTCCTGATCCCACCAAAATTCTGGCGCAATTTTGAAAGTCTGAAGCATAGCAAGATTCATCATCAACCCAAGAAACGACTTTTTTTAATATACCATTGGCTTTTCTCGAATAAACACAGATATACAAGATATATTATAGAATAAGTTATCAATTTTATCACGGGAGAGAGCCAAACCAAAAAGACGGCTTACCGTAATTTGCGCAAAAAACGCAATTCCAGCCTTCGGAAGTAGAAAATTTTAGCCCAGTCTATCGCTTTTGAATTAAGATTTTTATTCTTGCCACTACAATATTATACAACCTCTCAGAAACGAAAGGATTATCGAGTTGTACAATATATAGACTACCTGAATTTCAAAAACACACATAAAATCGAAGATATATGTCAACAAAACCACGAAAACTCATCGCCATACCTGAAAATGTGTCTCGCAGTGAAAAATTCTAATCAACAAAATATCTTCAATAGTTTCCGAGATAATAATGCTCAAACATGGATAAGGAATGTATTTTGGGCGTGAATATCATAGTATTTTATCTGAAATAATAAAAAACCCCAAATTTAACTTGGGGCAGAGAATATTCCTCTAATTGAAGATCATATCTAACACTAGTAGGCTACATTTATTGACCTTGCGTTTCTTCGAGCATTTGCGAGATATTGACTGTACGGCATGAAGGTGTTGAGATACTTTGTGCAAAGTAATTGAGCTGCATTCAATGCCGCAGTAGATTTCTCTGCTATAAATTGCAGAAGTGGGGCATGTGTTGCGTTTCCCAACCCAAACTGACTTGAAGATTCTCAAATAAAAATGACTGAATTTGCATAAATCAAGATTGCAGCAACGTTTTTTTTTTTATCTCGTCGTATCTTGTCTATATTTTTATTATTAATCAAGAAAGGAATATAGTACGTGCACTTAGTGCAACTAGTTGAAAACGACAGCGCTGTGCGTCTACCTCCGATGTTCACATGTGTTATTCGTGATACTTTAGTAAGCTATTGTTCAATATTTCCCGTTCAGCTTTCTTGTTCAGCTTAAAATTCTGCATACCGTGTACTACATTCAAGTTGAATACGTTTCCCCACATGAATGAAACTTTCTTTTTCACCCGCTCCAACTTAATTGATCCGACTAACTACGATGACAAAGACGACAACATTTTGGTTAATGTGAATGATAATCTGCCCTTCTGTCAAAATTTAATCGCGTCACTTCTTTATTGACGATAATATACACACATTCAAAGTGTTGCTAAAGGGCGTGTGCCACGAAGCCTTCAATCTAGATTCTAGAATCAAATAAACAGCTTTTGTTACCCACGCGAAATTTCCCAAATGGTACTTTTAAAAGCAGCTTAAATACAATAACGGAGAATATATCTCGACCTGCGTCAACCTACGCTAGGTGGCGATAAGTAAAAAAGACAGAATTTCAATTTAAGACAAATGTTTCAAAACAAATCTTTGAAAAAATCCCCAGTTACCATCATTGCAATAGAGTTGGTAGCCATATTTTACAAATAAATATGAAGATTACGTTGAAAACGTTTTGTTTTTCACGAAATGCAGTGAGAGTCTTTTAATAATATTATTTATTTTTTTGAACTCATATTACTATTATAATTTCTCTGATTTGAACTTATAGTACACATATCAAATCGAAACAATATCAGATGTAGCTGGTTTAATAAGCGTTGTTTATTACTTATTTTTCTCCTATATTGATATATTTATTTACTGTGTTTCCTTGCTCCACAGGGAGGCCGAACCATAAAACTTGGCATAAGTAGGTCAGCGAAGAGAAAATGAATACATCAGTGAACTCATCAACATTTTAGTGTGTCCAATGATTCGGTGTTTGAGTGTGTGAAGCACTTCTGTCTAAATATCGGTACAAATGAATTTCTTTATATTAGTGAAAATTTGAAAGTATGGACTATTAGAAGTGCGAGTGCGTTTTTGGTAGAAGCAATTGAGTTAGACTCGAAATTCAATCGTGTGGTAGTTTGGGGTCAGAAACAAATACCACATGAACTTATATTTCCATCAAGGGATATTATACGAGGTTCGTATAATACGTAGCCTATAGGCTTAATCTTTTACAGTTAAAAATGACTTTACTTTACAAATACGAATTTTTCGTTTTGATTATTACGAAAGTCACGGCTTCGGCGGTCTATGATGACTGTTTGGTTGTGGCAGGAGCTTACAAGTGCCAAACAACAGGACTTACTGAAATTCCTTCGGAATTATATAACGAAAATCTGAAAACTCTCGACTTGAGTGACAATGAAATCAGCAGTCTCAAATCGTTGACTCTTTTTCGGTAAGTGTCTGATCCATAAACTTCATACGTGGTTGTAACATTGTCTAAATTTGATTGAATGGATGAATTAGCAAAGTAAACTCGAGCAATTCGGAAACTTATGAATTTATATCAATATATGTAAATTAGTCTGTATCAAACTTCTTGCTGTGCTAAGTTGATCACCAGATGCAGAAGATCGCTGGCGTTCGGGGTGCTGAAAATATTTCTGATCCGGTTCGAACTACCAAGTTCTTACACTCTGGGTCATATGTAGGCTACGTTTGAGGCCGCAAGGTAGATTACCAGTGATATCATTCAAGTTGACACTAGCTACTAGGCTAAGCCAATGCATCCATGAACAAATTACTTGATTTTTTTGTTATTAGATAATAATTATATATAAATATATACTGTATATCTTTTCACCCTAAGACCAGTGACACGTTTCAAAGCACGAACGTCATCTAGTATATATATTTGAATGAATTTTGTTAATATATTTTTTTGAAGTGATTCTTTCTTCTGTTTTAATGTTGTACCCCATTTTCAAACAGTGTTCGCTCATAAGTCTGGGGTGTGAACAAGCCTTTAGATAGCAGTGCAATTTGTATAATAGACAATTTGTATCACGCAACAGTGAAACTATTGTTCTATGTTTCAGAAATCTCAGTTCCTTTCGGGAGTTGATATTTCGCATGAATCGAATCGAAAACTCTTCCTTGCTTTTCTTTCTTGGATTTAATCAACTGAAAAAATTGGATTTGTCGCAAAATAATATGTCTGGATATGTTTCAAAGTCATACTTCAGTGATTTAATTTCGTTGGATTCTTTATCGCTTGCTTATAACAAAATAAACTGTTTAGAGGTGAGATTACTACATTTTTACCAAATCGAGTGCAATTAAGTACTTGCTTTCCTATAATGGCAATTCCCTTCTATAACACCAACCATTCAAAGTAAAAGGAATTTGTGTTCGGTTTAAAATCGTGTACGTTTGAAGGTACTCCCTCAATGTGTGTACCGGGTTAGGGTTAGGGCATAATTGTATTCCGATTTTTCCTGATTTTAGTTCTATTACGAGCTTGGGGACTGTTAGCCAAGTAAATATACCCCACGCCCATAAGTTTCAGTCCCTTTACACAACTTGATGTAATGTACGAACGAAATTAGTTACCTCCACATTGGTATCCACACTTCTGGAGCGCCCGTTTGAATATACCACAATTTACTCTTATTTAGGAATACAGTTTGGCTTCTCTAGGATTTTTGACAGAATTGGACATAAGCTACAATGACGTTGCAAAATTTGTCAGTTTCCGTTCTACAAACTCATTATTTCCTTCTCCACAACAATGTGTTTTTCGACAAGAACTTTGTCGTTTACGTTCATTGATTGTTCTGAGAATATCGGGAAATAATATATCTGATGCATTTTCTGGTATGTATTGAAAGCTGTCAAGATAATGATGTTGCAACATTCCATTGCTTTTCTCGAAGCTGTCGTTTTAATTAGTAGATTACTTCGCACTTATGATTCTTCAAGTTTTATTGCATTTAATTAAACCTTGTCGTCTTTTTACTGCTGTTGTTGAGTAACTTGAGAGAATCGTGGATTTTACCTTTTTTCCGAACTAACAGGAGCATTACATCGAATAATTTCTTAGCTTAAATTTAAAATGTTCTTTTCTTAAAGTTTGGTATTTACTGAAAATATCTTTCATTGCCAATATTTTTATGATTATTTTATCATTAGGTATGTACCAAAACTCGTTTGACACATCTCCACATCCCGGTGGGTTTTTCTCCTGCTTGGCACAACTGACACATTTGCAAGCTTCCAATTGTGGCATAACCAGCATACATCGACAAACGTTTCACGGCTTACGCCATTTAGCGAATTTGGATCTTTCCGAGAACTTTATCAAGATTTGGGATACAAGAACACTTGCAGGATCCAAGTCCCTTGTCTTCATCGATCTCGGAAGCAATATGCTCGAGCACCTTCCTGAAAATTCTTTTGCAGGTTTGTCGCAAGGTGGTGTTAGGGAGCAATGATTTAGAACCGATTCGTGTTTTACGACTCTAAAGCAGAGGTTCTCAACCGCCGGTCCGCGACAACCTTGCTGCCGGTCCACCAAATATATTCCAATATAAATATATTAATGGCAAAATACAGAGTACTGACTTCATGTCCATTAATTTTATGATTTTTTAACTCTTATTGATTCGTGGTACCGGTATTCTTCTAACAAGCAAACTTGGTGAGAGGTCCTCTGCCCATTTAAGCCCTCAACGGCTGGATGTTTGTTAAGTCTATGATCTCATAACGGCGTCTAACGTCTTAGCGGATGAGTTTAATAGCACATCAACTTGCATGACATTAAAATCACGTATTTATTCAATGTAATATCGACACATAAATATTAGAGCATCTAGGGCAGTGCTTCCCAACCTTTTTTATATCGCGGCACACATATCACAAAACACGAACATTTTCTACTCATAAAGAGTGCGATAGTCGAACGCGAACAAATGGTTAATAGTTACCGATATTACAACTGTTTACTTACATTAATGTAAACGTGAGCGACTTCGGAGCACCTCACATTGTTGTAAACGTTGCGCGACCGCACGGGTAATACGTCGCCTTCAAACGTGCCGCCGATCACGCGCTTGGGTTTTGCTCGTCGTTCCACGTTACGCCCTTATTATTATTACATGTATTGTCAATTTTTCACAACATTTTTGTTACAATTCAATAAGTTTCTCCCATTTCCAAGATCATTCAATAGTGTTATTGTCGGTACTTGCGAGAGAAATGAAAGAGGCAGATAAACTGTATTTCATTACAACAATTAATTATTATCGCTAAAAACACTTAATAGGTTTAAAGTTGTTATAAACAATTTTCACCGCTGGACGTATCTTTTCACGTTATGAATTTCGTGCAAGGCCCGGGCATAATTTGATGGCAAAGATCATAGCATTTACTATTTCGAAACGCTTATTCGACTTTTCAGACTGCAGAAACTACACGAAAATAATAACCGTTTTTGTGCTCGAGATGTGAAATAATCGTCGATTCCACCACGCTGCAATTTATCAAATCTATGAAGGTTTTATTGAGTTTCATTGCATCAGTGTTTGGACTACCACGCGTTTCGCCAAATTGCTGGCGTGATTACAGATCGGGTGGGCAAAATAGTATATTTCCATCGAATCGAATAATTTTAACGAATTGTCGAATATCGGGTTGAATTCGGGATTTTATTCCGATGTTTATCTTTTTGGATCAACTTCGATCTTTTTGTCACCGTTTGTAAATTAACTGTCTTAATTTTGAGCAGAAAATATTATCATTTCTGACGCCGGTATGCGGATATTTTTAAAGACGATAGTTGACCTTCTGATTTTACTTTTCTATTGTGGCTGTTTTATTTTCGTATTAAATAGTGAATAAAAACCATGCAAAGTCATTGCGTGAATCTTGAATGCTATTTTGAGTTCAAATTATGATTAAATAGGTCGGCAATAATGACAATTCTACTAGCCAAATAATAATTCCTTGGTAAAATTCCGCACAATAATTCCACTTAGTCTGACTGACTCAAACTGTAAGCGCAAATGGCTTTTTTTTTCAAAATAAGTATCAAAAAAAATGGTATAACCTACAATTTGTGAGAATATCTATATATGGATAACAAAGACATAAAATCCCAGGATTTTTCGGAAACAATTGCGGGATCGGGATTGAAAAAAACAATCCAAACCCGGGATTTCCCGGGGTCCCAACCCTACATAGTACGGTACCTGATTGAAAAATTCTCAGTTCGCACGTTCCGTAATTTGACAGTAGGCCTATAATTTAGCGAGGTTTTATAGTAAAATGGAGGCAAACAAACAGCAAAATATTATTCAGTTCAAACAGCTCTACTTCGCCTTGCAGAAACTTCATTAGAACAGCGTTTAATATTAAAAATACAGCAGCAAATTTCTCATTAAATTGAATTGTCTTCTTTTGCACCGCCTACTTTTGTCCTAATTGCATTCCTTTGATTATGTTTTGTGTTCATGACATTTTTGGTGAATTTTGAAGGTCCGCCGGTCCGCAAAAATTATTTTTAAATTTTACCGGTCTGCGAACTGAAAAAGGTTGAGAACCACTGTTCTAGAGAACAATAGTTTTGAGCATTCAAACTATGCATATAAAAATCGTATGATACGTCTTATATTCAGAATAGTTGTTCATAGCAAGGTAACACTTTCCCTACTTTGCTACCACCTTGTATTATATTACTGTATTATGTTGAAAAATTAAAATAGCCAGGTTCTTCTACGCAATTTGCTAATAATGGGATCGGTATTTATTGGCTGTTTTTATGTGTGTTTCTGTCTATGCGCTTCCATTGTAACATTAACATTTATTAAGATTCTCAACATCTTGCCTACATGAGTCTGAGAAATAACGAATTACAAACAGTTAGAGTCGGATGGCTAGAAAATTCAGCAGAATACAAACTTCTTAATCAGGTGAGAGCTAACTAACAAAACACCAGCAACATATGCTTACATAAAAACTAACACATAGCAGTTTGCATGGTATTGATTTTTGATGTGGGAATGAATTGAACTAAACGAGCATGTATTTCTTACATGGAATATTTTTGCTATTGGTTTTTCAGTGAATCTTTTATTTTTCAGGAATCAAAATCTGACGTTGAGGTCAATTCTCAGACATGGCTGAAAATGCTTTTTCGCGCTCGTAGACATTGGATTGATTGGAGTGGTAATCCATGGACATGTGATTGTGAAATAATACCTTTTCTAAATTGGCTTTACATTAAACCACACCTGGAGCTGTTTCAGGCCTTATCTGGATATCATGATATTATCTGTTACAAACCTCGGCATATGCGGGGTAATAACATCTTGGAGGGGTATTTCACTGGTCCGGCTAACTCTGCAGCCTTACATAAGTTGCAAAATGTATGCGAAACTAAAAATCCAATTACATCGGATTATGAAATCCACGCGATTACATCCGATACCGTAACTGAAACGAGTACCGGTAACGAAACTAAAATAGCATCTTCAATTGTTTCCTTCACTGCCGTTACAAAAGGATATACTGACCGGATAACCGATTATACAGTTGGCACAGATACTACACCGACCACGGAAATAAGTAAGCTGCACGTGAGTAACCTGACAATAACATCAAGAGAAAATATCAATCAAACCATAACGTCAAATCAGTTCGAAAATGCTACATCGAGAGCGGCGAATACACGCAACGATAATTCTCCACCATGGTCGCTAAAGAGCAATGAAACACTTGTTGGTACAGCGATCATTTCGACGGACCAAGCAAAATCCTTTTCTGACAATAAAAGTGAAGTCTTGGAGTGGCCAAGGTGGATGATTGTTGTATTTGTAACAGCAGATCTTATATTATTTGCAGCAGCAGTATTGATATTCAAAAGGTGCTGCCTTGACGGAAATACACGAAAAATCTCCCCATTTCCAAGGTCGAGTTCAACAAGAATTTACATGGGCGAAAACGATACGCTTGATTTTTAAACACTGAGGTAAATCAGGCTAAACAAGCAAGTCCAAATTTAGCTCTTTGCAGCTCCGTACGTCGAAGGTGGCCCGTGTAGATTTTCTTCAAAACGAAACGCTTATGGGTCACCGGCTACAAACAAAACTCTTCCAGAAAACTCGATTACTTCATGAATGTCATAGGACAGTCTTTCACCCGTGGTAACTCACGCGTTGTCTGAAGTAAGACTGCTGTCGCCAGTATGGTTGTAGTTTACTCATCCATGCAATAAGGAGTATGGAGTTGGAAAACGTTGTTTTCTAAAACGTTGTTTTCTAACTCCAGATCAGAAAACTATCACTATATAAAATGTTTGGTTTTTTCAATGGGCTAAATGAGGTAAGGCATAATATATATTAGGTATATTTAGAAAACCTATAAGATTTTGTGTGGAATAGTTTTGTTTGTTATTGACTTATGTTGAAACTTTTAGCATAAATATGTTCTATCTACGTATAATTTCAAAAAATAATGGATTTCCCATAACAAAAATTATTATTTTGTGTGTGTGTGTTGCTTTGAATAATCATGAAAAGGCAAGCAAAATAATAATGCATTGCAGAATTTGTGTTTGCTAAAATTGTATTGTTGTTGCCTGCGGTTTCTACTGTCTGGCTGTGATAAAATCTCTCTTACGGGCATTTCAAAAAACGAAGCATTTATGTCAATGCTGTACTTTCCTACATAAATATGGGATCACGTTAGTGGCATGAGATTTCAATAAACCAATGTAAAATTGTGAAACCGTGCGTTTTTTGTTGGTTTTGTTTTTTGCTGTTTTTAATTAATTTTCCCGCCAAAAACATTTCTCTATACTGCACAACGTTCGAGAGGATCGGATGACTACTCGTCAAGTTTATTTTGTCAATTTATGTTATATTTCCAGACAGGTTGCGACGTGGCCAGGTTACTTTTGTCTGTACCGATCTACCTAGGTGAAAATGACTCATAATATAGTCTGGTTTACGGTTCTTGAGTTTGGTTTTTCTTAGCAGGCGAAATCTCGCTCCCAAACAAAGTGGAAAAATACTGTGTTACTCATCTTTGTAGTAAATGTTTTCAATCTGAAGCCTGGAGCTTGCATTTCCAAATTCACTCAAGCAGAAAGTAGTCGGGATTTTTCGCGTAAAAATGGGTTCCGAACAAATTTCTGCTCTCTCATTGTGGTGTATGTAGTATATCGGGATAAATCTAAAATTATCTTATGCGGTTAGTAGCTTATATAAAACCTTACCATAGTTTGATAAGTAATGCACGTTTTACAAACGCACAAAGGTGTTCAAGCGCTATCGCGAATTTCAAGGAGCCTGCAAAAAGGCTTAAAGTGCTCATGGATCACCGAAGATTTTCGTCATTTTACGAAAAATAATTGGAAATAGAACGCTTTTCCACGAGATCAATTTTTAATAAATACCCATCGATTTTAGGAATTCCAACCAATCCTACTAAGATTCCTACTAACTTTAGCTTTTTTTAGTTTGATGTTTTATTTCCAAATTCAGAATAATAGTATGATAAGCCGCTTCATATATTTTCGTGTGGCCATGAAATATTTAACTTTGTGTTAGTGATATACTGTGCTTTTTTCAACATTGTTTATATTTTCTATTATAGGCTAGGGCCATTGCGTTTAATTCAGTTAGAGAATGCGACTTGTTTTGTTACGGATCTTACCTTGAAGCTTTAAAAAATTTTAATCCTTACAAACTCGTCGTATCAGACGGTAAGGATAATAAATCTTGTCGAGCGTTTTCCAATCTGAGAGAATCTAGTGTAAAAGTTATTGCAGACTGATTTCTCTATTTTGTACAAAAACATGAGACTTTACGTGATAAAAACTATTTTCTGAGTCACGTGAATATATTGGCGGGAACTCGTGTTGCCTTTTTATTCGCATCGCATCAATCAGTATGAAGACGACGATATTTTATGCAAGACACCGATTATCCATTATCTTCAGTGGTTCATATAGAAGCGATTTGACGCGTATCAAACCGCATCGCGGGCTACCTGTCACGGGTGATTCACACTTTTGGAACCGCATGAAATAATCTCTTATCCAAAGCTATTAAAATACCGAAGACTGATAACGACTCGTAAAATTTGGTAAATATGGTCCTGGCCCCATCGTGAAACAAGGTTTAGTTCCAAGTATTACCAAATGTTAATGCTTAACAGAAAGTACTTACAAATATGTTTCGCATGAACAAGTTTGTTCATATGATAATGATAATCCTTAAATTTCACTTCGTATATGGGTGATTACACACGCGTGATACTGTTTACAGCAACATACAAAGTAAATAAAAAATATTTTCGATGAATGACCTAAGTTCCACTAATCTTATTGAGTTAGTGCTAAAAATAACTTCTAACCAGAATCTTGTATAGTTGATCTTGAAATCGATGTAGCGTGGAACATCAATAGCTGCATTTTCCACATAATGAATACGATTGCAGGCCATGGGGTATTGGCCTAACTGTGTTAGTAAGCATCGAATGTTACACACATCGGGCTCATATTCACCAATCTCCTCCCCGCCATCTCGCCCAGGGTATGGTATCGAATGAAGAAGATGTATCGTGTTTCCCCGAAAATAAGACCCAGCCTGAATATAGGACCTGGCCTGAATTTTAAAAATGATTTTAATATAAGCCCTCCCCTCAAAATAAGACCCAGTCGATGTTAACGTGTTATTTATAAGTAAATGGATATCGGTTTTCATATTTTGTATATTTGTAAATCTCGTAATTCTCTACTTTACAATTTTGTTTTTGATAAGTGAAATTAAAAGACATCCTCTCAAAATAAGCCGTAGTAGTTATTTTTCGAATAAGACCCTGTCTTATTTTCGGGGGAACACGGTACGAAATACGACCGTTCAAACGCAGAAGCTCCAACAAGAGAGTAAAACGATGCCATCGTACAATATTCCTACTCACCGCCTTTACTGTTTAGTATGTATATGTCGCAAGTAAGGATGTAAGTTCAAGAATTTCGAAGCGGTTCGAATCATATCAATTCCATTCGATTCTCGGCAATTTCAGAAAAATGTCTTGATCTTATTTGAAAAAAATATAATAATTTAGATAAGACGTGGCGATTGCACAACATCGACTTCGAACAAAAGCATTCCTTTAGTTTGCAGCTTTTCCGACTCGTAACACTCAGAGGGTTGTTATATCTCATATGGGTGCCTGCTTCAAAGGAACCAATGGTTTCGGTCAATTTTGTTCGATTACTTCCAATGTAAGAAAGTTTACAAATATGTCATTATATAAACGTTTCTTTAAATTATCTATATAATATCATTATAATACCAACATTATTACATCATTAATTAAAAACATAGGTCTGCGATGTTTCCCTTGCAAGCATTACTTCTTTTAAAACCATGGCGCAAACGGAACTGACGCAATTCAACTAGCGTTTTATCATTTGGATGAATTTCAAAGATCAATTTTAGAAGAAACGATCACTATACATCCGGTATTGTTTGCTAACATAAATTTATGTGATAAGTAGATATGTAACTGAGTGTATCTCTATGTAAAAAAATGAATCTTCTCATCCCTAATATATCAGGTAGTTGATGCGTTCACTGAATGTGTTTTTCTACTATATTCATTCTTTACGTTCATCATTGTCATTCAATCACAATTTATAGTCCAATATACTTCTTCAAATTTAAAAAAAGTTAACGATAATATGATGTCATATAAAATGGAGTCGAATTCGGAAATGTTCGAAGGGGAACATTCTGATTCGAAATTTAATTCGAAAATAAAACATTCGAAACTTAAATCCCTATAGTCACAAGCATTTTAATCAGCTCACATGTCCAACTTAAATTAATTATTTTTATTTTACTTCTGAACTGATAGTCACCCCCATTAGGATGCTCATAGAATAGCCGCAAGCAAAGGCTATTTTAAAGACTAATACTCATTATTATATGACATATAAAGCGTTCAATTCTATATAATCATTTTATTGCAACCACAAATGTGGAAACGACCCAGGAAATTGCACCGCAACTTTTAATTAGCAAATGATAATTAATCGCTGGTATGCGGTATCTTTCTAACTGGTTATTATCGGGTTTAGAGTGAACTTTTAACCAAGTAGCTATTACTGTATTAGCAATATGGTCAAATTTACGCGACATTTCACAGTAAAGCAATTGAGGATTTGTTAAAAATGCAGTGACGAGTGCGAGCACTTATGACTCTGCTGATACCAGAACAATATTCTAATCTACGATATAACGTGTACCATGCGTGGGAATAGGCAAGATATACAAGTATTCAAAATTACCCATAGTCGCAATTAAAATTTCTGATTATTTGTGTATCTTTCAGAAAAGAGAAATGATGTTTAGAAAGTCGGATTTGCACGAGTGCATTTCCCTTTCTGGTGGGATTAGATGTAACAATATTTGAAAACAGTGTTTTTAAATCCCCTTGGAATTAATTGTATACAAATACTACATTACAGAAATTGGTTCCGGCACCAACAACTAAATCTCCCACGATCATTACAACAAACAAAAGATTTGTGTTTAATTGAATAATTGTGATGGATGAAAATCTGAACGTTGAAATAATGCGGCAAAATATAGCCAGCGATTCGGATTTTGTTTAGAAGATTTTATATGGACCACGCCATTAAGAATGGATTTGAATTTGTCCAGGCTTTTTTGACTTCTCTTTAGTTTGATGCCAAATTATCCCCACACTTACAATTTCTGATAATTTAGCAATAATGTCGTATTTGCGACCTGTTGATGAGCAACAATTTCGATTTTATTTAAAACATAATTCGTGTGATTTGTTGTTCACACGTCTCAATTATGAGGACAACGTTACTTTATGACGTAACACGGCATGCTTTATAAAATATGTGAGCAACCACATGGCTCATAAAAAGTACAAATCAGTTATTTCCACATACCAAATTATTAATATTATTATAAAATATACTATCGTACTATGTATTCATTTCACACATTAGAAAAGACGTGACGTAACGGTTATTTAAGTCACATTATAGTCATATCACTGATGCCCTTTGAAAGCGGGACACGCCCCTATTTTGGTTAACACGACCTTTTTCAGAAAAATTGTCTGAATTGAGTAACTTCATGATTCCTCTTATTTCACATAGAAGAGAGTGGACATTTACAGAAACTTATACGTGGAGCTTCCTTGCTTGAAACACACTTGGTAAGTGTGCAGGGCCGGATTTAGACGGTGGGATACCCCTAGCGCCTAGGCTATGTTATTTGTGAGGCCCCTCTATTACAATGACGTCATAAATGATTTATGAAATCTATTATGACGCCATAATATCCTTGCGCTGTTACCAATTATACTGCTGAATAAAACATTGATAATACCTAAATTTGTCATTCCATCTTTTTGAATAAACAGGTCTGTAATAAAAAAAAATCCTCTAGGCCCCTCTTTTACAATGACGTCATAAATGATTTATGAAATCTATTATGACGCCATAATATCCTTGCGCTGTTACCAATTATACTGCTGAATAAAACATTGATAATACCTAAATTTGTCATTCCATCTTTTTGAATAAACAGGTCTGTGATAAAAAAAAATTGTAGGGTTTTGCGAAAAATGAAAAAAAAAATGAAATTCGACCACCATTCTGTAAAGTTATATTCATGTCGCCAAACTACAATGACTATTGCTAGTTTTCCGTTAATTAGAAGAAAATAAAAAGG